AAAAAATAAAATTTTATTAATTAAGGTTTTATTACACTAATTCTCTTTGTAATTGTTTGTCGACAAATAGGACAAGGACTTTTGTTTCTCAACAAAACTTCATCACAATCAATACATGTTGCTAAATGAGCACAAGGTAAATACAGCATTGTTTGTCCCTTTTCAAGACAAACACAACATGAATCCTTTTCATTCGTCTCATAACTCGACTCTGCTATAAAAGGACATTCAGGTGAAAGTTTCTTATGAGCCACCATTGGATGCCCAGGTAATTTCCCATCAATTGCGATTCTACAGAAGGCACATTGTACAACCCTTTCAAAACCGGTCCAGAAGAATCCACTTTCAACGAAATAGTTTTTATGAGCTACCGGAGGAGGAGCATTGTTGAAAGAGAAAACACGGTTCATCCTTATCTTGAACAGGTTAAAAACTTTCTCAGGGTTGATGACAAACTCGTCTTCAGAGAAAATTTGTAACAAATCATCTTGAGTCCTAACAACCCGCGAAACCTTCAATTTGGGAGGTAAGTCCTTGTTGGAGGTGGAATCAAGAATTGGTTTCGATGAATATAAATTCACACAACCAACTTTTTTCAGTTTCAAGTTTGGTTCTTTTCCATTCAAGAAAGAACATTCTGGACTGAAAAACTTGTGTATGTATGCAATGTCTTCTCTCAAAATAGACAGATCAAGCTCAAGTCCACATGCAAAACATTGAACACAATCTTCCTTCATAAAAAAACCATTTTGAAAAACTGTGACCCATCTACTTGGAGCCCATGGACATGTTAAGTATCTATTTCTTTCCTGTTTCATGAAAAGATATTTTTCAAGAGCAGCTTTCATGGTAGGACACTCCCAAACTTCAAATATTGGTGAAAACATTACCTTTATTTCCTGAAATGAAAAAGAAAAAATATCAATGTTATAACAAAATTTTATTTAATAGAATTCTTTTCAATTCTATTTCTTTTTTCAGGTTTAATGTATACAATCGATGATCAATACATTTCTTCATTTTGTGTCTCAAATATCGACACTTGATTAACCAAGATTCAGCTTGACTGACCCTTGGACACTTGAAAGTTGAGGCAAATATACAAAGGTTGACATATTTTTCCTGGTTAATTTTACAATGAATTTTTCTATTGTCATCAAGAGACAATATTTTGTGCTTAGAGCATCGGTTACAATGAATTGTTTTAAGCTCCATTCTTTTATGTATCTTTTTCAAAAGTTTAACAAGTGATGAAGCTAAACAAACAGAACCTGTGTTCTCTGTTGGACAACAATCGTTCTTAGGTATTGAAAGGTAGCGCTTCATTTGAGACTCAAGTTTATCCCGTTTAAGTATTTTTTCAAATGAAGAAACCTTTGAAGGAATTCTCGAACCCGAAATCATAGGGGTGGAAGAAACCGTTTCCGAAATAATCTTCATCTTACCTGAAGTAAAAGAAAAAAGACAGAAGGAAATAAAAACAAATGTAAGTTTATTCATTAATAATATTTTGTATATGAAATGTCAATATAATCATAAAAAAGTGGATCATATTCATTACAAAAGTTGTAAAATGAACGATTATTGATTATGAACAACCAACGTTCATAATCAATAGAGGTTATGGTGTTTAACAGCTTTTTCTGCCATTCAGCATCGAAATGCATATAAATGGCAAAAAAGTCTGTTATTTTGAAACGGAAATCAGCAAGATTGATTGGTTCATCATCTTGCTGATCTTCCATAGTTGTTTCAGAATCAATATCTGATTCTTTTACAATTTTCAACTTAAGAGGTGACATTGGAACAGCTTTAAACATGTTATTTACCTGTGTTATATGAAAATGAACAAAGATGATTAATAGAATTTGAAAAGAATAAGAAAACAGCTGCAAAAAGAAGGATGGAATAAAAGTGCAAATCTAATATGTAACGGGGCAAAGGAAAACGAAGGCAAGATTGGATGATTAAGCCGATGAAGTACCAGATGACCAAAAGGAAAGAGAACCAACAAATCCAAATGAGCAAACAAGATAAGAAATTAGACCAAGATAAGATGACCAAGATGACCAAGATAACCAAGATGACCAAGAGATTAAACAAGATTCCAACAAGATTCAAACAAGATTCCAATGAACAAAAGAAAACTGATAAAAATGAATGAATCAACGGGTGAATAGAAAAAAAACAGTAAATAAAAATATAACAGAAGATAAGACTGATGATGATGAGATGGCCAAATGATGTCGAAGTGAATTGTGGAAAGACTGGAACTGAACTGATAATTTTCTCTCTTTCTTGCTTTGTTTTTATACTTTCGTTTGAGGAAGTAATTGAAAATGTTAGTATTGTTAAAGCTACGATTATGATTGAGGAAAGTTTAAATAAAAGAGAGCAATAAAATACAGCCTTTACTCCACTAAATTAATTGAAATCGTGATGAACTATTTGATTGATGATCAAATAATCCTTGACTTTTTGAACTTTTGACCAATCATAAATCATAAATATCCTTAAGCTAAAAAACGTGAATTGTTTGTGGTTTTTCCTTGATGTTAACGGAATATTGATGTTAATGGTCATCGCGGTCTTTAACACTTGTCAACTACCTTTTCCTTGTTCCTCAGTAAGTGTAGTCTATCACATATAAAACATAAAGTTCAATCATAACTATTAGAATCAACTCTATGCTACAATGTAATGAAGTTGTATACATCTACATGCATTGGAACCTATTACACGTGGAAATTGATAACGTTATCAATTTTTTTTTTCATGTTCAATTGTTAGTCTATAAAGGGTTTGATGTGTTCACACTGTGTTTTTCGGAGAAACATCAATATTCCTAGTAATAAGGGCCAAAATCAATTGAAAACGGTTAGAACTAATAACGGCTGATAACACATAGAAGGTAACGTGTTTCTCCAATATTAAATATATTTACTTGTAGAGAATTTTACGCCTATTAAGATGTGCTATTGCACGATTGTATAACACATATTGTTTAGGGGCTAAAATTTTTCAAAGTTTTACATGGGTCACGTGGTTTCCCTTTAAAAAAATGGTCAGATCTGAATGTGCAATATATTTTTGAAAAGAGCATAAAAAACTGGTTATAGTGCGATGAAACAACAATTTTTTCTTTCATTGGATCATGTGTAAAAAAATTTAACAATGTTTTCTCAGTCGCAAACTCACCCATCTTGATAACGACGCTATTTTTGCTCCTAGAGAAAAATCGAGTACATATTCTGATTTGTCAGCAGCAGACAAATCCAACGGTGAAATCCGTTTTTCAATCGGATAAGGAATAAAGGATTTAATATTATATTAATATTACACATACTAGCTGTAGTAGCTGCTGCCACCTATTGGTAACAATTAATGATAAAATGAGTGATTTTTAGTGATCAAAAGTCAATTTTGCTATTTTTTGAACGGTTAGAGTTACATGGATATCTTATACATTTTTGAACTCGTCTCTTCAAGACGAATCCAACGATAGTCTTCTTTTCACAATTGGACCAAGAATGACGAAGTTGACTTTGTGCTCCATAGTCAATTTTCATATCTTTCGAACGGAATGAGATAAATTTACGCGGAGGATATTTTTGGAATCCTCGTAAAAAACTGAGTCAGGACATATACAACACTTTCAAATCGGATGAGAAATGTCGATTTTGACAAAGTTAGAAAAAAAGTGCTTCTCTATGTAATTTTTTTACAGAGACAATGTATATAAACGTCATGTATATTTTAAAAAATTTTTGACCCAAACCAGTACCGGTATATAACGAATACAAAAACTGACATGTTGGCAGATTCAATGCGCACTCTGAAACGCATGTGGGTGGAGTCAGAAAGTTTGAAAATTTTACATCGTTCTGTTTTATTTACCGTTATTTGACCTTTGTGAATAATCTTTTATCTAGTTCAAAAATGTCACGCATCAATTTATCACCATTTGTCGCTGCCCGTATCGCCTCTGTTTTTTATCGTTTAATTTTAATGGTTGCAATCGATCAGCGGGAAGCGGCCAGGTCATTGGTCATTGAAACGTGTGCTATGTTGTTTTATGGATTTGGACAGGACACTATGGCCGAAAGACGATTATTCTTGAACGCAGCTAATGGGCAAAGGTTAGTTCCTTTAAGACAAAATGGTTCAGACGACGAAGTTATGATGGATTGGGATATACAAGATGACAGAGTGTCTTCAACCAATGACCCAGTTAACCCTTTACCTCAAGCTGGATCTTCAGCATCTAGTGGTGATGATGATAATGATGATGATGTGAACCATAATCATCGAGGAACCAATCGTATTGGGTCACGAAGATTGATCTTTTCGAGAATGCGACAATCCATACTCAATCATGTTGACCCTGTTGTTATTATTCCAATAAGGACATTAGCTGAGGCTTCTCAAGTTTGCACTGAATTAAGGAACAATCGAAGAGAAAGCCAATCAATTATAATGGGAGTTAGGCTTGGAGAATTTCTTCGAAGAAATCGAAATCAATCAAATACCACCAGGACAGCGTGGACAGATCAAATGGTTCATCGGTTGGGTTATTCAGGGTCGTACATAAGGTTCTTCATTAATTTAGTAGAATTAACAGCCGACTTTCCTCGAATGTTAAGAATAACTCTACCAATAAGAGTTATTTATGCAAACTTTCGTCAAATACGAAATATCAGAAATTTAAATAATGATGATCATGATTTGGTTAGATATTGGGAGCGAAATTAATTTTAATGTTCATTTTGATTAATTAAATATCTTAATTAAAAAGGTGTAGGTGAAAAGGAAAAAATCTATCAATTAAAATTAATAATCAATCAATTAAAAAAATTCTCCATTAAATTACCATTCGAATGATGTGTCACATGATGATACTGAATGATCTGATTAAATCATTGAAAAAATATCTATTCATTGATGTGTCGCATGGGGTGAATGACTGCGCTATCTTGTGTACTTTCACTACTACTCTGCAAGAAAAATTAAAAAACCACAAACCAATCAACTATTCATGGTTTTCAGGTCAGATTCAGAGATCTCTGGTAAAGGTTTCGAAATTGTTTTCGATTATTATGATGAACGTAAGTTTATTGCTATCTTGCGTTTTAGTTTCCAGCATTCTAATTATTTTCCTTTTTGTTTGTTTTTCTGATATCATCAAGTTGGCTGTGATGTATATCTCACTGAAGACACAGGAGTTATTAGGTCTCCTCGATTCCCTAACACCTATCCAGGTCCGCGCCGTTGTACTTATATCTTCATGGAAACCCCTGACAAAAGCATCAGTCTCAACTTCACACATTACAACTTAAAATCAGCTGATAATTTATGTCGAAACAAACTTCAGATTGATTATAATCCAAATATACTGATGGACTCAAAGGAGCTCTTCAGATTGGAAATGACACCAAAAAATATTACACTTCCTTGTGAATCGAAGTCTACTAATTATGTGATAGAATCTCCAAATAACGTATTAATTGTTTACTTCGAAACTTATTCTGGCCTAGATGCCGGTCAAGGTTTCAGAGCTGAATACAGTAAAGAAAAACAAACAAGTAATATTACGCGACTGTCTAAAGCACAGACCTTTCCATTAATTATCAATTTATCTATTCAATAATTTAGAATGTGGTGGCAGAATTGACGCAGCTTCACCTTCAATAATTTCGGCAAACTTTTCCCAGCCTATTGATGATTCGAGGATCTCATGTGCTTGGTATATTGACAGCGAAATAATAATAGATTCAAAAGGTAATTTTTGGACGGTCGAATACAAAATATTGAGATTTCGTTTCGATTTATTTCTAATACTTTCACTTGTGCTTTGCCCACAGTAAGTACCCCTTGGATATCATTCGAGAAAATTGAGGTCTTGGGATCAGCTGAAAACGATTCAATTTGTTCTGATGGAAAAATAACACTTGGAATTCCTAAAGGTCGGTTCTCCATCTTAATTAATAGTTTTAAGTATTTAGTAAAACAGAACTTTAATTTCAGCTTCGCCTTACCATCATATGATATCCATCGAGAATCTTGAATTTTGTGGAAACAGTTCTGAAGTGGTAACGGCTATTTCCCCGATTTCAATCGCATATTTTGTTCTCTTAACTGCTACTTTCAATCGGACTCGAGGTTATCGCGGTTTCGAGGCCACTTATCATATCAGTAAATGTGGTGGAACATTGAAAGCGAAAGAAAGTAATATAACATCACCAGGCTGGCCTAATGAAAATTATCCGATCGATACTGTTTGTGTCTGGTCGTCTGATGTTCTTGAAGAGACTAATCATGTTGTAGAACTCGTGTTTGAAGATTTCGAACTAGAAGACGATTGTTCAAAAGATTATGTGGAGATTTATGAGTTTAATAGTAAAAAAACGACTAAAATCGGTCGATATTGTTCAAAGGACAAACCACCGTTCATTCAGACTCAGAATGGAATCTCAATTGTATTCAGAAGTGATGGAGATACAACAAGTAAAGGATTTTCGTTAAACATAAAACCTATTAAGAATGAGAATTATATTCCTTCTTGTTTTGGCTACAAAAAGCATTCGCCTGATTCGAACTATCCTAATCCTTACAAGCCTAATCAACACTGTGAAGAAGTATTAGAAGTCGATCCTATGTCCCAACTGAACTTGACTTTTGTCAATCGTTTCGATATTGAAAACTCAGTTAATTGTTCTAAAGATTATCTCGATATAGATGAATGGGCAAACAACTCTTGGCATCATTTCGGTCGATACTGTGGATACAATTCACCAGGGTCGATCATCTTCAAGGAAAATAAAGCCAAACTTATGTTCCATTCAGACGGAGATGATCGTCGTGGAGATGGATTCGAATATATTGTTACAAAATATTGTCGATTGACAATTGATAAAAGAGGAAAGGGAACAATTCAAAGTTATCCTGATTCCAATGATGTCGATTACTGTGAGTGGACATTCAAGGGACAAGAACCAGATGATGTGATAAACGTCGAGTTTGAGTTTTGCCATTTAGGAGACGACTATCGATGTGAACAAAGTCACTTAGATATCTACACGAAAAATCAATCAACAGGAATCGATCTGGTTGAAAGATATTGTAATGGAAATGAACCCCAATTTATAACCTCTCAAGGACATTTGAAGATAATCGTGAATTCGCTCAACTACAGTTCTAGTAAAGGAGTTAAATTTGATTACCAAATCATTCCAGCGAATTCACCAAGTTCATCTTGAGTGTCCATTTTTTTTCTTTGAAACTTTTCGTTCTTAATCGCCAAATGAGATTGTAATCCACTCGGAGTGATTTAACTGTAATTTTCTTAGTAAAAGCAAGTTAACTTTTTATTCTAATCGTAATTAAAATAATATCAAACGTAAACAAAGAAAGACATTGATGGAGATTCAGTTTTGATTATCAAATCATCAACTAACTTTGAAAATATTGTATTCTAAAAACTTAATTATTCCTTATGATTTATGATTTATTGATCTGAATCGTATGATTATTTGTTTATTATATGAAATCTTTTTGATAATGAAACTTTTTCATTAATTTTAATGTTCATTTGCTTTAGATGTCATTTAGTTTGAATTAAAGTTCAATCAATATTCTAATGTGATTAATCATTTCTTACATTAAATTTTGTGAATTTATTTCAATCGTAATTAACTCGAGTGAACATTACGAATGGCGAAAAGTAAACAATTAAGTTATCCAAGTTTCCATCGTTATCTAAAATATCAAATCGTGTATCTTGCATATTTAGAACCTGATGAAGTCTCAAGAAATCATAGTAGTTGGCTATTCTATTTGGTCTTTCTCTTGGTCATCGTCAACTATTTTCGCGTGCTCTTCATCATTTTCCAAAGTGAAGTCACCAATGTTTCTTATATCATCGCCGATCTGACGATACCTGCAGGTAAAACCAAGAAACATCTTTCGCTCATCTTTCTAAGTTGGGTATTTGGGACTTTTATGTGTATTCTGACTTTATATCGTTCTCAGTATACACCGCGATTACAGAAATGGACAAATATTGGTGTAGTCTTTGAACATTTATCGACAAGGATCCATCCGATTTCAGGGTTACCAACGATTCTTCATAAGTTTTTCATACGATTTAATCTAACAGTTTTTTACTCGGCGAGTGTTGTTGTAACATTTTTAGCTTTGCCTTCATTTCTCATTTATCCTCAAAATTTTCTCGTATACCTATGGAACTGGTTACCCATCAATATTGCTCTCGGTCTCGTGGTTGTTGGTTATGGTGCTAATTTTGGGCCACTTTATGCCTTCCAGGTATATATTTTTGCTAAAAAAATGACTGATCAAAAGAATAACTTAACCGACCGTCTAAATTACACACTAACTAACTATCCGAGTGAACAATTAACATCGCTCGTTAATTACTCAGTGCAGTCAAGTATTTCCATTATGAAAGAGTTGATTGAAGGTTACCATTTCTGGATCCATTTTAATCAATCAATATTCTTTGCTACGTTCATGGCTCAATCTATTGTACTTTACATAATCTTTTTTGTTGATATTCCTCAATTTCTGAGATTAGCAATGATCCTTTTAGGCTTTATCAATTGGCTAAGTGGATTATCGGTACATTTTTTTCTGGGAACTTATGGTCAACGAAAGGTGAGCATATAAAACGATAGTTTAAACAATTGATACTTTTTCGAAATCGTTGGTGACCTTATTTACTCTTACTTGAAAGATTGATCAACATCGATGTCAATTGAAGCGGACACTTTATCTGAATATCTCTAATCAAATGAAGGTTCAACTAGTTAATTACTTGGAACATATTGAGAGCCGATATTTTTTCTGTATATTTGGATCATTAAATTATTCATTAGATCATTTTCTCTTGGTAAGACTCTGAAATATTAATGACCACACATTGATTCAATTTATTTCCGTATACAGGTAGTCCTAGAAAACGCTGCAAATCTCCTTCTGATAATTTCAACTCTCCAATAAATGGAAGGTAAAAAATGCGAAAACCAACTTTTTTTTCAATCAATGCTGAATTAAAGTTTATTATTATTCACAATTAAACAATAAATTCTGATCTATTAAATACCAGCGTTCATTAATTAACAGAAATCTCCTTGGCAAGTTAGAGAAAGATTTTTACCAGTCAATGATTTGGCAATTTCTTGGATTTCACTTGGAATCTTGAATAATTTAGCTCGAGAAACATACCAAGCTTTAACTATTGATTGATAAAGAGAGAAAAACAATTATAAATGACTTGAAGTGTCCACAATTAGCACAAAAAAACCGTTTAACTAACCATCAAGAGTTCCGTCACCATTTGATGCACAACTGGCCAAGACAGCGGTTCGGTCATCGGAGTAGTAGGGCATCCAGAAAGTGGCTAGTTTACCATCTAATTAATTAATGAGTTGATTAATCTTATTCATCGGATTAAAATCTATTGAAAATTACCTTGGTTAATGTTGAATGAAACTGGTTCATCATCTTCAATTACATCATAGTAAGATCCACCAGAGAAATTACCGACAATCAAGTCAACCTTTTGATCCCACTGTGATAACTCCTCACTAGCGACGATATAAAACTTGATTATTATCGTTACGATTTTTAGGAGCAATCAAATATTACTTACAAGTCTTTAGATTGACCCTTGGTCAAGATGTAAACTTTTCCTGGGTAAAAGTGACCGATTTCAATGGTGTTTCGGGTAGTGTGTGGTTTAGTCTCATCAGTTCGACCAATTTCATACCAACCTTGGATTTTGGTGAACTATTGATTGTTAATTTAGTTTAGAATACGAATTTTAAATTATATTCATTCAAACAACTTACATAGCTAAAGTACCAGTAACTGATTCCTTCAGGAACTGCTGGAGTAGGACAAGAGTCACCTTTGATTGTTACACCGATTGCAGAAGCAATTAAAAGTGAAGCACAAGCAACGAATAAGATTGATTTCATTTTGAGCAGTTCGATGAGTTGATTGTATTAGTTAAACACTTTGGATTTTTCTGATTTGTTTTTTGGAATTATAATTTACTTAAATACTAACCAGTGTCGATTATTATTGTTATCAATTATTACATGTGATTGTAATCAACACCTTTTTTGCAACAGAATGATTATCATTGTTCTCGATTGATTGTTTATCCTTAATTGGATAAAATTCTGTCAATAAAATAGCAAAAAGTGTCAATGTGATTAGTAAATTGTGACAAAAATTCAACTAATCTGAAAAAATTTGTAATCATGAAAACAACAGATGTAAATTTGTTTATAATGTTCCAAAATTGTACCCAAATTACAATCAATTTTTAATGACATGAATAAATGTAACTGTCAATCTTAGTGTCGGTAATGATAGAAATTATTGTTTTTCCATTTCTAACTAGTTAACAATTGATTGTCTTTGTAGAAATAATAATCTATTGTTCTTCTATCAACAATGTTCTTGCAACTGTCAGGCGGATGATTGTTACGAATGAATATTCGTCCATTAATTCTGGAACGGATAAATCAGCTGAGAGAATTTAGTATTTTTTAGATTTGTTTATTAGAATTACTATGTGGTTATGATAAAACGATTATTTAGAATTATTCATCAGCCTAAAAGTTAAATTAAAAGAAAATCGATATAATATAAACCATGGAACTGGTTAATTGCTGATTAATCTGATGGAAAATTAAATTGATTTGAATGTTTCAATTACTCTCATGAAACTTACCAATTACGTAACTTTTTTAAGTTCAATCACTTTTTTTAACTAAAACAACCAGAGATTTATGATGATTGACTTATATAAAAATCAATCTGATGCATAAGCAACTGGTGATTGATTGTGAAAGTTAATTCTAGGATCTTAACCAACCCTGAATAAGATTCAGATTAATTTCAAGGTTAAACTCAAATGAATTTTATTGAAATTGAAAACATATAATCAAGTTTTATGAAAGAGTTTCAGCTTTTTATTTACTTATTTATTCATCGATACTTTTGTTTACCGAAAAGCTTTTGAGAAGGATTGATCGAGTTGCTATTCCGCTGTAATAACACATGGCTACAATTCGCGGTATTCTAATAGTTCCTGTGCTGCTTTTACTCTTCCTGTTCCATGTACAGTCTTCATCATATTTCCAAAAATTAAGGTGAGTGAAAATTTTATGCTCTTTTCTAGGTCATCTCATAGGAGTTACATATCTTAATTTCACTTTTGATTTCTCTGATTAAGGTGTAAACAAATTGAACGATGCGATGAAAGTTTGACTAACTCGACATTAAGGTTTCTAAATAGTCCAAACCCATTCGAGTTTTTTCGTGAGATATCTAAACTTAAGACAAAAAATGTGAGTAATAGATAAATTTATATATTAATACATGAATAAACTGTCAGCAATTAAATTCAATCAACAAATTTACAATTTTCGTTTTCAATTTTACAAATGTTAAAGAAGCTAAAAAATGGCTCATGTGATTCGAGTCTCGATGGATCTTCTTGTCGTGATGAACGTAAAATTAAATCAAGTCAAATTTATTCTGATACTGTAGCTGATGATAAATCTAATGTTCAGTGTGGTGGTGTCTTGAATTCGGCAAATGGAATTGTGACCTCACCAAATTATCCTCATCCATTCAATGTCTCTAGTGAATGTCTTTGGAAGATTAAAACATCAGATGGATCTCGTTTGGTTGTTAATCTAATTGATTTGGAATTAGATTCTTCTCTTAATTGTACTCAAAATGTGTTAATCATTTACGATGGACCAACTGATCAAGACTCTCAACTATTAGTTGCTTGTAATCAGAAACAACTTGATAATAATTTGATTACTTCAAGAGGCAACGAGTTGACAATCAAGTTGATCACAAATGAATCAACAGATTATGTCAAAGGTTTTAAATTTTCTTATGAAACTGATTGTAATAATTTCATTGAAGACATAAGTGGATCAATAGAGAGTCCAATCAACCAGAGCTCAAAGAGTCTTAATTGCTCTTGGACAATTAAAGTACCAAAAGGAAACAATATAAGTTTGGTTATTGAGAAGTTTAAATCCTCTGATTCATCTTCATGTTCAACAAGTTACTTATCATTCATCGATAATCAGACAACTAAAACATTTTGTCAATCAATTGATGTCACAGATTTGGATCCAGTTTTTATCACTGATAATCAAGTACAAATTGACTTTGTTAATCTTAATCCTGATCATCAATTATATTTCCGATTAGAGTGGAAACCAGTTGGATGTGGTGGTGACATTTATGGAAGTGAAGGTGAATTGGTTTCTCCTAATTATCCCGATTCTTATCCAAATGGACTCATTTGTCTGTGGACTATTCATGGTAAACCAGGTCATAAGATCGAAATGTACATTTACGAATATCAAATCGAAAGAAATGACTCTTTACAAATATTCGATGGACCGAATACAAGGTCACATCGCCTTTTGAACCTTTCAGGTAACCTTTATGTGCCACTACAAATTTCAACGATCAGAAATGAAGCAACAATATTTTTGGAAGTCGATGAAAATTTCAATGGAAAAGGATTCAGATTGAACTACAAAGCCGTAAAAAGTAATCGATGTGACTTCAGTTACCATACAATCAAAGGCTCGATTGCTTCACCTAATTATCCAAACCGTTTTGTTGAACAGAGCTCATGTCGATGGGCACTTTCTAATGATGAAGCTTATGTTGCAGTCATAATTGAAGATCTGGATATTCCCTGGTCAATCAACTGTACTGATTATTATCTAAGATTTTTGACTCCTAAAAAAAAGGAACTCGCTCGATTTTGTGGTCACTCTTTTCCAACGCATCCGATCCAATCAGATTCCAGTAACACGATTTATGTTGATTACTATTCAAAGAGTCAGCACAACGGAAGAGGATTTAAGGCCAATTACTTTATGAACTGTGATTTATCGCGGTACATATTCCCTTATCCGTTACCTTTCACTAGTTTACATTATCCAGCGACAACGAATGGCGGCTCATCATGTAGCTACCATTTCAAATCTGATAATTCTTCTGATAGAACATATTTTCATTTTGTTGATCTCGCAATTAAGTCCAACTTGGAAAGTTACTTGGAGATACACGAAGAAACATCGAATGGCTCAACACAAGTAGTTCGATACAATGACTCGGATCTCCCATTACCTCGTATTTATGGAGCACCGTTTCATATTCACACTAAAGGTGATGTTATCTTCAAGTTCACGCATTTTAGAGATTTGGATAATTGTTCATCTGAGCTAAATAGTTGGGAAGGAACATTTAGTTCACCAGGATATCCGAATGATTATCCTCCTTCTCGAACTTGTGTTTGGAAAATTAATCTTGCTCCAGGTAATTTTATCTTTTTGAAGTTTCACTCATTTGATATTCAATATGATCAATTCTGTGCTTTGGATCATTTGGAGATTCGAGAAGAAAATGAATCAGGTAAACTCATTGGCCGATTTTGTGGATCAAATTTACCTCAATTAAACTCGACTCAATATTATCCAAGTTTATGGATTAGATTTAAATCTCATGCTAATGGTTCAGCTTCTGGATTCAAAGCTTCATACAAAACAATCAAAGATGTGAAAATTAACTCTGATTCAGGTAAAATTGGATCGTTTGCTTATCCAAGATTATTTTCATCGGAAAACAATCAAAGTTGGACAATTAAGACCAGTGACTTTAATAAGATTAAGTTCAAATTGGAATCAATTGATATTCTCGATGATTCGTTTGACAGCTCATGTACTAATTCAAGTGTCACGATTTATGATGGTCCGTCAGTGAACAGTTCGATTCTCGGTCAGTTTTGTGGTTATCGTACTGGTGACCTTCCAATTTATACAACTTCTTCAATCGCCTATGTCCATTTCAAGCCTAACTTTTACATTTCTAGATTCTTGTTGAGTTGGACATCGGTCAGTGAGAATATTCCATTTCCGCTTATTGATGATCCTAACTATCTGTGTAAATATACTGCGAGTCTTAAACTTAATCAAAACTTGACTTTACTCTCAAGTTCTTACCCGAATGATTTGAGTTGTAGTTGGACCATTTCGAGTCCTATGGGGACTCAGTTACAAGTCAAAATTAATGAGATGGATATTAAGTTACACTCAGACGAAAAATGTTCCAAAAATAGAGTCTCTTTTTACGATTACAGTTTTGACCATGAAAAAGATTGGAAAATCAATAGAATAATTTGCGACTCAAACGAAAAACTATTCACTCTCCATGGTAATCAATCGTTGATCTCATTCTTCAACTACGGCGGCTTATCAACCAATCTAAAAGGGTTCAATATAACAGTGAGACCGATTTGTGGTGGTACATTCTATGGACCAACGGGTAATATCGATTCGTCTTTACTTGGACCATTCGAAACTTGTTCATGGGCAATCATTGTACTAAAAGGTCAACGAGTCGAACTTAAATTCAAATCTTTTAACTTGGGTTCGTCTGATAATCATTGTGCTAATGGTTATTTAAGTATTCGCAATGGTAACTTCCCTAACTCTCGATTCATTGGACACTATTGTGGGTCTAATTTACCTAAAAAAATAATATCCGATTCGAATCAATTTTTTATATCAACTTATGTTCCTGCATCCGAACAGTTTGTAAGTAACCTAAACACTGAATAGCTCATTTCACGAATCTACTTTATCTTCTGCAGGAATTTTCTTTATCGTATCGACAAGTATCAGCTCCATGTAAGTATCATGTGGAACTAAATGAATCAAATCCATCGGCCATAATTCAGCTTCCTGGATACCCTAATCCACCTGATGAATATTTTACGTGTGATTGGGTCATCAAAGTTCCGATTGATAAAGTCATAAGAATTGACTTCGATATACCGGATCACGATAAAAAGTGTGATTTGAATACAACTTACGTTGACATTTATGACGGTCCATCGAATGTACTACCTAAACTTGGGCGATTCTGTCCAATAGCTCGAACAACAAGTGTCGTTACATCAGATAATCGTATGGACATTCATTTCGTCACCAAAGGAGGAGCTGGTTCAAGTTCATTCAAGGCAACAGTGCATCTTCATGTTTGTGGTGGTAATTTTGTTGCCAATAGATACATATTAGTTAAAAGTCCTTCTTATCCCGAACCGTATGGTGCTAACCTTACCTGTAATTATAACATTTACTCAGAAAAAATATCTCAAATTGTGGCTTATCAATTGGAATCAGTCGATTTACCTTCAAATGACAATTGTAGTTCCGGTGATTACTTAGCAATTTATGAATACGGCCAATCAGGTGACCTCCTCACTAAAGTTTGTGGCACAAGAAATTATACCGAGGAAGATACTATAAGTCCTCAAACTAATCATCTATTCATGGTCTTCAAATCAGATTCAGAGATCGCTGGTAAAGGCTTCAAGATTTGGTTGACTTATGGTAAAGACGGTGAGTTTATTGCTCTCGCTATTGTTTCAGTTTCTTATTCAATTACTTTCTTTTGTTTTCCTGGTGCTACCTAGATGACTGTAATGTACTTGTCACTGAAGACACAGGAGTTATTAGTTCTCCTCGATTCCCTAAAATCTATCCAGGGCCTCGAAACTGTACTTATATTTTCATGGAAACTCCTGATGAAAGAATCGTTCTTAACTTCACCCATTACAACTTAAAATCAGCTGATAATTTATGTCGAAATAAACTTCAAATTGATTATAATCCAAATATACTGATGGACTCAAAGGACTTTTTCAAATTGGAAATGACATCAAAAAATATTACACTTCCTTGTGAATCGAAGTATACTAATTATGTGATTAAGTCTCCTAATAATGTATTAATTGTTTACTTCGAAACTTATTCTGGCCTAGATGCCGGTCAAGGTTTTAGAGCTGAATACAGTAAGGAAAAAGCAACAGGTAAAGTTAATCGAAAGCTCAATTATAGATTATTTTAAGCAACAATTTGATCTATCTTACCTGATATTTGATATAATTCAGAATGCGGTGGCAGAATTGACTCAAATTCAACTTCGATCATTTCGACAAACTTTTCCCAACCTATTGATGATTCGAGGATCTCATGTGTTTGGTATATTGAGATCGAAACAGATGAAGACAATGTGTTTGGCTGTGAGTTGATACAAAACATCGAGAGTAACTTTATTTATTTCTAATATTTGGCTTTTCTTTGAATGCTAGTGAAAAAGCAGATTACTCCTTGGATATCATTTGAAAAGATTGAGGTCTTGGGATCAGCTGAAAACGATTCAATTTGTTCTGATGGAAAAATAACACTTGGACTCCCCAAAGGTTTGTCTTCGATCGTAATTAACTTATTAATTATTCATTAGTTAAATCAAAACTTTTGTTTTAGCTTCGCCTTATAATGAATTGGTATCAATCGAGAATCTTGAATTTTGTGGAAATAGTTCTAAGGCGATAACAGCTATTTCCCCCATTTCAATTGCCTATTTTAGTCTCTTAACTGCTACTTTCAATCGGACTCGAGGTTATCGCGGTTTCGAGGCCACTTATCATATCAGTAAATGTGGTGGGTCATTGAAAGCGAACGAAAGTAATATAACATCACCAGGTTGGCCTAATGAAAACTATCCGATCGATACTGTTTGTGTCTGGTCGTTTGATGTTCTTGAAGAAACTAATCCTGTTGTAGAACTCGTGTTTGAAGAGTTCGAACTAGAAGCCGATTGTTCAAAAGATTATGTGGAGATTTATGAGTTTAATAGTAAAAAAACGACTAAAATTGGTCGATATTGTTCAAAGGACAAACCACCGTTCATTAAGGCTCACAGCGGAATCTCAATCGTATTCAGAAGTGATGGAGATACAACAAGTAAAGGATTTTCGTTAAATATAAAATCTATTAAGAATGAAAATAATATTCCTTCTTGTGATCAGTATAAGGCCACTTGGGCCAATTCCTACGACCCCCCTACTTCATACAAGCCTAATCAACACTGTGAAGAAATATTAGAAGTCGATCCCATGTCCCAACTGAACTTGACTTTTGTCAATCGTTTCGATATTGAAAACTCAGTTAATTGTTCTAAAGATTATCTCGATATCGATGAATGGAGAAACAACTCTTGGCATCATTTCGGTCGATATTGTGGGTACAATTCACCAGGATCGATAATCTTCAAAGAGAATAAAGCAAAACTTATATTCCATTCTGATGGAGATGATCGCCTGGGTGATGGATTCAAATATTATTCTACGAAATATTGTCGATCGACTATCGATAAAAGAGGAAAAGGTACAATACAAAGTAATGGTTATCCTGATTCTTATAGTATCGATTACTGCGAATGGACATTTAAAGGACAAGAACCAGACGATATGATAAACATCCAGTTTGAGTTTTTCAGTTTAGGTAGCGAGCTTGAGTGTGATGAAAACTATCTACATGTAGATGTTTACACGAAAAATGAACTAACGGGAATTCATCAAGTAGAAAGATATTGTTGTGTAAATGAGCCTAAACGAATAACCTCCCAGGGGAACTTGAAGATAATCGCAAATTCAGTCCAGTTTGTTATCAGTAAAGGATTCAAATTTGATTATCAAATCGTTCCAGCAAATTTAACAAGTTCACCTTGAGTGTGATTTTTTCTCCGAAACTTTTCATTTCCAACCTTTAATCATAATAAACTCCAAGCAATCAATGATCACTGTTAATAGTCTCTTAATTTAAGAATAAAAAGTTCTAAATTGTTATTAATCACTCAATCAAATTGACATGATTGATTGATGATCCTTAGAGCTTAAGATTCACCAAATCTATTGAACAGTTCAATCGACGGAGAATTGGCATGATAATTAGCAATTCTGCGACCATAGTACCTTGGAAAATCGTGAATTGATCTTAAAGTTGATTGCACTACTTTTCAAGTAAAATGACACGAGAATTGAACAAAATTAATATCAAATGTTCATGCAATCAACAGATTTAATCGTTTATTGAAAAGGAACTGAAATCGATTGATAATAAAAGATCAAGATTGACATGGGAAAATCTCAGAGCATGTTAGTAACTCTGAAGGGATGTTACTCTATTCAAGTAAATCAAATTATCGATCAATATTCAAAATTTTACTGCATGTTGACTAATTACAATCAAAGTAAAAGAATCAAAGAAAAATTTTGATTAATGAACGCGCATTGATACAAGTTATTTAAAAAGACTCGTTTATTTTTCTTTGAACATTTGTCACTTACTGATCGTTATGAGCAAATTAAAAAGTTATCCCGGTTTTCGTCGTTACCTGAACAATCAACTAGTTGACCTTAACTACCTGACCCGACGTAAATGTAAGGCCAATCCTTGGTTTTATGCGCTTTCGTTTTTCATTTGTATCTCTCATTTCATCAAGTTAACAATCCAATTGATTCTCAATGAAGTCAACAGTTTATCATATTTCATTGGTGATATTACTCTGGTCGCTGGTCCAAGTAAGAAACAATTAACTTTGATTTACTTTGGCTGGTATTTTGCTGGATTTTTGGGTACTTTAAATTTACTTAGATCACAATACACTCCCAAATTACAGAAATGGGTCCACGTTGGTATAATATTTGAGAATCTATCCAACGAAATTCATCCTTATTCTGGTTTACCGACTTCGTTTCATCGGCACTTTAGACGAATTGTATTGTCTCTATTTTACGGGGCCGGATTAGGTGCATTTCTATTATGTTTCCCATCGTATTCTATTTATCCTAAGCAATTTATTGTTAATCTAATTGTTTGGAATATGATAACAACCGCAGCGGGTCTTACGATCCTTGGAAATGTAGCAAATTTCGGTCCACTTTATGCATTTCAGGTTTTCCTTTACGGTAAACAAATGACCGACGAAAAAATTGATCTTAGTAATCAATTGGCATCGAAAGATAATCAGAATATCAAAAAGTTAACCTCGATTGTTTACCAATCAACTAAATCAAGTACATTGAAGATGAAACAGATACTAGAGGGATATCATTTCTGGAGTTCTCATAATGCTGCATTCTTCATGGCGGCTTTTAATGCTCAATCGATTATCCTTTACCTGGTTTTCTTCGTAGAAATACCTGGATTTTTGCGAATCGCATTAATCATCTTGGGATTTATTAGCTGGTTCAGTGGATTATCTGTTCATTTTTTTCTCGGGGCTTATGGCCAACAAAAGGTGAGTTGTTTGAATTTGAGAAAAATAAATTTCAATCCACCTTTTGATTTCAAATGAAAGATATTACAACATTGTTCTGGGATTAGACGAGCACTTTATCACAATATATCAAATCGTATGAAATTGCGAATAGTAAATTATCTGGAACATATTGAGAATCGTCACTTTTTCTGTATATTTGGTGCCTTACAATATTCACTTCATCATTTCATCTTGGTGAGTATTTTATTCATCTAATCATCTCATTGAAACATCACGATGACCATTATGAAATCAGATTTAGAGTTCATCTAGACCTGAGATTAATTAATCCCTTATTTAAATAAGTAATGCAAAAAATAATTGTTCTAACATTAATCAATAATTACTAATTGATTGACAGGTAGTTCTTGAAAATACAGCAAATCTTTTACTTCTGATTGCGGCGCTGAGACGATGATAGTTTTCAGTCAAATTAAAATCTTTTGTAACAACAAATAATAATTTAATAGATTCTGTATCCAATATATAAATACATGTACTTTACTTATACATATAGTGTATGAATATTAAAAGAATTACGAATAATTGAAATAAAAATCTATCATGTTAATAATACGTAAAGATGATGAGGATGATGAAATTTGGAATTGATTTATTTTCACTTAACACAAACTTTAATTTCTTCACAATTTCGATAAAACAAATTACAATTTTTTTGTTCACTTTGATGAGGATAATCAGACACAACCAATTTCAACTAAAATCGGGATCAAAAACCAGACTAACTTTGTGGTTATTCAACCTTATTTTTATATCAAAAATTTCTCTCTTTCTATTTTCTCTGTCTACAATTTGTGGCACTTTGACTTTTCTTCTCATTATCACCTTGATCTTTGTTTGTTTTTCTCGTAACAATTTCTTAATTAAAAACGACTTTGGACTAACTAATTAAGTGAACACCTAAATAAACATTTGATAATTTTCTTGATAACCTTTTAATTTTTGGGTCATTTCATTCACCCCTTCTAATTAGTCCGAAGCCTCTTGAGGAACAATTAACTAATTTAACTAAATTAACGAAACTTTCGATACATCGCTCGACCGTTCGGTCAAAGTTGTCAACAACAACTATGGGGTCATTTCTGTTTCCGTCTTTCTATTTTCAACAACAACAATAACACAACTTTTTCTTCTTCTTGTTTATTTGTTAATTTTTCGAATTTTTCGTGTTTCTCTTTTTCTTTTCTTTCTTAATTATTGTCGTCGACCTTCATCTCATTATAATGATCATGACAGCAAAATTTTTCTCTGACTTTTCAATGGTAATTTCTTTTCTTTCTCTCTTTTTTCTTTTTGGCATGATTTGTTTTTGCTAATAGTTTATATTTATTCGTTTTTTCGTCTTTCAGTGTATTGATGAGGTCAATAAACAAATGACTCTCTCTCCATCGATCACCGATTCGATTGAATATCTTAGAGCGGTGATTAATATGAATCGGCTTTCACCTTGTGCAAAAAGAAATAGCGGAATTTTGCTTGGCCATGATTTTGTTGGATGACGATAATGATAATGATAAGGAGGAGACGGAGGTGGTGGAGGAGGAATATGGCGGAAAGGGTGGAAATGATATTGATGATAATGATAATTTTCCTCATCCGGAAATTAACTTAACCAGGATGAACCCTAAGGATCTGTTTCCCTTTTTGCATCCACAATTGGAATTTATTTATAAAAAATTTCGGGATAGTCCCAATCCTTTGATAAACAGACTACTCCCGATACTGATGGACAATCCCGGGTTCGGCTTTTGGACGGGCTTTTCCGTTTATAATGATTTTCTCAAATGTAAATTTTGTCTTTACAGTTTCCGGCTGAAGGAAGCCAAGAGATGGAGATTTAGATTCAACGAATATGACGTGAGAGGGACCAGTATATTCTAATTTACAGAATTCACCTGTTGTTTGATTATAATTGATTAAGGTGAAAGGATCGACAATCATGATTCTCCTAATGTTAATTTTTAATCTACTTATTTTTAATTCTTTTCGACTCTATCTTTATGCTTCTTCATTCTACTAACATGGACGAGCTCACCTAAATAAACATTTGATAATTTCTTTGATAACCTTTTAATTTTTGGGTCATTACAATACTGACAATTTGAGACCCTTGTATTGAATAGAGATACTGAATAAGAATCATTTTCAACTGATCTGTTGGTCGCGAATTCGGAAAATTAAATTCTACATCTTTCCATTTTTACTTTTCGCTCTTTTAGTTATTTGTTTAAATCCTCTATTTATCTTTCCTCTTCACTCTTTCATTTCTCTCTCTTCTTTCTTTACTTTTCTGTCTCAGATTATGTTAGTAATATTTTTCCGTTTTTAGCAATTTTCAGCTGAATTTTTTATATATTATTATACATTATACATGTCCCAATATAGCTACCAATGTCCCTTTATAGCAATCAATGTCCCGATATAGCTACCAATGTCCCGATATAGCTACCAATGTCTTGATATAGCAATGTCTTTTATAGTACAATGTCCGATATAGCAATGCTTTATAGCAATGTCCTGATAGCAACCAGATATAGATCAATGTCTTGATATAGCAACCAATGTCCTTTATAGCTCCCAATGTCCCGATATAGCAACCAATGTCCCGATATAGACTAATCTGATATAGTAACCAATGTCCTTTATAGAGTCCTGATATAGCAAAACTGATATAGCAATCAATGTCCCGATATAGCAACCAATGTCCCGATATAGCAACCAATGTCCCGATATAGCAATCAATGTCCCTTTATAGCAACCAATGTCCTTTTATAGCAACCAATGTCCCGATATAGCAATCAATGTCCCGATATAGCAACCAATGTCCTTTTATAGCTACCAATGTCCTGATATAGCAACCAATGTCCTTTTATAGCAACCAATGTCCCGATATAGCAATCAATGTTTTTTTATATCAACCAATCTCCCTTTATAGCAACCAATGTCCTTTTATAGTAATCAATGTCCCGATATAGCAACTAAAGTCACTTTATAGCATACCAATGTCCCTTTATAGCAATCAATGTCCTTTTATATCAACCAATGTCCCTTTATAGCAACCAATGTCCTTTTATAGCAACCAATGTCCCGATATAGCAATCAATGTCCTTTTATAGCAACAGAACCGGTGGGATAAACAATAGTCACATCAGCATCATCATCGTCAACGTTTTTATTCCTTGCAGGTAATTGATGCGTAACAGAAGCTCGAGACGAAAACATATCAAGGATATAGAAAGATTAAGAAGATAAGCAGAAAATCAGAGAGAGAGAGACGAAGAAAAAGAAAAACTAACGAGGAGAAAACTAGAGAGATAATATGAGAGAAACTGATTGTTCGTTAACAGAGTGAACAATTGTGTAAAGTAAAGTTATAAAGTGGAAATTTAACACCTATTATACTTTTCTCAGACCAATCAAAACCTTTCGTGACTTAAACTGCAACTTTTACTCTACGAAGACTCACTGTAAACTATTTAAGCGAATCCTAAGAATCGATCTTGACACGTGATTTGCTGTAGGAAAATTGCACGTTTAATCTTAACAAGATTAATGTTTAACCATTTACACGTTGCAAAAAACAGAATACTTTCTTCAAGAACTTCCGGTTAATAGGTACCTTTATTATGATTGGGTGTAAAAACTGATAAGTAAAGCCACCAATTCCAACTAAGATTTAACCTTTTGCCTTTCTTGAGAAAAGTTTTATAACGATAATAATTATTTTATCGAATATACTTTTACAGTTTCTTGAACATGATTATGAACTGATTTTGGCTCCGATGCACAAATCAGAATCATCTGAATCGATTCTATTGATTTATGATTTTATTTTAATCACCACCACTTTCATGGGGAAATATTTCTTTAATAATTAAATTAAAAAGAAACAACTATTTAAATTAAATTAAATAAGTGTAAAGTAAACTGAGTTAATATCTGAAGTTCGTGCAATCATCTGATTTAAGCTGCAACCGATTCACATTTCACAATATTAAAAATCAATGGGCTGAAAATAATAATCATAAAAACAAAACTTTATTCATGTAAAAGTTTTACATGAACGTGAGATTAACAATTAAATTGGACTGGAAATTGTATCTAAAAAACTATTGATTATTTGGATCAGTAATTGGTTTTTTTTGTTTGTTCATGTTAACTAATTACACTCAAGAGTTTGATGATCAAGACAAGAAGATTTATTTATGCAGATTGTTTCTATTTAATCAACGAAAATCTATTCATCTATCAGGGGAGATTGAATATTAATTTTCGATATGAATGAACGAAAGTACTATCCTGGTTTTCGTCGATTTCTGAATAGTCAACTAGTTGATCTCGACTATTTAACTGAACGCAACTCTAAGGCCAATCCTTGGTTCTACGGGTTATCGTTTTTCATTTCCTGCTCTCATTTCATTAAATTAACTATTCAATTGATTCTGAAAGAAGTCAATTGTTTATCATATATGATTGGTGATATTACCTTTGTCGCTGGTCCAACTCAGAAACAATTGGCGCTAATTTATTTCGCTTGGTACTTTGCTTGTTTTATGGGCACTTTCAATCTTCTTCGGTCACAATATAAGCCAAATTTACAGAAATGGATAAAAATTGGTTTTATTTTTGAAAATTTATCGTCAATTAAAATTCATCCTTATTCTGGTTTTCCGACTTATTTTCACCGATACTTCATAAAGTTCGTTATGATCACATATTATTCCGGTGGATTAGGTGGTTTTCTCTTAGTAGTACCTTCGTTTTTTGTTTATCCGCAACAATTTATGATATACATTATAATTTGGTGTGTGATTACAACTATCGCTGGTTTTGTGATCATTGGCAATGTCGCAAACTTTGGTTTACTTTATGGATTCCAAGTTTGTATTTACGCTAAACAGATAAATGATGAGAAAATTGATCTTATTAACCGATTGGAAGTTGAAAAAGTTAATAGTAAAAAAAGATTGACATGGATTGTTAATCACTCGATTAAATCGAGCACATTGAAGATGAAGGATCAACTTAATGGTTCAAAATTCTGGAATTTCAACAATGAATCTCTGTTCTTAGCGGCTTTTAGTGCTCAATCAATTATACTTTATTTAATTTTCTTCGTTGATTTAAATGGATTCTTAAAAGTGGCTCTCATTATATGTGGATTTCTCAATTGGTTCTGTGGTTTTACTGTCCACTTTTTATTAGGTTCTTATGGTCAGTGCAAGGTAATATCATCTAATCATAGTTATTCATAAATTGATAAGTGATAATTAGTTAATTGTATATTTGTTGTACTTCCAAGATAGACGAATATAATATCTCTTTAAGGCGAACGCTTAATATCAATATTTCTAATCAGATGAAGATTCGATTGATTAATTATCTTGAACATGTCGAGAATCGTTACTTTTACTCGATATTTGGTGCCTTAAATTATTCCATTTATCATTTTATCTTGGTAAGTTAATTGATCTCTAAAACTCAACCATTAACATTAATTTCTTACTCACAATTAACAGGTAATCTTTGAAAACACCACAAATCTTTTGCTTTTAATCACAACACTGAAACGATAATTACTTTTCAAATAAAATAAACAGTTTTGCAACTTTGGCTTTTAAAATCATCAAAATCTCGAAATACTTTACAAATTTGATTGTATCAAAAAAAAATCCAATGAAATCAAAGCTTTCAATTCAATCAACAATTAAAAAGATCAATAAATTTTATTATTATTGAATAAAATCAAATAAAAGACGTTCAATCAACCGAAATAAAAAGATTTTCAATTCAAATTCAAATTTCGCGGTCCCGAATTGTTGGTAATATTGTGTACCACCAGATGGAGTTACTGTTGTTTCGCTTAGAAAAAAAATTCGGTTCCTTTTGTATTTTTATTTTCCAATCTTGTTAATCTAATTGTTTAATTTTTTTGTAACTGTCAAAAGCGTTAATTAAATTGTATATTTATTATGGCTTATACCAATTTTTTGTTCGGTGAAAATCTAGAAGAAAGAGTTTTACTTCCAACAAAAGAAGAAGTTCAAAATGATACAAAAAAGGAAGAAACTGAAGATGATGGGGAAAATTCTGTTGCATCAAAACTTCCCGAGAAACGTAAATATGAAGTTATCACGGGAGAAGAAGGTTAGTATTTTATATTCTAGTTGATTTTCTGTTTTGTTTTTTCTATTCTCTTCTATTGAAGGTTTATTTTTTTTCTATTCTACTTGGCTTTCTAATTTACCGTTTTCTTGTGTTTATTCTATTTTCACTTGTCTAGATGAATCAAATGTTTTACAAATATTCTGTAAATTATATCTATGGGATCCGGAATCAGCTTTTTGGAAAGAAAAGGGAAAAGGAATGCTCCGATTGAATGACAAAATGAAGGATGACAAGATTTGTTCTCGATTAGGTAATCTATTGGATTGTGTTTTCCTTGTTTTCTTAGCGCCTCTTTGAAATCAATCTCCTTTCAATGGTTATTTATTTTCTTCTTACATCTAATTGTCTTTCACTTTTGTTTTACAGTTATGCGAACCGCCGGATCATTGAAAGTTATCTTAAATGCTTCAATTGTAACTGGTATGAAGTTTGAATTATCTAATGAGAATTGTTTAAGATTTATAAATATTGATGGTATCTATTTATTCAAGGTAAAGTTGTCAATCTTTTCTCAATCAAGTTACTTTTTTTTCTCTATTATATTTTCATTTCCTGGTACTAATTTGTTTCTCTTTTTTTTTCTCTCACTCTCTTTTTCATTTACAGGGAAAAGAAAAAGACATCGAACAGCTCAATTCAGCGATAGAATGTAGATTAAGAGAATTATCTAAAAAAGTTAAAGTCGATGATAATGATGATGATAATCAAGAAGATACTGTTAATGAACCTTCGGAAGGTGCCAATTCAAAGACTTCGGAAGATTCAGCGGAAGATTCAAAAGAAGAGTTACGACAGCCCGATATTGAAGGATCTCAATTAAAGAAGGAATTAGAAAATAATGAAATAGATAAGAATGAAGATGTAGATGAAAATAGTAGGAAAGAGAATGTTTCAGAGAAGGAAGAAAAAGAGGAAGAAAAAGAAACGGATAAAGAAACAGAAACAATAACAAGAAAAGGAACAGAAAAAGAAACACCCGAAGAAAAGGAAAAAGAGGAAAGCCAAACTTGTGAACAGAACGAGGACCATTCAGGAGAAAAACAACAACAAAGTACCAACTCAAAAAGCGAAAGCAACAAAGAAACCGAAGAAACTTCAACTTGTCCACCTGATCTAGATCAAAAGTGAACTATCCTAGTTAAATGAAGAGAAAAACAAGAGATTATTAATCAATTATGAACAAAGATAATTTTCGAAAAGAAAAATCAACCAAAAAATACTAAACAAATGAAATGAGACTCTAATTTGTAATAACTACTCTTTCCAAAACATTTTTCTTCTCAAATTGTTTCTTAATTGTTTCTCTCACGGGTTAACATTTAACTCATAATAACATCTTCAAATGAGTGAATTGTCATCACATCCACATAAACAAAATTGATCCATAACTCATCAAATTGTCAAATTGTACGAAATCAAAAGCAACCCCACTGACTAGGAAATCACGTCATCCAAATCAAAATGAAAACAAAAAGCTTGATAATATTTTAGTGACTTGAAAAATTTTTTTCATTATTTGTTAGTTTGAAATAAATTTGCAAGAAAACAAAAATATAGGAAATCAATTGCAATACAAACGGTTTGGTGACAGTTAAATTGACTAGCAGTTCAACAGCATTAAGTATTAGTTGATTAAAAACAAAAAAGGTTTACTAAATTTTGATTGGAATCGTTGGCCAGAATTGAGGATTGTGAGTATCACAGTAAACGTTGAAATCACTTTGAAGAAGAGTTTCTTTTGATTTGATTGTTTCGGCTTCAGATCCATAGAGATTGAGATAATCAGTTTGTACCGAGTTTTGTTCAGATGATCCGATTAGTCTTTGTTGATCAATCTCACAAATATCTTTGTAAATTATCTCCTCGTTTTCCTCCATTTTAATTCTTTCAGCCTTGAGTTGTTCTGGAAATGAGAAGATAATCAATAATAGAAATGAGAAAAAGTTGCTTGAAATGTTAAAAGAGATTAGAATCAAATTGAAGATGAAGAGAGAAAAAAAAATAGAATCAATTAATCAACACAAACCTTGTTCCTTTTGATGTTTACGAGTCTCGATGATGAAACGAATGTAATCATCATCGATATGAGAATCATCTTCTTTTATTGAATCATCACCCTGATTATTTGGTGGTTTTATGATCGAATTGGAAATATTTTCCAAGACAATTTGTTGATCAACAATTGATTCAGTTGGACAAACAAACGGACAATTAACTGGCTTGAATCCTTGACTCTTTAACCAAGAACAACTTTTATTATAATTTGACCAAAACGATGGACAAGATTTATATACAAGATAAAACGCTGATTGTTGATCACTAGTCATCATTAATTGTAATTAAAACTCAAGCAAAAAGAAAATAATTATAATTAAAAAGCCAAATGAGACAATTAAAATTTTCCCATTCAAATGAATTCAAAAATAAAGCCAACATCAGCTGATGAATAAAAAAACGTTTAAAGAAAAGCGGGAAAATCAAATAATCTTTTCGATGAAAAAAAAAATTAAATCAAATGAATTATGATTAGATGAAAATTAATGAATTTCTCGAAATAAATTAGCCAACAATCACAATGTAATTGAAAACCTGGTTAACTACAAATGTAAACTGGTTTAAAATAGATGATGAAAGATTAGCAACAATTTCCTATATGATCATATAGACGAGATTATAAGTTTAATTGTGACAATTAATCATTGAAAGGATTAAATTAAAAGTATTTGGAAAATTTTGTGACAGAAAAATTGTCAAAATGATCGAGTTGGTCAAGATAATGTCTTCTTAAAAGATGACCAACATATTTAACAGGAAACAATTGAAGCATGAGAAACAATGACAATTAAAAAGGATAAACCAAGTAAAAGTAATCAATAAATTGTTACTTGTAATCATCTCTAATCAGTGTCATTGTCTCATCATAAACAAAATGTACCATAAAAATGAGAGTCTAAACAATTTAAGGGACCAATTAATTTGCTACCTGATCAATACTCTTATTATAATCATAATAATAATAATTTACAAAGACAAGGAAAACTTTTTCACAATTAAGTGAATATTATAAATAATAATCATCTCCATTGACACTCACAATCAAGATGAAACTTTCTTCAATAATTAAGTTTGTTGTAGGGCCAAAAAAAGGTAAAACAATTACCATGATCGTCACAATAATCAATCACAATTTGTCAAAATCTCCAAATAGATACCAGATGAATACCCATCATAAATAATGGAAAACTTTTTACAGGTAAGTTGTATGGAGACAATGTATGTGTGGTATGTGGAAAGACAATTAAGTGATATAATTGAATTAATAATGTTAATGATTGAGAGAAATTTATCAAACTCCTGCGCATTATGATAAACCCCACCTTCTCAGGTAAAGTTTCCAGTCCTGGAAAATGTTTACTTACCTGTAAAGGTAAGAGAGAGAAAGAGAGAGAGAGAGAGAGTAGAGAGAAAGAGACACAAACATTATAACTTTAGATTGTCAAGTTTAGTATTTTTCTCATTTCGTTGATAGTTGATTGTTTGTGTTCCTTAAATTGTTTCGGATCTTTTTCTTTGTTTGTTTGGGATTTTCTTTCTTTTTTTTCGTTGGAACTTTTTTTCTTATTCTTCTTCTTCTTTTTCATCTTCTTCCTCTTCTGGTGGGATTATTTCGGTTATTATCGGTGGTTAATTATGTCTAATAAAACTGAATTTATGGATATTCAACAACAATGCAGTTTAATTCAGCAGCATCAAAATGCTTATTCAGCAATTCGTCCAACTTATCCATGGGCTGGAACTCAATCGGCTCATGAAGCTTTCGCCCAGGCTCAAGCATCTTCCATGTCAATGAGTGATTATCCTTTCTCATCAATGAGTAGTTCATCTTTACATAATTCGTATTCCCATTATTCTGGACATCATTATATGAGCCCATATCCACCCAATATATCATCATGTCAACCCTGTCCTGCTCCACCAAGAGACGGTAAGAACTCAATTCATCTTCATCTTCATCTTCACCTTTATCCTCATCATCATCATCATCATGATTGAAAGAAAAGAAAAAGAAAATATTTTCTAAATTATTGATTTTCGTTCGTTTCTTTTTTCTTCTTCATCTTCTTTCATGAAACAAAACTCATCAGTCCAAAGTCAAGGTCCATCTTCATACGTGTCTCACCTAAACGAAGGACGTGAATGCGTTAACTGTGGCGCTATTTCAACCCCCTTATGGCGTCGAGATGGTACTGGTCACTATCTGTGTAATGCATGTGGACTTTACCATAAAATGAATGGGACTCGTCGACCACTAATTAAACCACAGAGAAGATTGGTGAGTTTCCCTTCAAATAATTCAAACTTTCAGGTAATTAATCAATGCGAAAAACTATTCACACCCTTTAACCAACACTCAGAACAACAAAAACATCGTTAGCACACCAAAAGCACCAACATCAACAATTTAACAATTTCCATCCCATTAACATGAAACAAGGTACAAAATCTCAAGGTAGTTACATTGTTTACCTTTTTGTTTGCTTAAAATTAGCAACAAAAACCAAACACGTTACAATTTATAGTAAATGTTTTATAGTAGAAAAGGAGAAATAGCAAAGCAGAACTAACCTATAGAATTGTAATTGTCTCAATTAATTGTTTCTAATTGTTACCCTTTCTCTTTATCTTTCTATTCAGGTCGCTTCTCGTCGAATGGGACTTTGCTGTTCTAATTGTGGTACAACGACAACGACCTTATGGCGTCGTAACAACGAAGGTGATCCCGTTTGTAATGCATGTGGACTTTATTTTAAACTTCATAATGTAAGTTAAACTTTGTCGATCAACGATAATTAACTAATTGTAGTTATCAATCAAAGGGTAGAACTTTAATCAAATCAATCTCATACGAACGTTAATTGTGTAATCCATTCATTGATTTATAATTCACTCATTTGGATTTTTTTTTCCTTCTTCATTTACTCAATTAGATTTGTAATTCAATATCATTTACTCATCTTATTTACATCGTAAATTATAATTAGTTAATGATAATTTGAGAATGATAATTAACTATCTACTATCAAACAGTATCTTCATATGTATGGATAATAAGAATTAATTAATTATCTAATTATATACTTATGTAAGTTTAAAGTTTTAAAAGTTAAGATTATGACCTTTCATTAACTGCATGGTGGTTAATTAGATCCGATTAATTAGTGAGTTTTTAATCGTCTTTGATGTGAAATTTATATGGAAAAATGGAAAAGGAATTATGAACAATTTAATCCAACCATTCATCAGATTGAGATCGATGGATTACCCAATGAATACACATATGAGTCGATCAATTTGATCTCGAAAATCCCGTTACCATGAGTACTCAGAGTTAACCAGAATCGAGAGGAATAAAAATCATATCGGTTATCATGATGATGAGATTAATTAAGCATGAATGAAGGAGAGAGATAGAGAGAGGGAGAAGTGGTCAAGGTGGAAAGAAAAAGAATAAAAAAAAGAAAAAATTACCAAAAGTTCAGATTGAGGCTGAATTCTGAATGAAATATCATGTATATGGAACTTGGAGAAAAAAACAAAAACAAAACTCTAGAAAGAAAAATATTATCATCATCACTTTGATATATTTAGTTTAAAACTTGTTCAGATTAATTTTGATTGTTATCAATTCTCAGTCATAAATCAATCATAATTCAATAATAATACTAATTAATCAACAAACATAACTGCAGATAAATAAAAAAAATATTATATTTCAATGTTAATAATATAATAACAATTTTGGATACATTTGCATGTTGAACAAGAGAAGCAAAAACAAAACAAAAAACAGAATTGAATCAAAACATTGAATGAATTAGTTGATTGAATGATCAAATCATTGCTAATTAATTAAACTAACTTTCCCAGGCAATCAAGTTTTTTTTCTAATTTTCAAGTAATTCGTTAATTGATAAAACAAACTAAATGATGGTTATAACAGATAACATGAAAAATGCTGAGGCAAAAGTAAGAAACTGAACAAAAATGATACACATTAACCTTGGTCTTGATTGAATTTGTGTTTGAATTAATTGTGAATGTAGAAAGAGAGATAGAGAGAGAAAGAGAAAGAGAGAGATTTGATTTCCAATTTAATTGCCTGATTAATGAACAAATTAACAAACAAGTTAACTAATTAATCGAATCATTTTTTGTTCTCTTTTTTTATCGAAAAAAACTTACAGGTAAATAGACCATTAGCCATGAGGAAAGAGGGAATTCAAACACGTAAAAGGAAACCAAAATTACCTTCATCAGAGACTCCATTTGATTCATCATCGAAATCAACTAATGATAATCACAATGCTCCTCACGCCAATGATGATGGTGAGTTTGATTACAATTAGCTGGCTGATAATAAGACAATCAATACAATATCAAAGTTCGAGATTGTTATAAACTCACCTCAAACTCCAATCCAATATTCAATCAATAATCAACAACAAAACAAAAGTTTTAAAAAAAAAGTAAAAACCTAAATAATAAAACAACAAAAAGTTGAACAGTTTTCATTTTCTCATATAAATATTATTATATCTTAACAAACATAATCAATCTTTGGATGTTAATTACTTTTACATTATATTTACATGATAACAATTGAAACAAAAAGGTGAACCCAAAAGTCAACTCTCAGGTAGAGATACTTAATGAGAGAGGGATAAAGTTTTCGGACACTCTAAGAGATGACCATCAAAAAGATATTCTCGTAGTATCTAAATAGAAGTGGATATCTTATCAATGTAGAGGTTTTTTTCTCAAGCTACTTTTTAATTCTTACATTGATTTAAATGGGATTTCTCTCTCTCTCTCTCTCTCTCTCTTTATCGTTCTCTTTCTCTCTCACTAGTTACCTGATGGATAAGATTAGCTTATCTATCTAAAGGTAAAATAGCCTTCAAAAGATTGACAACTAAAAGGCTTAGACTTGGCTGGAAGTTGCCTTTTTCTTTTCCTCTCTAATTACCAAACAGAATTCACCTTTACCTGTGTCTCGACGACATAAGGTTGTCGTCGTTTTACCACAATTAGAACAACATCTTATACTCTTCAGGCCAGGCCACTTTTCGAAGGAGAGAAAAGAGAGAAGAAGAAAAAAAAAGAAGCAGAAAAAAAGAAAGTAACAGGCGAACCTAATTTTCGCAATTAACTATTGAAATCAATTAGACAATTTATGGTTTAGGTTTTCCAAGTTTCCTTTCTGTTTGTTTCAATTTAAGTTGATTGTGTTTGTCTATTTAGTGAATTAACTGGGCAATCTTTCAATTCCATGTTAAATATCATAATAAACATGTCAAAATACAAAAAAGAAGATGGAAAAGTGTAACTACCTGAAATTGATTGTTAAAGGTAAGAAGATGAGGAGGAGGAGGTGGAGTGGAGAGAGTGGGAGGGAAGAGGTTACAGATTACAAGAAGGTGCTATCGTACCTTGGGTATGTGCGAGTGCGAGTGTTGTTGTTGTGTTATTTTTATGATGAGCTTTAAATTGGATTGCATTAAATTTTATGGACTTTATTAGTGTCTCTCTCTCTCCTACTGTTAAGCCGCAGAGTCCATAAAATATGATAGATCAACACAAGACCAAGAAGATGATGAGAGGATAAAGTTGATCATCATGAAGATAATCATCATCACCATGATGGAGATGATGATGATGATGAAGATGATGATAGTAGTGATTAGAAGATGATTATGGTGATCATCTTGATCAACACAAGAAACATAAACACAAACACTTCAAGTTATTATATCACTTTAAGAGACTCACTGATTTTATTATAGGTAATCATCAAACATCATCTTCTTCATCCTCATCTTCATTTTCATCTTTATCCTCATCATCATACGTTTTATAGGCTTGAAAATTGATAGAGAAAAAAAAGAGTAAAGAAAAAAAAATTTATTCTCTCTCTTTTTTTTTTATAAATTCTCTTTCTTTTATCTCCACCCACTTTCTCTCTGTTTATCTTTCTCTCTTTCTCTCTCTTCCTCTTTCTTTTCTTTCTTTCTTTCTCCTCCTCTTTCCACCTTTTCCCAGACTCTCAGGTAAAAAGGGAGGAGTCACAATGAATTATATGAATGCACCAAATGATTGGTTAGTAAGATAAACAACCTTTTAACAGCTCAAGAACTAAATTATCATGATAATCATTATAATCATCATAATAATAATTGTTGATAATAGTTTTTATCATCATCATTATGATGATGATGTTGATTGTAACAAAGCAATTTGTATTCAAAAAATGTCACCTAAATGTTTTATCCTTGCAAAATGTTGTCTATTTGTTTTCTGTCTCTTTGTCTTTCTCTGTCTCTCTGTCTCTCTCTCTCTCTCTCTCTTCACGCAATCAAGCAATCATCCAATGAAGATGATCATCATGATGATAAGTTTCTCTCTCATCTTTTCACGTAGATATTATTTTCTCATTTGAAACATTTATCTTCATCTTTCTCATCCTCCTTCTCCTTCTCCTTCTCCTTCTCTTCCTCTTTCTTTTTTTAGACTCTCTCTCTCTCTCTCTCTCTCTCTCTCTCTCTTCCATTTTATATCTTCATTGATTCTAATTGAGTTAAACAATTTTAATTATATCACAATCGCAATTTAGTATGAAAATTATTCCGATTAATTTATTAGGGTTTAATTACTTGAGGATGAATTTAATAGCTGGCCAATCAATTGATTGTTGTCATTTTTTTTCAATAATTAATTTTATTCATTGATTGTTTATGAGACGTGATTAGGGTTTTTTCATCGCAATTCAATTTTGATTAGTTAATTGTTTTAAATGTGTTGAGTTGATTGTAACAGGTAATTGATGTGCTGGTGTTATATTCATTTGAGATGATGATGGAGGAGGTTGAGCAAAGTAATTAAGAGGAGATTTAACTTAATGATAAAAATTTTCAGTCTAATTTATCATCTAATCAATTAATCAATCATTTCTATGGACACAAGTTAATTATAATCATAATTAATATGATGAATCTCTTTCTCTCTCATCATGGTAATTAAATTGTTGGACATTTTTTTAATTGTTCAAATGACCTGAGAAAACAATTAACTTAACAAATATTTGTTTTCTTTTCATGAGTGAATTAAGATGAAACTTTGAAACAATTTATAATCAAGGATAATTGCGAAAACAAATCATTTGGATACTAATGGTTAACTAATTGCTCGATGATTTAAACATTACAAACTAAATGACAATTAGAATGATGAGAAAAGGAAGAGGAATCACACAAATGATCAAAATTTAGATAATTAAACTGATAAACTAAATTGTTAGTAGATTATAACTCTGATTGTTATCGGAATAATTTTTTACTTTCTTAAATTGTCCCAGGAAATTGATTTACAAAGCTCAATGATCAAAGTGTAACATTTCAATTGGAAGCACAAACAATAAAATCAACGACAATTGTTATTAATAATTACATGAGATTAACTATTATGATTTGAGATGAGATGAGATTATCAAGATTAAGGTTAAAGGTTATCAATCTTAATTGTAGGATGAGGATGGTGATGATTATGATGATGATTGGACATGGATTGATGATCAAATGAAAAAGTGATCAGTTGCTGGAGATAATCAGTTAATTGAGAAACGAGGGCGACAATCAAATTGTTGATGATCATTAATTTTCATGCTTCTTTTACTCTCTCATTTTGGTTAATCATCCTCATCATCTGAATATCTATTCAATAATTTAGGCCTCTTGTCATTCATTCATTGATTATTAGTTTTAATTAGTTGATCAACTGTTCAGATGAATATGAACAATTAATCAATCTTCTTGTTGTTTGGCCATTCACTATTTTCTAGTAATTCAGTTGAAAATGAAAAGATATTCAGATTAATTTGATTGGCCAATTTTTACATTATTGGGGAAATTATTTAATCTAAATTGTTACTTGATTATGAATATGATTAAGGCGATTGACACTTTGATACTAATCAGCTGTTATAAAGCATAATACAAACACTAATCTTGATTAGTTATCACAATTACATTCATTTTCATTGATCATGATAAAAACTTTTTAAATGGTTAATACAAAGTAACTTAATTCCCATGATTAGATAATAACAAGAAGTTGTTAACAAAATTTGATTAGATTTAAGCTTTAATCTGATCCTGTTAATTGATTAACCAAAATCCATATTCTGGTTAATCATCATTATAATTTGCCCATTTCTTTTTCTAATTGTTAATTGTTAATTATCAAGAGTAAACTATCATCTCTCTCTCTCTCAACCTTTTTTTTAAATTGATTGAGATACAAAAGTAATAAACTCTGTAATTACCAAATGGATACATGGAAGTGTGAATCGCTTGACCAAATGGACTCTAAGATTTTAATTAATGGTCAATTCAGCTTGTAGTATAATCCACAGGCATTTACACCAAATATTATCATCGCCAAGAGAGAGAGAGAGAGAGAGAGAGAGAGAGAGAGAGAGAGAGAGAGAGAGAGATGCTGATGATGATGAAGGTGAGGAGGTGGAGGGGGATTTCTACAAACAGGTAATATCACCAAGAGAGAGAGAGAGAGAGAGAGTAGCATTAGGGTGGGGACAGAGTGAAGATGAAGATGAAGATGAAGACCCTCCTCACTCAGAACGAATCCCTCCCGACCCAATCCCTGATTGACTTTGTGCTTTTAAAACAAGGCAAAAGAAGAAGACGAAAAATGAGATAAAAGATAGGAAGAAGATAGAAGAAGAAGAAGAGAAAAAAGTAAAAGAAAATGATGAAGATGATGATCATGATGATGTGCATCATCGACATCATCATCATCATCATGAAACAGGTAAGAAAAAGAAGAAGAAGAAAAAAGATGAAGATGAGGAAAGATTAAGAATAATTTATGACCAATTATTTGTCTGATCCTTTTACCTGGAATGTAAAAAGCTTTTTACAGCTAATTTATTTTATCCGTCACAACAACGATTTCGAGTAGAAACTTAAACTTGAAGATTTTGTTTTTTGTTTCATATCCATAACCGGTTCCCTTTTCTTGTCTCAATCATTTTTTTCGTTTGTCCAGTTTACTGGTCAACAGAATGAGAGAGTAACAGAGTGAGAGAGGGAGAAAGGGTCTGCTCGTCCTTTGAAATGCTCTATTTTTGATATATATCATTTGGTATTTAAAGGATTACGATTATTGATTATTAGTCCGATTTGATACTAACTCCCAGATTTGAGTGGTGGTCACTTAGCGATTTGAAGAGGGACCTAAGCGACAAATTCTTGTAGACACAGTGACTGGGATGTCGGTGGTCAAGCTATGGACTGTGGTCAGTCGTGACCATGACGATAACTAGTTATGATTAGTGTTATTCTTGTTGTTTCTTTGGTGTTGCTTCATGTCTTTTGTTTATTGTCATGTTAATTGTTGGTGGGAGGTTTGATTATCCTTTTGTTTCAAGAAATTATCGCCATTTTTTTGTTGTTACTCTGGTCACTTTTTTAAGATTTTAATCTTTGTCAATTTACAATAAAATTAGTTGATTATCTTACTATCGTGTCTGTTTATCATTCAATCAACAAGGACAATCAACTATCAGTTATTAAGCAATAAACTCAGCATGATACATGTAATGATGATGATGATGATGAAATGAAATTGTTGATTTACAGGTAACATGAGGATAGATTTTGCTAAAGATTAAACAACTAATCAGTTTGATGTTTAATCCAAGTCATTAACAAGTTACAATCAATTTAAGATCAAAAACTTGAAAGTCAAATCATCTTATTCAATCAAATCAATCTAATCTAATTACTGTTTAACACTAATAATCCCAATCATTGGTAATAACAATTATGTTTAAAGAAACAAATTAATCATCTATTTAAATTGTTACCTTTTTTTTAGTTGTTGTTTATCAACTTAAATCATAATCACAATTCATAACTTGTTTCAATCTCAATCTCTATCTCATTGACTAATTGTAATTAAAATCACATCTCAAACATAATTCTTGTATAATTTAGCTTTTAATTAATGTTCAATGAAACTTGCGATTATAATCAAATCTCATGATGATGATAACAATTAACTTAATCATGTTTTTCTCTATTTCTATTTTTATTTCCATTCACAGAGAGTATGAAGGTATTCCCACCACAACTTTAACACTCAACAATTAACTTTGATTCCTGAGCTTAACCATTTGTCATAACAATAACAATAATAATCTTAATTGTGGTTTTGTGATTCTGTCTTTTGCTTGATTGTCTTGAACTTAAATTGTATAGTTAATCCAAACTAAATTAAATTAAACTAAATCAACTTGCCAAGACGAAACCAAACGAAATCCTTAAATCGCAGTTAAAACAAAAAAAACAACAACACAACAACTCATATTGATACAATTATTAATATTAAAAAAAAAACTTAAATTGGTGCTAATATAAAATTAATTAATCAACAACATCTACCGGCTGATTAAATTTGGATTGATAAACAAATTGTGAAATGTTTTATTCATAAATTATTGACCTTTTAAATTATTAAAGTGTTTTTTATATACTCTCATTAAATTGTCTCAATGAAATGATACAAAAATTGGAAAACAGAAACAACAACAATTTGTTAATTGTAATTAAAAAATTAGAAAAGAAAATTAAACAAAATTGAAGAAATTGAGTCGCCACCTATTGTCTTCCAATGGAAACACAAAATGCTTTCAAATTGAGAAAAAAAATTCAATCAAATTTAGAGATTGAAAATGAATTTTAATCATCTAATTAATTGTTTTTCTTTAATTAAATTGTTTTCCACAAATTGGCTGATTGTTTTCTTTTGTGAATTAAATTGTAATTGGAGAAAGTGTAACATTGGTTTTACTTTTTCTTCCAAAATGTAAGAGAAAAAGGTAAACAATGATTTCTGTTGATTTTGTTTCCATTGTTTTCTCAACTTAAATTGTTCACTCATTTTGGGAATTTAATTGTTGTTTGGTGAGTAAATTGTTTCCTTTTTGTATTTTGATTCGCTTTTTAATTAGTTGATAAGTTGATAGATGGAGTATTTGATGCGAGAGAGAGAAAGAGTGAGAAAGAAAGAGCGTCGTTTTCCCGCTTCTCTTTTTTTTGTTGTTTCTCTTTCTCTCAGATTGGTTTGTTTTTCTCTTCTCTTTCTTTTTTCTCTCTCTTTCTCTTAATCACTTTTTTGGTTTTTCTTTCTTATGTTCATCGTCATGTTAATCATCAAACGAGATGGAAGGTAAGATGTTTTCTTTTTCATTTTTCGTCTTTTAAATTTAATACTTTCAATTTACTTCGAGTTAATTGTAACCATCATTCTTTAAACATTTAATTGTTAACCAAATCTTGTCTTTTCTTTTTTCCTCTAATTACAACCCATGCCGTTCTTAATGGCACTTTTTTAGTCTCATTCTTTTCTCTGTGATTTTAATTTTCTCTTGAGATTTTGTTCTCTCTCCTTTTGGTGTTTTCTTTTCCATTTTCTATTTCACTTGACACATTTTTTTTCCTTCTATTTTCTTTGTTTTTTTTTCTTTAATTCTCCTGTCAATTACTCCATTTAGGTAGCAATATTAAACAAGAATTTGATAAAGTGGAAAAAATCGGTGAAGGTTCTTATGGTGTTGTTTATAAAGCCAAACATCGGGTCACCGGAGATGTGGTTGCATTAAAAAGGATTCCTTTGGATACGTATGAATCTGTTTTCTTTTTTCTTTAATCTATTCTTTTGGTTGGATTATATGTTTTGATTTAGCTGTTGATTCTATTGATGAATTATTGTTTTCTTCTTTTTTTATAATCTTTAAATTGTCTTTTTGTTTCTTCTTCTTTTGCCTCACACAGAGAGTCTGAAGGTGTTCCCAGTACAGCTATTAGGGAGATTGCTTTGCTTCGTGAACTTAATCATCCTAATGTGGTTCGTTTATTGGATGTAATTCATAGTGATAAAAATCTTTACCTCGTATTTGAATATTTAAATCAAGATTTAAAGAAATTACTTGATGATAGTAATGGCGGTCTGGAACCATCCCTGGTTAAAAGTTACCTTTGGCAGTTACTCCAAGGTATTGCTCATTGTCACACTCAGCGAGTCTTACATCGTGATCTGAAACCACAAAATTTACTCATCGATGATGCTGGTAACATTAAATTAGCCGATTTTGGTTTAGCTCGTTCAATTAGTTTACCAATAAGAGGTTATACCCATGAAGTGGTCACTCTATGGTATCGAGCACCGGAAATACTACTTGGATCATCTGTCTATGGACCGGCAGTTGATATTTGGGCCATTGGATGTATATTTGCTGAAATGTGTTCCAAGAAAGCTTTATTTCCAGGAGATTCCGAGATCGATCAACTGTTTAGAATATTTCGAACCCTTGGAACACCAAATGAATCAATTTGGCCTGGAGTTAGTAGTTTACCCGATTTCAAAATATCTTTCCCTCAATGGTTGCGACAAGATTTATATCGTTGCCTACCCCAAATGAGTAGAGACGCTATCGATTTGTTGGTTGTAAGTATTAATTGTTTCCCATCTTAAATGTCAACTTTTATCTTTTCATTTATCTCGCTAATTTTTCTCTTTATCACTGTTCTGTTTTTTTTTGTCATCCATTGTTTTAGCAACTTCTTAAATACGATCCAAATAAAAGGATTTCAGCTCGAAAAGCTTTGACTCATCGATACTTTAGAGATGTAAGCATAAAACCCTTATCACGTGCACTTTTTTGATCATTAAGGCTTTTAGTCACTTTCCAATCACGAATCACCAATAACCAAACACTTCCTCATGGAACCAAATTATTATATATTTCGCACTTCGCTAAATTGTGCAACAAAACTGCCCTTTTTTTCACCTCAACTTGTGGAGTCTCCCAAAGTTTTTATTCCAACAATTATCTTGACATTTGGTTTGTCATCAATGGATGGAATTAAATTTTAAACTTAATTGCCAACTCAAATCATTCCACCTTATAGACAAAGACTTGGTTTAATATTTTATTCCCAAACTATTGGTTATGTATTTAAAGACTGTTTTCTTACCTCCATCTCATTAATTTTCATCAATGGTCAACCTGTTGACCAAAAGTAAATCTATCATCATTTATAACTCATATTGATGTATAATAACAATCAAAAACTAAAAGATAAACATCGTAAATGTTGAACTAAATTGACAATCCAATTGAAATATCAGTTTAATCAGTCTGCTTAGAGAATTAATCACATCCGCGTTTCATCTGTGGAAAAAAAAGTAAACAATTAACGATATTCGCGATTAATCTGTTCGGAAGTATCGACAAAATCAATCAATTCTAATAAATTCTGGTTGAATGATATTAAATTAGTCTTTCTCAAATATCTCAGAATAGAAACAAAATTAATCTAGACTGAATAGATTAGTCATAGTTGTAAGAATCAAATTAAAAATTTCACTTAACCATAATGTAAATTAATTCTTGTGAGTTTTCAATTTCTCAAGTAATTAAATTAAACTCTTTCATCACCATTTACTTATGATTATGATGAAGATGATGAACCGATCAGAGTAACAGGAAATTTATACAATCAAAGAAAAAAAACGTTGATTGTCGAACTTTTTTTTCAAAAAGTTGGATTACAATTAATTTGAATCAACAGGAAGAAGTGTCATTGCAATTACGTTCAATTGTCTCTTCTTGATAAATACTCATAAAAAAAATACAATTTCAATTTCATTTGATAACTTTGGTCACTTTAAGTGAAGTAAAAGTTGAACCTCAACCACAACCTTTCAACTTCCGATTTGAGTCCAGAATTCATATTATTCTTAATTATTCTGTAAAATGTGGAGATCGAGAAGGCCCGACTTTTGAAGGGCCAGATGAGAATTAAAATTTGGTTCAATTGATTTGGAAGATTTTTTTCACTTCGAGTAACAAAACGATCCAAAGATTCAACAATTAAAAACCAATCGTCGAAAATTTCACCTCAAAACAATAGAATAAATGATAATTTAACGTATTCACAATGATTAGAATTGAATTTTACATTCAACAATCAACAAACAATTAAAAGGAGTGAAAAAAAAATACGAAAATACGGTGTCTATTTTCACGGAAATTGATGTACGTTTAGTCTGTTATTCTTCGAGCAAAGTGTTTACTTTGTTTGTTGTTGATTCTTATTTAGATTGTTAATCTCATTTGTCTAAATGTTTCTGTGACAATTAGTTAATTGTTTTACTCTGTTTCTTTAGCAATAATGTCTAAAAAGATGAACATGATTCCTAGTTACCGATATAACAATGGAATCTTTGTCTACGGTGTTAAATTGTTTCGTTTGATTAGTTTTGTAATGTATGGATTTGCCATCGGTTGGATTAACACTCATCCCTCTGTCCCTCCGTACGAAAGTGTTGGTGCTTTTGGTGGTTCCCTTAAATTTTTAACTTATTGGAATCTATTGACACAATTTATCCTTTTTACCTTAATCAATTACTGTGATTTTTTCCTGCTCTCATCGGATGGAACCTTTAAACATAATCAATCGTCAAGTGTATTAATTAAACTGAGAGACATTGTTCACCATGGACTTGCCTTACCATTAGGATTGGTTAGTTTTTTCATTTTTTATTTTTCTTATTCGCAACTTTTTCTTGCTCTTATTTTGTTTGTATTGTGACAAAGTTTCCTCAGACTCAAGATACATGAATGTCCGTCAGCTCAATATTTTCACTTTGAGCTTATTTTTTTCAGCTCAAGGGTCAAGCTACAGATGAAAATGGACTTAATTGTTCAGTTAATTGTGTTTTTTTAAATTAGGTTAGGTCTTCGGCTACTCTAAATTGTAATGTTACTTTTCTGTTTATGATTGTCAAAGGTGCAGATATTTTGGTTCTGATATTTATGTCCATCCTTTGGCTCTTCTTTTAGGCTAAAAGTTTTAGCTCTTTTTAATTACGAGTCAACAACTCGGGTACCTGGAGAAAAAGAGTTTTAGATTTTAAATTGTTTCGTAAATTGTTTGACAGATGGAGGCAAATGAAGATCATTGAGTTAAAACATTAGCTTGAAATGGCTTCATAAGCCTTGTGAAAAGATTTCTCTTTGAAAACTACATTTCCACCTTTCTCTGGGGCTAATTGAAGCTTTTTATACTAAATTCAAAACCAGAAAATCTATCAGTTGGTACACTCGATTTTTGAATGGACGATATGACTCGAAATTCAAGTCAATTTTGCATTTAATTCGACTCAAAGTCGACTAACTTCAGTCGACCAAGTTGATTGATTTTCGGCTTCGACTCAAGTCGTTTGCTGATAGACTGACTGGCTGAATAGATCGACTAGCTTCGGTATCTAAAAATTTTCATTCATTTGTTTTGTTTTGTTGATTGTTTAGTTTTCCCGTTTGTTATTGTTACCATAATTTAGTTTAATTTGTTTTGTTTTCAGGTGATTTCGATGAGCATTTTAATGATTCAACTTCTAGTTACCTTGTGATTAACATCATCTAGAAAAAGATAAATTTTATTAAATGTTACAATGAAATCTTTGCCCTTTTTTCACCTTTTCCCTTTAATTGTTAAATCCTTCATTGTAAACAACAATTACAATCAACATTAGTGTAACTTATTGTTTGTTGTTTGCAATTTCTCAAAAAATAATCCGAGCCCTCATTCCGTTTACCTGAATGAACTTTCAACTAAAATCAACTTAATCTTTCACCTCACCTTTAGTTGATTCATCAAATTGTAAACGATTTCAGCTCAACGATTGTCTTTCAAATTTGGATGATTAAATTGTATCTGGTTAGTATTTGATCAATGAAGATTTTCTAATCAATCACCAATCTAATCCAACCATTGATCTCTCACCTCTGTGTTTGTAGGATTACAGAAGTTAAATTGTAACAGTTACTTTAAAGTTGACCATCGAATGATTATCAAATTTAACTAAAAATAGTTGAAAGAATTAATTTGATTAAATTGCTGTTGGACTTTTAAATTATTCGATCAACTATTTATTCCAGATCGAAATGAATTTATCACCTTATATCAACAATAGTAATCATGATGAGTTTCCAATCAATTGAAACACAATTCAAGTACTTGTGGTCTTTTTTATTTGTGTTTCTAATCAATTTAGTTTCAATTTAATAGTAACAATTAATTATCATCAAGCTCTAATACTCACTCATTATGGTTTCACTTATTTGTAACCAAAATGAAATATCCAATAACAAAACAACCCGAAACTGGATCATTTATATCATTTAACTGACCTCAGTTTCAAGTTCCGTATCTGTTTATATTAGACTTTTTTTCTCTCTCAATTTTCACACAACAATCAACAATTTCCTTTTCTTAATTGTTAATTGTTAATCGTTTTTTGTTCCCGTATCGCCACTAATATTGATTGTGTTCAAATTGTTTGTCCCAATTGTACTTGTTAGTTCCTATTATTGTTTTGTCATTCGTCATGTTAACTGTCTCAATTCAGAAGATCACAATCAACATCTCATCTCTTCCTTAAATTTTATCTTCATCTTCTCATCTTTCTCTCTCTCTCACTCCATCCTTTTATCATCAACTCACTTTTTATCTTCTTCTTCAATCATTTTCATATCTCTTTGGTTTTGATCTTGAAAAACTTAACCTTTACGTGCTAATGTATCTTCAAGGAATATGAATGTTACTCTAACCACCATGATCATCATTCAACAATTGAATTTATGATCAACTTCCCTGAAATTATCATGAAATGATTATTCAATTGTCAATTAACATCCATCATCTATAATCTAGTCTTTCTCTTTTCCTCTTTATCATTTTTGATTCTTTCTTCCTCTTTACTTTTTTTTCCTAAATTGTTTATTCATTAATCAATCAGTATTTCATTTCAATTTATACTCATCATCATGTATTTTTAATCCGGCTATTCTGATAGTCTGCTCTCCCTCTCTCTCTCTCTCTCCTCTTTCATAATTAATTGTTTCTTCAATCATGGGTGAGAGATTAAAATCTTCATTATTATCTTTGTTATTAAATTTTCTTAATATTTATTAAGTCACGATTTAACTTATTTCTTGTTTTCTTGATTAGAATCAGTGATTGTGTTCAAGTAACGAATGGTTAAAATCAATTGTGTGTGTTTCCTCAATGATTAAAGTGTAACTTATAATCATCAGTTAATTGTTGTTGCTATAATTTGATTGAAATTTCCACAAGAAAGGAAATCAAAACAATGAAAATTTACCTTGAATGTTCACTAATCACAAATTTTAATTTCTTTTTTTCTCTCTCTTGTAACCTTGTGTTAATTGTTTACTAATTGCTTAGCACGTAAAATGGCAACAACAAATGGTGATACAAATGTAATCAAAAGTGGACATTGGTCAAGCCCTACTCTCAATTCATCCTCATCCATCTCATCCACTGAATATTTATCATCAAATGGTCACAGTGGCAGTGATAATACCAATGGAAATGGTTTCCCTTTTAATGGCTCCCTTACCATTGAACCTCAAAATGGTTATGAGATAATGACCTTTGAACCTAAGTGGACATCGTCCAAGATTCACATTGCCTCGGATCCACCTTTTTGTAAAACCTGTGAACAATTAGATACAACTTTTTTCAACATCCAATGTCACAATTGTCGCGAAATATTGACCAATCCAGAGACAACGATATCACAATTATTTGCCATTCTAAGACAATGGGTACCCCAAATACAATATTGCATTGAACTATTGGTCAAGGAAATACTTAAACGAGGTGCCCATCATAATGACAAAGATGGACTTACCGATATGACGTTACTTCATTATGCCTGTAAAGCGGGTTCATCAGGGGTTGGTGATGTTCGAGCTGCCCTTCGAACAGTTCATCTTCTCATCTCAAAAGGAGCTGATATCGGTATTAGATGCCGATGGACAGATATGGCAGCTATTCATTATGCCGTTTATTTTGATGTCTCAGAAATTGTTGACTACCTATTGACCATTAGCGATCGAACCTGTATCGATGATGTTTGCCATGACTTCGAGGGTGGGACACCTTTACACATCGCAGCGGCCAATTTATGTATCGATTCAGTTAAAGTGCTTCTTAAACATGGAGCAAATGTATTATTAAAAGATGATCACGGACGAACTGCTCTTGACTGTGTTCCCGACCCAACTACCCTTCTTAATTCAAGTATACTCGCCAAACAAGGGGCCGTTGAAGTGGCCATTGAACTAAGAGCGCTCCTCGAGAAAGCATTTCTAGCCACAATTCCTGGTGAAACGTTTACCTTTGAAGGTCCAGTTACAGGTAAAGTTGTTCTTCAAGCACTAGGATTACAATTAGGGGATAAGGTGGTTATCAACGGTGTTAAATCGGGTATCTTAAGATTCTGTGGTGCGACACAATTTGCACCCGGAATTTGGGCTGGAGTTGAACTCGAAGAGCCCGAGGGTAAACACGATGGTAACTTTCAAGGAGTAACTTATTTTAGGTAAGAAAATTTTTTATCCAAACAAATTGATTGAACTTTTTTTCCTCTCTCTCCAAATTGTGTTCCAATTATTTGATTGCTATCTTTTCAATTAATTGACAATTTTATTATAAGGAACCAAATTAACAATTAAACTGTTCTAAACACAATTTGTGTCTCTTTAATGGGTACACCTTTTTTTTTAAATTGTCACTTAATCAGACCTGGTTCCTTCTTGATTAGTAATTAGTGATTAGTGATTAGTTGATAATCGTAACTTTGTTATCATTTCAAATCTTTCCTTTTAATTTAGATAAATTAACTTGAATATTATTAATACATTGAAGTAATTGTTTCTTTTTGCCTCTAATTACTTAACCATACCAATCAATTGAATCAATAATTACAATTAAGTTGATCAATTGTTTCGAAAATTTTAGTCAATAATTTATTATTGTTACGCTTAAATGACAAGAATGAAAAAAATGATTCCCCCTCTAATTTAAATCTTTAAATCAAATACAATTTAAAGGCAAAATAACACAATTAACTTTCCTAAAATCAGCTGCAGCCAATTTCCAATTATATATTTAGCTTAATCACAATCCAATTAATAATTTTAAATTAACTTTTTACGCATCAATTAATTTTATCCACTCACAAATTATAAATCTTTATATGATTGTCATTAATATTATATGCAGATTAAGTGTTCAAACGAGGAGAGGTTTAAATTGTTACTTTAGATTGAAATTCATTATCCTATTAACTGTAACCCTGATTAACTTTTTAATTGTATTTAAATTTTTATTAGATGTCCACCTAATCATGGTATCTTCGCACCGATAAGTAAAATATGTAAATACGATAACCTTTGGCGAAACGTTAAAGGTACAAGTCAAACAATACGAATCGTTAATCATCCGGGAGTTGATGTGTCTCATGTTACACCGAAAGTTGAGACAGGTAAGTTGATTGTTGATGATAATTGTTGAGAAATTAAATGTTGTTTGTCTATTTTTTTAGGTCTTAATTCATTGAAATATCGAACTGCCAATGTTGCCGAAGTTGGAGATAGAGTTATATTGACCGATAAACGAATTGGTGTTGTCCGTTTTGTCGGCGAAACATCATTCGCTTCGGGTATTTGGTATGGAATTGAATTATCAAAGGCGATCGGTAAAAATGATGGATCCGTTGAGGGAGTTAAATATTTTGATTGTAAACCATTACATGGACTATTTGTACCACCGGGAAGGATATTAAGGGTCACCAAGAATATGAATCATTCCTTATCCTCGAACAATAATAATAATAATCATTACCAATCGACACCAAATGATAAGACAATTGCTGATGATGAAAGCTCAGAATGTAGTTTAACTCTAAGTCGAAGTTCATCTGAAAGAGCCAAAAGTCCACTATCAATGCGTCGATTACGATCCCGTTCATCTCTTAAATCATCATCATTCTCACCAACCTCTTATCCTCATTCATCAATATACAATCATAATAATTCATCATCATCTTTATCATCACCAATTAATAATTATAATAACAACCCAAACTCTTTACTATTATCAGCACCTCCGTCGTCCTGGTTGACCCTTGGAGTAAATGTTTTCGTTAACAATGAGGTTGGAGTTGTGAGGTATATTGGTCCAGTCGATTTTGCTCAAGGTACTTGGCTTGGATTAGAATTGAGAAGTGCCAATGGCAAAAACGACGGTTCCGTCCAGGGTAAACGGTATTTCACTTGTAAACCAGGTCACGGTCTTTTGGTTAGGCCAAAAAAAGTGTCCGTTCGTGGTATCAATGGAGCTAAATTATTACCCGATGATTGAATCTCTTTAAAATATGAGCGTTTATTTTTGCAGCATTTAATTGATCTAGAATCATGTTGATCAATTTGTCAATATTCACCATCTACGTCAACAATAATTTAATATTATCAATTGCACTTTGATTGAAATTTACCCTTTCATTCATATACATGTAACAATCAAATTGAATCACAATCAAACCACTGAAACTTAAACTCGATCAATACAGATCATCAAATATCACCACCATTGGCATTTTGTCCGGCATTTAAATTGAATTTTTGTTTCCTGATTAGCCCAAGACTTCATTAAATTAAGATCTCTTTGAATCTTTTAGCTTCTAACCTGTGGGGGGAAAGTTTGAGACTTTTTGATCAAACATTCGTAGAAACCGTAGCATTTAGTGTATTCAACTGAAATTTTATATTCTTATGGCTAATATACGAGAGATAATATTGTATAAATTTCAGGTCAAAAAATCTAATAGTATCGCTAATTTTTTAAATTGAAGTGCGATGAAAAAAAATCGACAATCATTTGATTACAATTAATTTGAATCAACAGGAAGAAGTGTCATTGCAATTACGTTCAATTGTCTCTTCTTAATAAATACTCATAAAAAAAATACAATTTCAATTTCATTTGATAACTTTGGTCACTTTAAGTGAGGTAAAAGTTGAACCTCAACCACAACCTTTCAACTTCCGATTTGAGTCCAGAATTCATATTAATCAGAACGGAAAAATATAAGTTTTTTTGTGATGAAAATAAAAGTTACAAGTTTTTGAATAGTTGTTGTACTGGATGATGAATGATGAATGAAAATGATGATAGTGGTGATATAATAATAATAATAATAATTTTTAAAATGATAATTGATGATTACGATGATTGTTAATGATGCTGGTTAATGGTAAAAATAATTGACCAAATTGGTTATGTTTATTTTCCCATTGAGTTAGTTTTGTTTGTTTGTTGCCATTTTTTTCCTTGATTGTTCAAGTACGAGGTTCTCTGGTTATCTTGTATATTAGAATTGTGCTTCTCGATCGTTGTCCTTGAGATTGGTCATAATCACCATCATCGTCCTCATAATCAACATGAACACATTCACAATGAAGATTCCATCTTTTCATGACACATTCAATGTTCCAACTTGAATTGCGAACTTGATAAGTGGTATAGCAAACAGTCTCAGGATTACGGGTCATAAAATAGGCTAAGGTCATCAAAATATCCTCGAAATCATTTGGATCATAGAAACAATCGGAAGCAATTATCGCATCAATCAGAGGAATCTTAAAGAAAACACCAGTAAATCTGCCCCAAGTTAACGGGAAAATGTGTATCACTTTCGGATCGATATCTTCAATCGAATCATCTGTACCAATGATTAAATTATTCTGTAAAATGTTGACATCGAGAAGGCTCGACTTTTGACGGGCCAAATGAGAATCAGTAACAATCAATTTAGCCCCAAGAAGAGCACCAACGATACCACAAAGTCCAGTACCACTACCCAATTCCAAGATTCTTTTACCAGCGAATTGAGATCGATGTTTAATCATAAATTTTGACAACACGGGAGCAGCAGGCCAAGTGATCATTGAATAATCGGTATCACATTTCTCTTTAATGGTCACTTCCAAAATTCTTGATTCATTGATATTATTATTGTTACCACCAAGTGGAAAAGTGTATTTTTTTTCGCTCACTAATTGGCCTCCATTTTCGTTGGCTTTTTGTTGGATCAACGGTACCATATGATCTTGTGACATTATTATTACGATCAAGGTAAACAATCTGTAAACACACTGATGAACAAATCAATGGATGGCAACAATTATCAATAGAGAAGAAATGAAGAAGAAGAGAAAAAAAAGGTTAACACAAAATAATTCCAATCGAAAAATATTTTTCAAGTGGAAACAACATCAACTACAGGTAATAACAGAAAGAATATCAACAAAATAGCAAAAAAAAAAGAAAACAACAACGAGAAGAGAGAGAAGAAGAAAAAGAAAAAGAGAGAAAGAAAACAAGAGTTGACCAGTAAACAGGTAACATACAGAGTGGTCATCAAGTTTACCAAAAAAAGAGGGGAGGGTAAGTTATGGCTCAGTGCGCTGTCGACGTGAAGAGAGTTGACTTATCCAGGTAGGTTCTCTAACAAGGTGGTTCAACGCATTCTCATCCCCAACCAGTATCCAGATTATTTCTGGAACACTGTGTAGATGTAATAAAAAAAAGGATTAAAAACACACTAACATACAAACAGTAAAATGAGAGAGGAAGAAGAAGAGAAAAAAAATCCAAAATGATGACAATTATTGTTGTTCTTCAATTGGACCACTTTTACTACTCATTCAATCACATGGGTTGTAAATCGTTGCTTGATTTGGTGGAACAATTATCATCTAATCCTCTGATCACCAGTAACCAATTAAATTCTCTGGTCTTTGTTAATTTGCAAAAGAAAATGGAATTTTGTTTTTCTCTTTTAAATCAAATACCGGTTACTATTTTTTACTATCACCTCCAAACCAATAACAGTTTAATTACAGAATATTTTTTGTTGATTAGTAAACAAGTTGAATGTAAATTTGTAATTCTTTAGAGTCACAGGGAAATTACTTAATTGACATTCAGGGTAACCAAATAAAAACCAATTCTTTAAGAATTAAATTGTTTCAAATTGGATTAACAAGATAAATTACAATTCGGTTCAGTTGATTTGGAAGATTTTTTTTTTCAATTCGAGTAACAAAACGATCCAAAGATTCAACAATTAAAAACTAATCGTCGAAAATTTCACCTCAAAACAATAGAATAAATGATAATTTAACGTATTCACAATGATTGAATTGAATTTTACATTCAACAATCAACAAAAATTAAAAGGAGTGAAAAAAAATACGAAAATATTTTAATAACATTAATTAAAACGAAGAAAATTTAAAATTTATTGCCTATTTTCACGGAAATTGATGTACGTTTAGTCTGTTATTCTTCGAGCAAAGTGTTTACTTTGTTTGTTGTTGATTCTTATTTAGATTGTTAATCTCATTTGTCTAAATGTTTCTGTGACAATTAGTTAATTGTTTTACTCTGTTTCTTTAGCAATAATGTCTAAAAAGATGAACATGATTCCTAGTTACCGATATAACAATGGAATCTTTGTCTACGGTGTTAAATTGTTTCGTTTGATTAGTTTTGTAATGTATGGATTTGCCATCGGTTGGATTAACACTCATCCCTCTGTCCCTCCGTACGAAAGTGTTGGTGCTTTTGGTGGTTCCCTTAAATTTTTAACTTATTGGAATCTATTGACACAATTTATCCTTTTTACCTTAATCAATTACTGTGATTTTTTCCTGCTCTCATCGGATGGAACCTTTAAACATAATCAATCGTCAAGTGTATTAATTAAACTGAGAGACATTGTTCACCATGGACTTGCCTTACCATTAGGATTGGTTAGTTTTTTCATTTTTTATTTTTCTTATTCGCAACTTTTTCTTGCTCTCATTTTGTTTGTATTGTGACAAATTTTTTCCTCATGGTTATTGTTTATTTCTTGTTAATTTGATGATCTCTTTTTTTGTTTCTTACGTTTATTTGGTTTACAGTTTGTTGTCCTTGTTTATTGGATGATCTTTGCAATAGATCCTGAACTTATCTATCCCATTGCATCTCGACCATATTATCCAGAGTGGTTGAATCAGATAACTCACTCTGCTATTGGAATTACGGTTCTGGTGGAAGAATTTGCTTTCTATCATCCTCGAGATGATCGGAAAGCTTTTATTGCTCTTCTCACTTACATTGTTTCTTATTTCATTTGGGTTCTCTATCTTGGCTATGTAATCAACTATTGGCCCTATTCGGTTATCAGAATTATTCCTGATCCTTACAAAATACCTTTCATAGTTACATTTGGACCAGTATTCGGATTTATATTGAATTTCACCCAATTTCTTCACAATAAGCAATGGCCTACACCTTATCAAAGACCTCGTAAAGAGAAACGAAGATGATCCAAAGTGTAATCACAATCAAGAAAAACAAATGGAAAAATACTCAAAGTGATCTGAATGAAATCGCATCTTCCTATTCACCAGGTTGGACTTTCTCTAAGAATCACTTAATCTACTTCTGACTGACATTCTCATTAATTTATCTTCATCATTATCATGATTTCTATCTGATAATTATTCACTTTCAATGTTTCTCCATTCATGTTAGATTATTAATTAACTTCAATTAACTGACACAAAAAATGGTTAGTCAAAAATACTCATTCAAATGCCACCAATCAAATTATTGATATTATCTTTCAATCAATCATCAAATTTGAAAGAAAATATCAAATGTGACCACAATTTAACCAAAAACAATACAAAGTTGAACAAGCTGATGATTTACTTAATCAACTTTCCCTGATTATCATGTAATTACTGTTTCTCTTTTGTCATTCATCAAACTAATATTTATCACTCATAATTAAATCAGTGCAATAAGATCTGTAATCATGTTTAAAGTTACACAATTTAAGAAGAAAATAATGTTGAGCATTGGAATTAATTTCAACAATCTTCGAATCAAATTCACAATTAAAATCTTTTTAAATTAAATTGTCCCACTTTTTATTGTTCTATTGAAACAAAAGGTGAAATTTAATTATTAATCAAAGTGATTAAGAGAGCAATTAACAGGCAATAGTCCAAAGTATAAAAATGATTGATCATCAGGATTGACAGTTTGACAATCAACAGTTGATTATGATGAGCTGTTGATTGTTGAAAATTGAGATTCGTGAGAGTATATGAAAAAAAAATTCATCCATTAGAAGATAAAGTAAATTGATTGCAATTAGATGAATCATAAATTTGATTAAGTTGCTAATCAAATTGTAGATTGTGAGTTTGTCTTGATTGTGAGATTTTTGTTTTCTAGGCAAAGGAATGGTGGATGGAATGAAGATAATTTAGTTAACAGCAATTAACTGGTTAACATTTTCAGCAAAACTTGGTCATGTTAATTGTGGTTAATTGTTGAATGCAAAGTGGTGTCAAATTTAAGGGAGAGAAATATTTAATTTCTCATCACAAGGTGATTTGATCGTTGATTAAAAAGGCATAATTTCATGTGAGATATGAGATAATTTAGATTGTTAATTGTTTCAAAACAATCACAGTTGCGAGTGTTAATAAGTATGAGTTTTGTAGGTTCGTTGATGAAGATGCTAATGATAAATAAGCATGATGGTAAATCGGTTCAGAACTTTGTTCAACTCGAATTACTTTTGATGTTGAACCGAGTTTATTGGTCGCTTGGCAAACATATTCACCGAAATCATCGGATTTTAAACGGGCGATACGAAGAGTAGAAGACGAAACCTCGTTTGAAGTTTGTACGGAATTTATTTCAACGCCTGTAGCGTCATTTAGACGATAATGATCTTTCAACCAATAAACCTCGACCAGTGGGAAACCCTCGGTGACACATTCGAGCTCAAGGGAGTAATCAATAGCTTGTCGATAAACATCCATTGGTGCTGTGATTGAAGGTGCGAATTCAACTCTAACGCCAACATTACGTTTGGCCTCCAATCCGACGCTGTTGTTGGCGATACAATAATAGGTTCCTCTGTCCTCCTTGGTGATATTGTGGATCAACAGGATGTTACCAAAATAAACGGAGCTTCCTGTTGGTAAAATATCGTTGTTTTGTCGACGCCAACTGATGAGAGGCCGAGGGTGTCCAGTGGCATAGCAGACCAGCTCAATTGAAGCTCCTTCAAAGGTCGTAACGACCCGAGTACTATTGTCAACAATTGTCGGTGGCACTCGAACGGTAACATTAACATCAGCTGTCACTCTACTGGCTGTACCTGTGATCACTTGGCACTCATAAGTTCCCGAATCTGTTTCTCTTATTTTGGACAATTGTAAAGTGTAAGTGTAACTGGCATCATCATGGCGAATGGAGTATCGGTTGTCCGGTATAGAGAGTCCAGCATTCTTGGAAATGAACAGGGTGTTCCTTGGATCTTCTCGGTCAATTTTAACCCAAATTACTGGATAATCTTGTGGATATTGGATAGCACACTGTAGGTCAACAGTATCGCCAACAAGGACAACCTTTTCGGGTGAAATAAAACTAATTGTCGGATGTAATGTGGCTCCAATTAATTTAGTAAAATTAACCAACAATAACAAACAAGAAACAAGAAAAATGGTTTTCAAACAAACTGGTAACATTTTCAATCTAATTACCAATCAAAAGGAAGAAAACAAACTCAATTGGGTTACTTTTTAAGTGTAAATTTACATTGAGCCCACAAAACTATTAATTGGAAACAATTAAACGAAAAACAATTAACGAAACAAAATCAAAAATTAAGTTACAATTGAATTGGAATGCAACAAAACAGTAAACAGAGAAAGGGAAAGGGAAAAGTAGGCGCGGTCTTTGAGTAGAAAAATTTGATTGCCAAGTTAATTAAGCGAAAAGAATTTAATTTAGAATAAAATTAAAGTTAATTGGGATGAATTCTAAAAATAACAATTAGTGATTAACTAGATTAATGGACAATTAGTTTTCTTATTGGAAATTCACTATTGATTATTTTTGTTTTCCTTTACTTGGTCAATGAAAACGAGAAAAATGATCAATTGATTGTTGATAAATTCTGATTCAATTTAATTGATTCTAATCTAATTTTGGAAATAAATTGTTACTCTAATAATAAATTGTGTTTGTTATTGGTTTCATTTCGCTTAATTGTTCATCATATTTTGATCAATTCCTGGTAAATTTGATTATCTTCAATTCAATTATTTCTTTGTCCATGTTAATCATTTAAACTCAACATAAATCAAATTATTCACATAATCAAACATGGGAAAAATTAGATGATTAATCAAGAAGATGATCAGTTAACTAACCAAAGTTATTAATTTATAACTAATTCGATTGAAGGTCAATTTAAAATCAATACAATTGAATCAAGATTGAGGTTGATTCACATTTGCGTGACCATTGATTTGCTTCAATTTGTTCCCATCAATTGATGTCCAGTTGATCAAAGTTTTTTTTTGTTTTATTTGCAAGAGTTAAGTTGATCCTTAATCATTGATTGGAAATCGGATTAATCATATCAAATTGAGTGCAATTAAAAGTACCAAGCGATGAGAGGATCAAAGACCAAGTTATTTACCCAAACCGAAAGCCGACCCGAGACTCCGGGTGAAACTCATCATCTCGAAGTGAGTAAACAATTTAATCTGTTAATCTAATGTTACAACAATTAAAATGATTCTCGTGGTTAAAATTAGATCTTAAAACCAATGATTAAAGTGTCCGAGTATCTTGGCTCATGGCCCAGAGATGGTCAGCAATTTATTTTACGATTAACTCCTTGGAATGGATTAACTTTGTTTGTCCTTCACTTTTACACTGCTCATAAATTTTTCAATTGGATGACGGTGGTTAAGACAACTGAAAATATCTTCGAGGTTTTCGAGCAATTAACTTTGATCATTCGAACTGGAATCGTCGCAATTTGTTTCGATTATCGTTTCATGATGCATCATTCATTGATGAATCTATTCAAGGTAAATAAATGTTCATCTTATGTGGTGACAATTTCTTATAACCAGTAATGTTTGTTGTTCCAATCAGATTCTGGGAAGGATTAAAACTCTCAATGAAGATAAGAGTCTATTACAATTGCGAACAACAATTAAGATAATTGCTGGTATTTGTTTCTGTTTTGTGTTCTTACATGTTTTGTTTGCATCCATCTTTATGTTTCACTCGAGTACCGATAAGTATGTTAATTGGCTTTTCTATGGAGATGCAGCAAGTAAGTTGATTGTTGATTAAATTGTCCGGAAATTTGATGTTCATTTGATTGTTTCAAATTCAGATTCAACTCCTGATTTTGTTATAAGAATCATCATGATCGCTGATTGGGCCTTGTATCTTTATCTGGTCATATGTAATGAGTGTTTCTTTTTCGGGATGTACATCGCTATTTGTTTAACAATGTTATGTAAGATTAACGATTATAATTGTTTCGTTAAACGAATCCAAAGGGAAAGAATAATCAAATCAGGTGATCAGGTTCAGGAACTTTACATCATGCACACTCGTTTATCGCAGATGATCACGGAGGCTGAAAGAAATTATTCTTTTCCATCCTTCATTTGGGTTCTTTGTATCATCTTCAATTTAGCGGTCAAAATCGAGTCCGTTATTCATGGCGTTAAAAAGGCCGAATTTCGGGAATTTGGTTACGTTTTCACAGGTAAATTTGTTACATTGTATTGGTTGATTATCTTTGTAAATCTTTCCATTCATCTCGTTGTTAGATGTTATCTATTATACGCTTGGTTTCATGGCGATATGTTTGGTTGCCAGTGAAGTTGGTGAGGCCAATTCAGCGCCGATTATTTCCTGTATTAAAATCGCTGAACAGGGTGACATTGATGATTGGACTTTCCAACAGGAATCTCAACTTTTAATTACTAAAGTTAATACACCAATGTTGAAGCTTTCCGGTTGGGCTTGTTTTGAACTTAATATGCAATTCATGTTGACAATTTTAGGAGCTTTGGCAACTTACGCAATTATTGTTATGCAAATGGCTTGAGAATATGTTAATTGTTGTTGTTGTTGTTTCAATATTGAAAGTACAATAAATTAGTATTGATTGACACACTATTGCCAATCATTAAAAGGGTTTACATTTTTTGAGAAAGCTTCTGAAATTATTTACTGTTTATCATCAGTTAAATTGTACGAAGCATTTAATTGTTCTCATTTTTATGTTACATTAATAACAATATTTATTATTATCTCATTAGCTCTGAATTTTACCTGAACTTTAATAGGTAGGTTGATATCGAGGAGGTAATGGCTCCACTATTTGATGTAAAGGTTTATCGTACCAACCTCCTATTCTAGCAGGATAGAGGACATATTTAGCTTTAGATTCCAAGTTTGTCAAATCAACACCAAGATCAACTAGGGTTTTTGCACCGGGAGTAAGTTTGTCTGTAGTGTGCTCCTGTCAAGTGAATAAAAGTGAAAATTAATAAATCTGATGAAACTTTCAGCTAAATCAACCAATTCGCTTACGATTTCTACTAAACCCCAACAAACAAACGGTTTTTTCAATGTTAGTGTTTGCACAGTGATTACTGCTCTCGTGATTGGAGAATATTTCAGATCAAAAACGTATTTGTAATCTTTCTCTCCCATATTAAGCCAATCGTTGAAGTATCGAACCATATCTTTCAGTTCATAACGTCGAGGTCTGAAAATCAATTTAAAGAGTTAGAAAAAGGTATGTGAATGAAGAAAAACAAAAAAACAATTTACCATAAATAGTGAGATAATCTTACCCAACACATTCATAAGTTTCACCGTAGTTAAACTCATTGAAAATACTATTTACCATTCCCTGGACAACATCAATGAAATAAACTGGTTCCTTGTAGATGTCCTGTCCAAGACCCCAAAGGGCTATAGATTTTGTAAAGGTTCGTCTAGCTGATGCAGTGTAATAGTTGAACAAACGATCAGCAATACCGAACATCCAACCAGGTCGGAAAACAATGGCGTCTGGAAATTCATTTCGAACCGCTAGTTCACCTTCGTATTTAGTTTTGAAAAATTGAGCTCCAAGTTTAGAGCAAACTGGTTCTGGGTCTGGTCTTGCGTTTAAAGCCGACATATGAACGAGTTTTTTCACACCAGCAAGCCGACTAACTTTAGCAATTCTTCGAGCACCATCAACATTGGTATCATTAAATGTGAAAGAACTAAAATGGATAATCGATAGAGATATTAGATGAAAGTTTAGAACGAAATTGATTTAATGGTTTAAATTTAGAAAAGATTCTCACGGAGTATCAGAGTAAGTTCCAATCAAGTTAACAACCACATTAGAATATTTGACAGCTCGGAATAATGATTCTTCATCTCGTAAAGAGAAGGGCTAAATTTATAAAGAAAAATCAATTTCAATGTTAATATTTTAAAATAAATTTGATCCAAGGAAAACTTACCACAAACATGACTTGACCTAAATCACCAGAAACTTTTAACTCTCTCACTTCCATAGGATCTCCACGATAGGGAATAATAACTTGTGTCCCTCTTCTAGTTAAATTACTGACTAAAACTTTGCCTAACGGGCAAGTTGCACCAAAAACAGTTACCACATTACCATTAAAAGATGATCTTCCACCAGTACCACGTTTAAGGGTTGCAGTTAATGGATTATCAGAGGTGAGAGAAACTTCAATCTCATTTTTATCAGAAAAATTTCTCTTGCTAATTTTAACAGCTGATAATGAAGTAATAGCCCCATTACCTATGAAACATAAAAGTAAACCATAAATTAGTAACAAGAATAAAAACAAAATGTTAATCATAGAAAACAAAACTAAAATCCTTACCTCTAAATGCTACCAACGAAAATCTTGCCAATGGATTCATCATACTAGAGATCATTTCAAAATTTCCTCTACTATCTCAGATCCCTCAAAATTTAGACAAACGACTATTGAATAAAAAAACCGGAAATAATAAACTAAGCCAATTAAATCATTCCAATCAACAATCAACAATCAAAATCATTGTTGACATTGAACAAAAAATGAAAAAAACAACAACAACCTAACCAGAAATGAAGCTCCTCCCATACAAATAAAAAGCCCGGTTAACTTGATTATTAAATAATCGATTCCGTAAAGAAGTGTAATTTATCCAATAACATCAAAGAAATTAAAATGACAAATATGAAGAAACAAGAAAACAAAAAGCAATCGATGAGAATTGATGGTGAAAAATAATTAAAAAGACAATTAATTAAAGAAAAATTAAAAAAGAAATTGGAAAAAAAATTAAATCGAATGAATGGAAAATAGTTGTGCGCATGCGCAGAACAATTAAGAATAAACTTTACCGAATTCGCCACAAGATGGAAGTAGTTCAGGAGCGAAAATGATCAAGATCATTTTCTTTAACCGTTTCTCCAAATTCATTTGTTTTTCTATTTAATTGTAAATTATATTGATTCTTTTTCTTTTCATGGAAACAATTAAACTTTGACTTGATCTCTCAACTTTGATTTTCACAATGATTAGTGTTGTTACCTGGTCTCACGAAGGTTAATTCTCATATTGGAGCCCATATTTGTTGGAATTATTTTTCTTCTTTTCTAATGTGTACAAACTGTTTACAAACCTTTTGTTCTACTGGTTGTGTTTTTCATCTTCATCTTTTTTCCTCTCTTTCTCTCTTTCTTTCTTTATCTTTCCTTTACTTTTCTTTACTCTTTCCTCATCATTTTCTATTCAACAACACACACACACAAAATTCATTCATTTTCATGATCAATCAAAAGGAAGACTCTTACTTACTGTCTTAATTTACTTTTAATTGGAGAGCAAACATCAACATATAAACCGCCTCCTTTCTCTCTCTCTCTCTCTTTTTCTCTCTCAGTAACTCACTCTTTGTCTCTTCATTTATCACCTTTTATTATCCGATCATAATCTGAATTCTTGTTCTGTTTTCATGACCGAACCAAAGTTTTCAATGGTCCATCAAGCAGATTTATACGAAGAAACAATAGTCGATGGGTTTGCAATATACGCCTTCCTTTCCTATTCTGATTGTGAGGTAAGTTAATTCGATTCAATTTCAAACCTATTTTTCTCTAATTTATCCATCATTTGCATTTGTACCATCATCAACTTGCATATGGTTTTTTTATTTCTTTCCATCCTAGTTTGGGTATAAAAGTTTATGTTACCCATGTTTGGTTTTTTCTTTTTCTCTATTTGTTCTTTTCTTACCCTCTATCTCGCTCTCTCTCTCTCTCTCTCTTTTTCTCTCCATCTTTGTTTTCTATCTTCATTAGGAATCTGCTCGACAGCAAGATTGTCTTGATGACACTGAAGAGGAAGAATCAGTAAATGGAGATAAAAAGACACAACCTACTGTTGGTAGAAGTCCATCATCTGTGGGCTATAATAATGGACAAAGATCTCGCAGTGATTCTCGAAGTTCAATTGGAGATACACCAAACGGGTCAATTTATTTAGAAAATGGTAAAAATATGCTTTTCCATCGATCTGTTACAAGAAGAAAGGCAGGCCGACCTAAAGGTGGTCATCGTCGATCCAAAGTTCAGATTAAACATGAGATCTTCAATAATCTTTGTGATCCTTCAATTGATGCTCAACAATTCAGTTGCCTTTATAACGACTACTTACAAGCTCGTTTTAAAGAAGAAGAAAAAAATAAGTATAAATTCACGTTACCCAAGTCAATGGACGAAAATTTTATCAACTTATCACTGAATGCACTAGATTCAAGTTTAGTTAAAGAAAAACCTTCTTTTAAGGTTGAAAAGATAAAGAAAGAGCTTAAAAATGGTACCGAAGATGAAGATATCTCAGATGATTATCATTCTAAAAAGGGATCATTTGATAAAATTCCAGAAACTGGAGAAAATGTTACCGATCTTACCGAAATGATCAGTCGACACTCAAAACGAGAAATTCGATTACCTGCAAGGTATCATCAATCTGGAATACTAATGGGCAGTCAATGGATTATTCCAGATTATGGTCAAGATGAAAGGACACCAAAAAAGAGGATAAAAATTGAAGAAGTGGATGAATCAAAGCCTCAGATTGAAACACAAATGAGAACCCAAACCTCTGTCATTCATCACAAGTCGGAACAATTACAACGTCAACCTCTATCCCAACCTCAAATTCAACCTCAACACAACCTACAAGCATCTGTAAATCCTCAATCCTCGCCATCACCACAACCTCAATTACAACAAAAATCGCAGCCACAACAAAATCCTCCGCCGCTGTTACATAAACACTCGCATTTTAAACCTTTATATTCGTGTGAAAACCAAAGAATCATCTTTCCAACCTCGAACTCTAGTAATCTAGATCGAACCTCTGAAGATGATAAGTCATTATCTTCTGATCTCTTCAACGAACCAAGGGAAAGTGTTACTAATGTTGACGATCTACCTAATCTCAACTCTCCTACCAAAACTTGTCCTTCGCATGTTTCACAGCTTAAATTACATCAAGAAAAACTAGAGAGACTTCAATTATTGCGAAAGCAGCAAGAAATTTGTGGTAAATTTCGTGACAATAATAGTACTGTCATCAATAATTCATCAAAAGATTACCCTTATCAAGAATCAACTGTAGATATGATTATGAGTATTGTTTCACCAGCCGATCGAAGTGAATTAAATAATATCGATGCACCTCCATCTCCACCATTCTGTGCTAGCCCTGAGCTGAGTCTTCAAAATTCACAAAGCTCATCCATGGTACCAATTTTAAATCCTAATTCAAGTCGATCCTCAAGTGATTCTCCAACACCAATGGATAACTCTGATGTTCAAGATCAGAAATCTCCTAGACAGCAACAGTTGCGTCAATTATATAGAGATCTTTATTTTGAAAATAGACCTGAGAGAAAGTTAATTCATGCCAAAAGTCGGATTAAACCTCGAGTTAACAAGAAATCTGAGGTTGAAGAGGCGATTAAAGTGATTGAAAAATTGAACAAACGAAATAAACAGCTAGATTATATAAAGAGTTTATTGATTATGTGGAATAAGAAATTGGTATTAGCAGCCAAAGTAATAAATGATAAAGGTGAGTTTTTATTAGATTGCTTCTTTTTTATACTTTTTTGTATTTACTTTTCTTCAAAAATATAATGTAAATTTGATACTAATCCTTTTGTTAATCCTTTCCATTTAGATGTTATTCCTAAAGGTGTTGATATCGTCAGAGATGTACTTAAGACTTATCAAGCCAGTAAAAGTTACAAATTAACCCAAGCTTGGGATTCACTGAATAAACCAAGTAAGCTTTGAATTTGAAAACAATAGATTTTCAATGTATCTTTCTGATGTGTAAATTTTAACTAATGTAACTTTTTCTCATTATAGAAACACCAGCATCATCGATAGCAATAAGTTCATTTGTTTCTGAGCCACCTCAACTCCTCCAACCCTGCCAACCACCTTCATCACCTCAGCCACCCCAAGCATCTCAAACACCTCAACTATCTCGCCAGTTAGTTAGACCAGGTTCTTCTGTTATCAAAACTACTGGTTCTCTAAGCCGAATTGTGATGAATCCACAGGCAAAAGCAAATTCAACGCCCGAGTCAAGAGTTTTCGGCACTTTGACATTACCAGTTGCAACGACCACAATAACTACAATTACATCTTCAGCCAAGACAGTAGACGATTCATTATCCATGGACAAAACACCCGGAGTAATAAGCAGAAATACATACCCACCACCTCGAATAAAAACCATGGTGCCCTTAAATCAATCCCAATCATCAAATCAGCCTTCGCATCTTCACATTCATCCTTCTCTTCCTCCTCCTCCTCCTCCTTCCTTACAAACATCATTTTCCATTACATCACTTACACGTCCACCCACTCAAGCTTTACCAACTCTTTCAACTCCCTTACCTAATCATGCTCATCTAACCTCTTCCATGCTTCCCAATATTCAACATCATTCTCAGGCAAACATGAAACCAATACCCTTGATATTAAGTCCAGGAACACTGAACAATAATCTGTTCTCCAGCACCAGAGGCTATGGTAGTCGACATAAATCTTCGGGAGATGTGCATTTATGTACAATGCCACGATTACCTCTTCCTAATAATATGACAGTTAGTCCTGTTGTCAACAATTCGGGAGGAACATCTAAGCCAACAATCATCAAACCGACAACATTTTTCTTGACACCCAATGCCAATGCTTCCAACAGCCCTCTTTACCGATTCTTAAAGGTCAAAGGTGACATAAACCGAGTTCTCCTCACTCCACAAATAACTCCTCACATTTATAAGAAACCTTTGCTCATAGAACCTTTTCTTGGGCCTGTAATGGACCCTCCTGTGGAGGTCAGTGTTCAAAGTGATAACCAAGACCTTAATTGAAGATTCTGATGTACAATGGACTTTCATGCTTTAATTTTTCCGCTCTCGCTCTCTAACAATGAAAAAAGACCGAACCTATATTAGGTGTGTCCGGTAAAGTTGGAGACATTTCTTGCATCTCCTATAGTTTCTGATTGATTATCTTACAAACATAATTGAATAATTACTCATTTAGGCAAATAATCAAGTACAGACAATCATTTTGATGAAAAATTATATTTTAATCAAAACTAATTAGGCTAATTTGAAAACGTTGAAATATAAATGAAATTTATATTTTCAATTCGAAATTTATTTTTTTTTGCTAATTTCCTTTTTTGATCAGTGTAATCAGCTAGATCCATCGATTCTCATAGCTACCACAGTAATTAAATATTAACAACACTAATTAATTGTAACAAAATGAACCGTTTTAATCACAAATGATTGTCTTTGCTTGATTATTTGTTTCGTTGACAATTATTCTCATTCAAAAGAAAGATGCTATCGATTTTCCTTAATCCTGGACACACCTTATACTCTTTTAATCAACTCGTCCTGAAGACTTAAACTAATCATGATTTAAAATGGATAAAAGTGGACAACAACTTCGTGAAAATCAATTGTAAAGACTTAAAGTGCCCAACAAAATGCTGATCCATTAATCAATGATGATTGGAATACAAGTGAATGTCAATATCGAAACGTAAAAAGGAAATTCTTAAAAACGAACTCTCTCTCTCTCTCTCTCTCTCTCTCTCTCTCTCTCTCTCTCTCTCTCATGTCTTTCTAAATATTCAACATGTAAACACAGACAGAAAACAAGAAAAAAAAATCAATACAATGTAATTTATGACCTTGTCATTTAAATTGCTGAAGAACAATGAAAAAAACTAAAAGAAATGAAAACTAAATGAAAAAAAAGCAAAGCTTTGACAAAATAATTTCCAATCCGAAGCCAGAACAAGATGATTAACAATAATTGTCCGAATTCTAGGATTATAATGATTGATTGTATAATAATAATTCTTTAATAATAATAATAATAATATGATTAATCTAATTTTGATTGTGCGAGAAGAAGAAAGAAATGAACTTAAATTAATTCAAAGAATGACAATTATCGCGGAATAAAAAAAAAGAAATTCAATTGAGTATAAAACGAAAAGTGAAACGATTTCATCTGCGAACAATAATCGCAATTGTCCATCTCTCGAACTGGACAGTTAAGAAAAGAATCCATCGTAAATGACAAATCGATTGTGCTGTTTCTGTGGTGACCCTAAATTGAAGTGTTTCCCCAAGAATGACAATAAAGCGCTTGTCGGTCTATCGAACGCACATTTGTTGATATTAATTGTTTGATCTTTGAGAACGCAAGAGATCAACAATTTACCTAATCCTTGCCGTTGGCGAGTTATGTAAAAATCTAAACGAAGAGGGTGAACAAAAAAAGCGACGATGTTAATTAGGATCAGATTGATTATCGAAAATTTGATTTACCTAGAATTGAGAAACAACGATTAACGTTAACCAATTGTTCTGATTGTTGAAGAAACAAATTCCTGAAACCAACACGAATTAACCCAATGGCATTTAATTGTATTCTATTGTTTTCATCTGATGAATTATCATTATTGGTAATTGTTGTTGAAGGTTGATGATTAACTGATTGATGGTGAACCAGAAAGTAAATTGAATCATTATGTTTAAGTGGTGAATTTGATCTGAATGAGCCTTGAATGAATCGGGTATGACATGTAATCGGTTCCTTGAGATTCTGAGCCTCAGCTGATTGAACGCCCAATGAATTGATCCACAATTTCAATTGACTTCGGATTAAATTAATCAACTCACTCTGTTTATTATCCAATTGTTTAGATGGTGTTAATGAACATGAAGATGATGATGGCGATGGTGATGATGATGATGATGATGATGATTTCAAGTTATCTGCTAAACTGTTAACATAATTACACTGATTTATGTTGATCAGTTTAATGTTACATTGATTATCAACCTTAACTATCATGAGATAATCATTATCTTGATTATAAGCCATTGATAAGCCATCAGATTAACGTAGCACAATTGATCAACTAAATCCACTCCTTTTTCTGGGCAAATTGAAACAATTTAACTTGTCAGGGTTAATTACCAAATCTTAATTTGATTAAAACAAAACAAGAAACCAAGGAAACCAACTCATGATGTGTAACCAAATTGTCAAAATTGATCTTCCCAAAAACAGATGATCCATCACCTGATCTTCATCGAGATTTTGTTTCTTCAAAATGTTTGTTTACTTTTGTTAATCATTTTCTTTTTCTAATTGTTTTTATTTTCTAATTGTAAGTCTTGTTAATTTATTAATTTTTCTTCTCTTTTCTATCCTATTCTATTCTGTGGTTTTATTCTGGTTGTCAAGATTTTCGGTTATAAGTGTTTTCTTTTTGTTCCAATTTTCTCTTGATTCGTTTTCTTCATTGTTTTTATTTCTCATCTTTGGTGTTTTCTTTTTTTTTCAGAGAATTTCTAATTCTTTGTATTTGATTTTTTTTTCTTCTTCATTTAATTGTTCCTAATTAATGGTGTCATGTCATTTTCTTTATTGATTGTTAGGCCTTGATGTTCTAATTTCCATTTGTTTTCTTGTATTTGTTTTCTATAGTCTGGTTATCTTTGGTTTGTGATCTTCATCATTTGTATCATCGGTAAAAACCATCGGAAAGGATTTGAAGGCCATTTTGAAAGATGGATGATAAGAAGGAAACTGTCGAAGAAGAGTCGACACAAGTGATCAGAGGAGATGAGAACAGTCAAGATAGTCAACAATCAGATTCTTCCAAAGCGGTTCAAGGTAACTGATCACTTTGGATTTTCCCATTGTGCTTACAATCCTTTTTCATCCTTAACCTTAGTTATCATGTGAATATTATTATGATAATTGTTGTTATTTTCTCTCCATCACTTTTATCCCAATTGTGTCTGTAGCTGTATCGGAGAGGAAAAATTTGAAGCCTCGAGAATTCAAGCTTGACCTCGAATCTCGTCTTGGTAAAACTGTAGTGATCAGCAAAGCAACACCAAGCTCTCAATCAGGAGGATATTATTGCGATGTCTGTGACTGTGTGGTTAAAGATTCAATCAACTATTTGGATCATATTAATGGTAAAAAACACCAACGTAATTTAGGAATGAACATGAAAATTGAAAGAGCTTCTCTGGACCAAGTTAAAGCTCGATTCGAGGCGAAGATGAAAGAAAAGGAAGAGACAAAAAAAGAATACAATATCCAAGAAAGAATGTCAGCCCTTAAAGAAGAAGAAGAAAAACTAAGAGAATATCGTAAAGAGAAAAGGAAAGAGAAAAAATCAAAGAAAAGATCATACGAAGAAGATGAAGAAGAAGACGAAATGTCCAAATTAATGGGATTCAGTAAATTCAATTCAGGAAAAAGAAAATAATCCAACAAAAGAAAAAAAAAGATCAACAATCCAATCGAAACTTTTAATTGTTCCAACAAACTTAACCCTTTGTGTAAAACTTTTCCAAATAAAATGATCAACATCCATTTCCATGGACGAACACGCAAATTTTGTGTCACAAAAACCCGAATACAGTCAACTAACTAATTTAATCGAAAAAAAGTTAATTAATCTTAACCCTTCGAATTGTCCGCCCTCTAAATTGGCCGCACAAAAAGTGGACACTTTTAGGTGATTGAACAATCGGTTAATTTTCGAACATTTGATCGAGCGAACACCAGAGGGCATCATGTTCTTTAGGCGTGGTCTGGATGTACAGAGTGTTTCTAATGTTGATTGGGATCGATTTCCCCTTTGGATGCGCCGATGTTACGATTTTGAACATTTTCTCTCAGGCGCATTTCCCATTTGAACATTTTCTGTATACGCGGTGGATTAAACATCTTAATCTTTCACTCGAACTCAAGCCTCAGTCTCCCTAAAGCGTATTTATCACCCTGTATGAGGTTTTCTTACCAACAACTTGAGATAAATTTGTTAGTTGAATAGTTTAACTTTGTGTCTCCGAGGCCTGACAGACAATTGGATTAACACAATTTAATTTATTTTCTTCAGTTTCTTGTGTCTTTTTAATTTCTTTTTAATTTCTCTAATTGTTTCTCTCTATTATTCGCAAGTGAATCAATTGCGACACCAAAATGTACAAACCTAAATGTAATTGTTTTCTCTTTACTCTCTTAACCTTTTACCTTTTCCTTGTGTGTTTGTTTTGTTTTCACTTGGGGAGAATAGAATAAAAATAAAATTCTATTCCATAGATTGAATTTTACTTCTTTTCTTCATCTATTGATGAGAATAGAAAATGGAGAATGAGATGAACTGAAGATTATGTTTTCCATCTCAGATTCTTCTGAGACAATTCTTGTTTTAATTCTGTTCTTTTTTTTGTCTTCTCTCTTTTTTTCCCTTCTCTTTATTTTCTTTCTCCATCTTCCTTCTTCCTTCTTCCTCTTCCTTTCCACCCACTTTCATTTTTCTAGGTTTCGCTGGATGTTCACAAGAGATTCAGGAAGGTCAAGCATTAATTGCACTGGACAAACATTGGCATGTTTGGTGTTTCAAGTGTACTTGTTGTAAAAACCTTCTCCATGGGGAATACATGGGAAAAGATGGACTGCCTTATTGTGAGAAAGATTATCAAGCAAAATTTGGTGTTCGTTGTGCTCATTGTGAAAGATACATTACCGGTAAGGTTTTACAGGCCGGTGATAATCATCATTTCCACCCGACTTGTGCTCGGTGTACAAAATGTGGTGACCCTTTTGGTGATGGTGAGGAAATGTATATGCAAGGAGGTGCCATTTGGCATCCACGATGTGGACCAGGACCTGATGCTAGAATTGAAGATGTCTACCTTGATAGCTACGATAGTCAGGTAATCAAATCAATACAATCAATTCTCTCTCTCTCTCTCTAACCAATGGCTCAGCATTTCTACTCCTTCCTCTTCCCAATACTCATCATGATACACTTTCTCTTTCCCCTTTAATTCCTTAATTATATTCGTTAACAATCAACCATTACTTTCTATTGGCATGATATTTGGTTCTACTCAAACATCTGATTACTTTTTTATTGTTTTCTTTTGATAATATCAATTCCTCTGCATCATTGTGACACAATTTGAATGAATTAATCTTCCCATTCATGATGCATTTTCTTTTTGTTCTCCAACTCACAAAATTATTCTTCTATTTTCTATTGCATTTTGTTTCTCTTTCTTTTTGTTCTCTTTTGCATCATTTATCATTTATCATCAATGTTTCCTTGATTGTTGCCATTTTCATGATGAGTAGTACTACGGGAGTTACATTCACTCTCCGAGTTTACCTCGATCACGATCAATAAGTCCTTACGGTTCTTTAAGCCATCAGGTTAGTGTTTTTTTTTATTTGTTTTCTTTTTACATTATTTACACAACCTGGAAATTGAATATCTTATAATTACTTCAATTAACCCAACACCAATTACAATCATCTTTTTTTACCTGTTTGTTTATTAATCGTTTTCTTTTTTGGATAAACATATTAACCACAACAACGAGTTTAAAATATTTCTTTTAGATTATTATTGATTATTATCATGATTAATCATTTTTCTCTCTTTTAATTTTCACATTCTCGAATTTGCTTATTCTATTGATCCAGTATGGAAGACGAAGTCCTGGAATTGTAAATCGTGAGCCGATCCTCGGTGATCATAGTCGTGTCTACACAAATAGTTACCTTACAGCTGAACCTACTCAAGGTTACTTGAGACGTCCTTTAGAGCCTCGAACACCTAAATCCTCACAATTTTATCGACCACCAGGTAAACTTTCTGCTAATCACTATTCCATTGTTTGCTCGATGCTCATTCCATTATGTGTGTGTATATGAATCTCTATTCTTATTCTCTTACAGAAGGTTCTGTTTCTCGTAATAACATGAAATCTTCACCTAAACATGGAATGCAAGCTTTGGTCGATAACCTTCAATCGTCAAGTCAAAGTCGTCCTCGTTCACCTCATATGAACAATGAGGAGCCTATAGAATTGGCCCATTATCCAAGTGCCCGTAAACCTAAACCCAATGAGCTACCAAGAATTGAACGTGACGATTTTCCAGCTCCACCCTTTCCCTATACTGATCCTGATAGACGTCGACGTTGGTCTGGTAGCTCACGAGAATTGGATGATGATGATATTGACGGTGCATCCAGCAGATTGAGTGGAGATGCAAAATTAAGAAGAGAGGAAGAAGAACTTTCCAAAATTGCCACCGGCATAGGAAAAGTTTTCCTCAAAACTCTAAAAGAACGTGAAAAAATAATAGCTTGGAAAAAAGAGCATCTTGATCCAAGGAATGCATCTCGAACTCCTTCTGCCAAAATAGAACCACCAACTCGATTGAGATATGATAATCCGGTGAATGCATGTAAGTTTTTCCTGTCAATCGAAATTTTTAAAAACATATAACAAAAATCATTCAACATATCATATTACCTTTAAAAACATGACAATTGATTATCAACTTACATCTTTCTCTCTCTCTCTCTCTCTCTCTCTCTCTCTCTCTCACCCTCTTAGCACCCTCTCGGGATATTGATAGACCAAAACCATGGGAAGAAGATGAATTTGACAGAGGATCGCTTTACAGAAGTTCTGGAGGAAAGCTTCAATATTATGCTCCACCGCCGTTGAATTACAATGGTATTAAGTGGAATGTTTACCTGAGCCCTAAACATTAATTATCTTAATTGACACACAGTTGTCTCTTCTCTCAGAAATGTACCCAAGCCCGGTTATGGGCTTAAAAGTGGCCTCTCCTACCGAGACGGAACGCTCAATGTAAATATTATATTAATATTATCTCTTTCTTACATTCTATTATCTTCTATTCAAATGCAAATGTTAACCTTTAACAAATAATCTAATATATTAATATAATATTTCTTATTTCTTTTAAACTGTCTCACCTTCTCACCTTTTATTATCACGAAAACCTGATTGACCACCTAAACCCAAACCAGGGCTCGGAATCACCTTTCAGTAAACTAGAGAAAACCCAAAGTATCGACTTTAATTGCGCAAAGTCTGATAGTACGTATCGATTATTACCTTTTAAACAGAAACTAATTATCTTCTCATCAATAACCTAAATCCTTTTTTTTATATAAATATTATTTTCTCTCACACTCTCTCTTTCATTTATCTCTCTATTTTTTTTTTTTCTTTTCATCATCATCATTATTCAATTTACCTTGAACAAAGTTTCAACCCAATCAGAGCAACACGATCGGAGTAGACACTTCATGGTAAATAAACTTTTCTCTCTTTTTCTTTTCTACTTGATTGTCATCATGATGACAAAAAAAAATAATCAACAAAATGAAAAGTGTTCATCATCACATGTATTACAATTAATTGTTTATTGTAACAATTTGATTCTTTCTCTCTCATTTTACTCTTTTTTCTTTATTCAGAATCATTCAATGAGTGGCACTTTCCGGACAACTCCCTTTTCAGATGGAATCAGTGGCTACCGATATGCATCTTATAGTCCACATTTAAGACGATCAATGCCTAATGTTAATTTTCACCTTCATTCAAATGAACCACCAAAACTTTATCCATACCATTTACTCATCACAACCAACTATCGATTACCTCCTGATGTAGATCGATGTCATCTTGAGGTTGGTAACTGTTTTGTTAACCTAATTATTAAATTTAATATTTATAGAGGAAAAAGTTGCATCTCATCAATATCGATAAACATATATTTTTAAAGGATCGTATCAGTTTTGAGTGAAAAAAAAGTATAAATAATCATCAATCTAATTGTAACGATGTCATTGATTAATAACAGCAACAGGTAATTACAATATAATCAGGTGAAAAACAGAAACCTCCATGTAGAGAGAGAGAGAGAGAGAGAGAGACATCATGATTTATATTCAATTGAATATCTTTCAATCGTTTACAATTAATACTTTCTCTTTCATTATTATCGTTTCTCATTGTTTGTTAGTTGATTCATCATTTGAGAATACAATTGATGTTGTAATTGTGGTGTAATTTGAAAGTTCTGATCATTTTTATTCTGATTGTTTCTTTGTTATTGGTGATAAATAGATTCTAAGACAAAGGCAATCAGAAATAGATTATTTTTCATCATTTGTCTACTTTTTTTTATCTCTGTCATCAACTATTTTCATGGAAAGTTCATTTTCCATTCAATAGCATCTTTCAAAATTGAAACATTTTATCATTATTGTAAACTCACCATGAAAGATTATCATTATCAGGAATCTTTAAAAACTGAATCGTTCCTTTTGATTCAGTTGATAAAGATAATCTTTTCTATTTGATTATTCCTAGTTTTCAAGTCCATTGACTTTCCATTTAGCATGTTTCAAGAGACACAAATTCTCAATGTCATGAATCAATTACTCATAAACTACTGAGCACAAAGTGACAGTTTCTACTCATCTAATCAATACATTGTGGTTTATCTTGTCACTTGAATTTAGTTTCACTTTCACGGCCTCATGTAACTGATCAGATAACTTTTTTTCCCCGATTCATGATCATTGTTTTAAGTTAATTGAATTAGTTACATGAATTATCATGAATAAACATGAAATTGGTTATAGTTTTCTACCATTTCCTTATTCAAAGCCGGAAAGATTATCTCGACCACCCATTGTAACATCATGAAACTCATGATCTTCTTGTTGACAGATTATCATGTTTCTCACAACTCATATTAATCAGTGAAATTCTTGGCAATCGTTTAATTCAAAAAAATCGGATTAATAGTTTACATTACTATTCAGATTTGAATTTCTCTCAACAATTTTCATCTATATCCAATCTATTCATGTTCATTATATAAATTATTTTGTATTCATGATAAATTAGAAAAGCTTTGGGTGTAACTGAAAGTTATTAATGAGATTAATGTGATTCGTTATAATAAATTAATTCTTATAATTTAGATAATTGTGATTAATACATTAATCCTGTTGATGTTGTATTAACATGTTCAAGTTTATCTTTAATTGTAACTCTCGATTCATTTGTTTTACTCAATTGTTGTCAATTTTGTAAATTTTTCCCATTAACGATATGAATCAAGTTAAACTTTTGTATCCATTTTCAATGATAATCAAAATTATGATCCATTTTAAACTGAGATGGATTAGTTTTGTGTTGTATTAATTAGATGGTAATTGCCATTCAATGTCCTTTTCTGATTAAACTACTTTCTCAATTCTGATTACTCATGAAATATCTTAAAATTATTCATGATAATACTTCCTATTATATTAACTGCTCACGAAAACAGTGAAACCTTGATAACAGAATACAGATTATGTTGATTATTTTGTTTCTCTAGCAAAACTCATCACCATGTTTACCTTTTGAAATAGTATGATACTTTATGAGAGTTTGAATACAATGACAATTACTGTTTATTTTCAGCTATTTAATAGTATTTATAATGATTATGAAGATGATGATAGGGATGATTATTACATGATGAAAATGATGATAAAATTGTCCTGTTCTTAGTCACGGAAGACTTGACATTTTCTTGTGTAAAAATTTTACATCTTCATGTTGGTTTGTAAACTTTTTTTAACTGTTGCTTTCATGTCTAAAAAAATCATCTACACACCATGTATATCCTGTGTGTGAATCGTAATCATCAACTGAAAATAAGATGCAAGGAGAGGACGATGAAGAAGAAGAAGAAGATGATGATGATGATGATGATGTAAAGATGATGTAAAGATGATGAAGGAGAAACAGCAATTAACTAAATCTTCCACTGAGATGAGAAAAAGAAACCTCGAAACAAGACCGGAACCGCTACCATGATGATGATAGAGAGTAAAAGAAACAGTAATTTATTATGTAAATAGTTATTCATGTATTAGTTAGTTAATCATTGATTTTCTTCGATTTCTTTTCTCATGCAATCTCCTCTGTTCATGGATCTTTTATCCACTGAACTTATTTTTTACTTATTCCAAGTTTCAATTTACTTTTTGATTGTTTTACTTTTTCATTTCTTTTTCTCGATTAATTTCACTTTTCTCGTACTGATCATCATCATGTAATACATTTGTATTCACCTTTTTTCCCTGAATTTTTCTGTGCTTTCAACTCACCCAAAGATGAAATTGACAGTTAATCCAGTTGATATTGAGCCAAACTGAATTCATATATCACCAAGAATCAGCATTTTTTCCCATCTCCCCCTTGAATGATATTAATATTTTATTATCACTATTTGAGTTTAAATATTTTCTGCACAATTATAATCCGGTAATCGTAATAATAACCACGATTATGATGATTCAGAGACGTGGCTGTGAATACTTTATACACAGTCACTTGAATCAGGAAGTCAATGTTAGTTAATCTAATTGTAACCATTGGTTTGCTTGACTCGCTACTTGATCTCTAATCTTTTACGCAATTAAGTCTAAATTGTTCATTTTTCTATCACTAATTAATACTTGGCTTGCTGTCCTCTTATCACTACCCTTTAGGTTGATTGTTATTACTTTATTGTAGCAATTAAATTATATTGTTTCACACATAGTTTCAAATTAATATCTTTTTACAATCAATCAAATATTTAATCACAGTTTTACTACTTGATTGTTAACTAACTTATTTTTCATAGAGAAATTGTTAACTATCAGATTCTTGATTTAATCAGTCTCATTAATGAGTTTAATTGTTGATCATAATTGTGTAACAAATTAGATTGAATTTCAATTGAATATTTGCTACTACAACGTTTCATTAATTAACATGATGATCTTTTCGTCGAGTGATATTTAATGATTAACAAGAATTGAATGTGATTAGTAACAGCAATTTAAAATGAGAAAGTGGACTTTTGATTGTAAACATCACGATTATAATTTAATTGTCTACCTTTTTTCCCAATGATTAAATCAAGCAGCTTTTTAACTTAATCATCGGCAGGTGAGAACCAATTATCTTAATCATAAATAACATGTACTTTAATATTGTTTAAACAGTAATTAAATGTTTCGCTAATTGTTATTTGCAATTAGTTAATCAGCAAATGTTAAAAGGGTGAAAGTAAAAAGGTTTCATGGTTCAGATTAATTTCATGGTTAATTTTAAACAATTTAACCTTGATTAGCTTCCATGTTTTTGTTGAGTATTTACTAATCATGATTAAGTTATAAAAGTAACGGTTGATATTACCTGGAATTCATTGATGATTCATGATCTAAGGTGATGATAATTAAAAGTATGATGATGAAGTTTTACTTTAATTTTAATTTCTCTCTTCATGCAATTAACTAATTTCATGGTTTCTTTTTCTTTATATCCTTTTCTTACAGAGACATCTCTCAAACGAAGAGTTCACAACTCTATTTCATATGTCAAGGCTTGAGTTTTATCGATTACCTGAATGGAAACGGAATGACCTTAAAAAACGAGTGAAACTTTATTGAGATGATTTAAAATCTAGACCATTGGATTTTAGGACAATTTAAATGATGAATTGTGACTCTAAAGGATTTCATCTTTTTCTCTTTGCTGTTTCTTCCTGTCGACTGCCTCTTCCACTTCCTCTCCATCTCTTCAGTTCTAATATAAGATCTACACTCTGTCTGCACCTTCATCTTCATCATCTTAACGAAACAAAGCCATCGTAGCCCATGGATGATTCATCTCCCTGTTTTCATCCATCTTCATTATCGCCATCGCTCTTATCTTTTTGATTATCATCCCTATTCCATCTTCATCATTTCTTGTCATCTTATGTGTCTGATTCTTTTGTCTTTCTTTCATCATTTCTTTTCTTTTGAATTGCGAAACTCCAATTGCATTTAGAGATTATTTCCATTCTCCCTCTCCCTCTCCATTTCTCTCTCTCTTTCTCTCTCATTCTTCAATTTCTTTATACAAAAACTTTAGGGAATCTTTTCCGTTTCCGTTTTTGGCGAAAGCGAAAGAAAAAGATAATATTTCATTCATTTTTTCTTAATGATAGTCACATTCACCATTCATGAATTACTCTGAAATCAGAAATTTGAAACAATTAACCAGCCAAGAATTGATTAATTTCCTCTCCTTGTAATCAAACCACTTCTACACCTCGACCTATTTTAATACCATAACAATTCATTTTTGGTATCATCATTTACCTTGAATTATCATTAATCACATAGAATATGAAAAATTTTTCCTCCCAATTACTATTATTATTGACCAAAGATAATATTAATATCGATTATTTTAAAAAAGCTTTTAATCATTGATTAACTTTTAGATTCTTGGCTGTTTCTCTAATCCAATTTTACCTGAAATTCAGAGTAATTCACTAATTAAGATCAAATTAAGCCTAAATTTGAATATTCAATTTCAGAAATTATATAAAAATTATATTATCTTAAAAAATATATAAATTATATTACATAGATATAATTACAATATATAACAATTAACATTATTTGAGCTTGACCGTGAGTGACCGCAGTGGTAACACAGCTAATGTGATTTAAATAATTGTAACTCTAATTGGATAATTCAATTCAATTAGACTGAATAACATCTCTAAGTCCCCCCAATCAATTAATTGTCATTTCTAATTAATATTGAAACTGCCCCATGAAAAGTGAATCCATTCAAGTATCAAAATACAACCAAACGTTTTCATCTATTTTTAGGTTTTTTTTTCTCTTCCTCATCTTTTACTTTTCTTATCATCATCTTTATCATCTTCATCATTTTTCCATTGATTTTAATTAATTATCAAATAGTTAAATCATTTACTCAATAATTAAACACAAACCGTTCATTAGGCAACTATTACAAGAACTGAATATAAAATTATGATCTTGATTAATCAGTGATAAAAGTGATATGATATGAATTTAAAGATATTATCAAATTATGATGATAAAATTTAAACACAAGGCTGAAAACGATGAAGATGATTAAGTTGATTAAAGTAATTAAGACAATTAACGAGAAAATTTTTTCTAAAATTGTGAATTTTCACTTGAAACGAAATACAAATTGATCAAATTGATGGAAAATTATTTCGAAAATGACTCAACCTTATTGCCTCCCTATTCCCTTTTATCTTTCATCTTCTTCATCTTCTTCATCAATCATCATCATCATCATCTCTCTCTCTCTCTCTAACTTCCTCTGTTATTTTAATTCTTAATTATCACAAATTGTAATCATTAATTAGGAGCCATTTTTTTTTCGTTATCACTTTTCATCCTTTTTTCTCATCGTCTTATTATTTTCTTTACGATTTATGATTCTATCTTATTTGATTATAATTAATAATCAATTAGTAATCACAATTGTTTCACCATTATGATGATTAAGTAAATTGTTAATCACAATTTAGCATCAAAATGAACATTTCATTCATTATCATCAACCAATAACAATAGGAAATCAACTGATTACTTTCTCTGATTAATTAGCAACTTAATTATTGTTAAGTTGTTTTCTGTTTAATTTTGTTCCAATTTAAATCAATTGTCATGGTTTTTTTTTATTTACTGATCCCAATTGTGTTAAATTGTTTTAACAATTGTGTCATGTGGTTGACTCTCTATTTAATCTAATAACCATTGAGAAAAAAAAGTCAGACAATTAAAAAAAAAGATAATCATTAACATCCTGATAGCAATAATTAATCCAATTGTAATGATCACGAGGATTTACCTATTATTAAACACACAATCAATTAATTTAGCAATAAGTGAAAAGGTAGAGAGCAAAAAATTTACTTATCACGGTTTTTGTTTCTGTTAATTAGATTTTATTGAAATGATTAGATTACACCACTCGATTAATCATGTTGATCGTGATTAATCTGAGTCACACTTTTGTACACTGATTGTTTTTTTTTCAATTGATTTTTGTGGTTAAAGGTTTTTTTTTAATTGTTCTTTTTGTCTCTTCAATTATCCTTAATTGTTTGGATTATCCAATCACGATAATAAGGTATCGAGGTGTACACACCGGGTTTACCTTGTTCACCACAGGTCGTAACTCCAGAGGCCACAATTCCAATGATTTTCCATTTACCCGATTTACTGTCCAAGATCATTAAAGGTCCACCCGAATCACCGTCACACGAATCGATTCCACCTTCTAATCTACCGGCACAAATTACATGGTCTCGAATTTTGTTAGCGTCTTGTGGATGCTGTTTTCGACATCGATCAAGTGAGATTATGGGAACTTCGGCTTGTTTTAGGAAAAGATCTTCAGTGTCCACTTTCACTGGGTTTCCCCATCCGATGACACAGGCGGCGGAATTTTCTCTGATCGGTATATCGACATCGGGCAGACAAATGGGACGAATGTAATCATTATCAACGGGCAGAGGTGCATTTAATTTAATGAGAGCGATGTCGTAAGTTGAATTTATTACTTCAGATTCATCGGTAATTCTGAAAACAAACGATGGATGTAGAATTGATTTCTCGATGTAACGGTAAACCTCTTTCCCTGATGTTGGTATGATTGAGTTGAAACGACCAAAGTGAACCTCGAATCTATCGTTTGGAACATTTAGAATACAATGAGCTGCTGTAACCACCCATGAACGATTAATTATCGCTGCACCACAAACATGGTTAATCGGCGATGAAGATCTAAATCTTAACGATGCTAACCAAGGCCAACTTCCGGGTACCACTTTTTCCCCACCGAAAATATGAGCACCCAAAATGGAAGGTTTAATTACCGGTATTCCACAGGAATCAGCAAATGATAAATTATCCTTTTCATTGGGACAATTTTCCTCATCAGTCCCATCGGAACAAGAAGTTTCCTTATTACAAGTTTTCTCTTTCGAGTAACACTGGAAACGATTACGACAATTTAGATCATCGGGCGATGAACATTCAATAGGTTTATCTACATGTTGAAAATAGAATTCGAAACCTTTCGCTTTTGGTGCATTCATACCGTTGAACAAAACTCGAACTACATTTGACTTTGAATAAACACGTTGACTTATATTGAATCGACGGGTTTTCGTTGATAAAACCTCATCACCATCGTAGAAGGTCAAACTTGCGACACCTTCCATATCCAAACCGAAAGCATCTCGTTCTATGAAAAACTCAATCAACTTATCGGAAGGGGCAATGATTAACCATCGGCAGATGACATTCTGATTGTAATAAGCTAAGACATTGTATCCAGGTGAGATTATCCTACCAGTCAGGTATTCTTCTGTGAATATGAAAGGTCTCTTTGATGAACAGGCAACATTATAATCAGCGGTGATATCACGTTTGAAATTAAATCCTAAATAACAATTAAAGGGAAAGAGGGGAAACAATCATGAGAAATAATTAACCAATTAATCAGCATTCATGATGAGCCAATAATCATGAGAGGATTAAAACCAATGATATGATTTACATTCATTGTCATTTTCATCACATCATCATCACCAAAGGTGTAATATTAATAATTAGCAATGTCGATGATGTTGTTACCATAATAATGAGATTAACTTTTATATTGATTAATAATAACAAATGGATTAACTTACTTTCAACTTGATCTTTACATTGACTTGGAAGCCAAACCAAGCTTAAGATTATTAAAGGTAAATTGTTGGTTCCTTTCATGAGTAGAACGGTAAACAATTAAGCATCGAGTTATAAATCAGATGCTAATCAATATCACCTTTTTTTTATATTGTTGATTGTTGTCTTTTTAATAAAACTGATATTCACTGTTTCGTTTAAGTTTGGTTATCCAACTAACTGATTATGGTGATTGATGAGAGATTGACAAAGTGATAAAGTAACAATAACAATTGAACAACCAATAAAGAGAGAAAGATTAGATTCAATTGTGATTTGTAACAATTTAATTAACTATGAGTTTCCTCCCTTATCCCTGTAAATAAATGGCTCGTATTAATTTTGATGGTTTTCAAGACACAATTTACAACTGATTCTGTTGTAGATTCACAATTTACATTCACTTCAGAATCTTAGTAAGTTAAATATTTCCTTAGATTCATTTTGAAAAGTTTATTTAGTTTAATTTGCTTGTTGGTGAATAAGTTGCACTATGTTGATGATAATATCGATGGTAATTAATTTGCTATGATGATAAATATGCTGTTGATATCCAGAATAGATTCAATTGTTAAAATGGATCTGTAGATGGTTTTTGTTGATTGTCTTGTTAACTTGCTAATATTATTAGAGAAAATTGAAACTTCACTGGCTATTAACGTGTTGGCTCATGTTGAATTCATTATTCACTTTTCACTGTGTTAATTGTGAGTACTCTAAACTCACACAAATAAAAATGAACAATTAAATCCATTCAAACAATTGGAAGATTATCTCTCTCTTGCTCTCTCTCTTCTCTTTTCTCTTTCATTCTTTCGCACTGGAAAGATAATAATTGAGTCAACTCATTTTGATTAACAATTATGGTATTGATATAATAGTTGGATTTTAGCTGTTATTCTGATTGAATTATGAATTTTAAGAGTTGAGCTGATTCATTATTCCGTATTATTCGTTTATTGGAAAACACCAACAATAAACTTGATGTTTTTGTTTTGGTTGGTTCAGGCTTGTAAGGTACAACCTTTTCGACACGTAATTTCTTGACGACTGTCGTAAGTGTAGCCATGATGAACTGAAACTGTTGATGTTACGACGTTGAAACTTGTATTAGAAAATAAATGAATAATTAATTCACTATGCTGAGAATTGTGTATTTGTACCTCTGGAATGAGTTAATGTTGAATTGATGATGGATAAAGTTGTTCTGACAAATCTCATTCTCATTCTTTTTATTCAATTTTTATCTCTTTGATTCAGCCTCTTGTTTCACTTTTCATTCCGGTAGTCACTTCTGACGTTAATCAACATGATAAAATCATTCATAATGTGGAAATTAGCATTTTCTTAATTAGTTATATCCTGACCAAAGCTTTCAGCAAAAAAGACTTGAAAACAGCTCGAAAATGACCACTCTACTTGCTCCAGCTCTCAAGCAAGCAGATTTCAACTACTGAAATCGAGCTGAATTTTTTTTGGCAAATTGAAGCGCGTTTTATTGTCTAAGGTACTTCAGGCCTTCCTCTGTAGATCTTCACCCTTATAATGAAGACCTAACCAAACCTAATTCAGATAAACATAATTGAACAATTGAGGCCATTTCAATAAACAGTCATGATTTTGAGCCGAAAAACGCTTGTATCGTCTTACCTTACTTGATGAAAATGATGATAAAATTGTCCTGTTCTTAGTCACGGAAGACTTGACATTTTCTTGTGTAAAAATTTTACATCTTCATGTTGGTTTGTAAACTTTTTTTAACTGTTGCTTTCATGTCTAAAAAAATCATCTACACACCATGTATATCCTGTGTGTGAATCGTAATCATCAACTGAAAATAAGATGCAAGGAGAGGACGATGAAGAAGAAGATGATGATGATGATGATGATGTAAAGATGATGTAAAGATGATGAAGGAGAAACAGCAATTAACTAAATCTTCCACTGAGATGAGAAAAAGAAACCTCGAAACAAGACCGGAACCGCTACCATGATGATGATAGAGAGTAAAAGAAACAGTAATTTATTATGTAAATAGTTATTCATGTATTAGTTAGTTAATCATTGATTTTCTTTGATTTCTTTTCTCATGCAATCTCCTCTGTTCATGGATCTTTTATCCACTGAACTTATTTTTCACTTATTCCAAGTTTCAATTTACTTTTTGATTGTTTTACTTTTTCATTTCTTTTTCTCGATTAATTTCACTTTTCTCGTACTGATCATCATCATGTAATATTTGTATTCACCTTTTTCTCCTGAATTTTTCTGTGCTTTCAACTCACCCAAAGATGAAATTGACAGTTAATCCAGTTGATATTGAGCCAAACTGAATTCATATATCACCAAGAATCAGCATTTTTTCCCATCTCCCCCTTGAATGATATTAATATTTTATTATCACTATTTGAGTTTAAATATTTTCTGCACAATTATAATCCGGTAATCGTAATAATAACCACGATTATGATGATTCAGAGACGTGGCTGTGAATTTTTTATAAACAGTCACTTGAATCAGGAAGTCAATGTTAGTTAATCTAATTGTATCCATTGGTTTGCTTGACTCGCTACTTGATCACTAATCTTTTACGTCCAGATCAAGTCTAAATTGTTCATTTTAAACCATAACAATTCATATTTGGTGTCATCATTTACCTTGAATTATCATTAGTCCAGATAAGATAATAAGATCAAATTAAGCCTAAATTTGAATATTCAATTTCACAAATGGTACAGCCAAGGGAAATGACTTTGAGGGTAGTTTAATTTTTTTTCCAATTTAAATCAATTTCATGACAATTAATTTCTTGTAATTAACTATCATGTAAACAAAAAAACAGCAATCACCACCTTATTTATTAATCAAACCCGCTAATTACCCGAATATGCCGCTAATTAAAATGATTACAATTGAACTTTTTGTAAATTATTATCTTATGTTATTAGCTATTTTCACTCCCAAAAGCTATGAACATATTACTAATTATAATTGTAATTAACCTGATTACCATCGATCCTGTTTAATTTAAACGATAATAATTATGTCGATTTAATCTATTTCTGATCCTATTAATTGTTACTTTTCCTCTTCCTAGCCTTATAATGATTTATTTACACTCCTAATTGTTAAACTGAATTAATTAATTGGTCATCAACCAATGGTCAATACAATGATAACAATTAAAGATAAACCAATGATATAAATAAAATATAATTTAATATTCATAACAACAAATTGATCGCTGAAAAATTTCAATAATCACTTAATTTATTAGGGCAACAACTATATCAATTTCTGGACAATTCAAGTTTTCATTTCCGTCAATGTATTAACATTGACATCGGATAATCAGCTAATCAGTTGATTGTGAGGAAGATAATTGTTAATCGAGAAATGTGATTCGGTCAAATTGTCAATCACTATGAATGATTATGATATAATTTCCGTCAGTTTTTGACTAATTGTATTAACATTGATCATGATAAAGTAAAAGTGTAAATCAGGATGAGGAAGACAATTAAGATTTATAAGTTCAATCAATTGAATCTTTCAATTGTTTATGATGAAAAATTGATTGAAAAACTCTTTAAGGTAACTATGGACCAGAGACCATGACATTGATTGTCAACTGATTGTTAGAGTGTAAATGATTTATTAATTTCATCACTACTCACCAAATAATCAACAGCATCAATTGGTAAATCGTTGATTCTTTCACTGGATCTTCATCTAATCACATCACTTTGATTGTGAATCAACAGCTCTCAATATCTTTGAATTAGTTATTAATGAAACTTTGATTGTGTACAACTGGAAGTTGAATCTTTTATTTAAGTTTAAATTGTGAACAGTTAAGTGCCAGAGTAATACAGTTAACGGGATTCGGAAAAGCAACCAATCGCAATGTCCACAAACGACACATTCACTGGCTTAGGTCATTATAATTTCCTGGACTCGAGTGATATCAGTGAATTGCTGTTCAATTTTCTGACCCCAATGTCCAATCGTCAAAATATCAACATAAACTTTGCGCTTTCGCTGGCGTTCACCTTAACAGCGACTCTCAACCTCGTAATTATCGCCTAATTATCGCAATTTTCGGTAAATTAAAGAAAATTTCTAAAAAATCATTTGGCTGTGGAAAAGATTTAGTCAAACAATTACTTCATCTTCTCTTCTCAATGGATCAAATTGGTAATAAATTGTCTTCACTTCTTTTCCATATTCTAAGTATTGTAACCGAACTCGCTTTTCGTCAGAATCAACAATCAACCGCTTTAATCCAATTGTTTGACGTTATTCGTCTTTTAGCCTTCGAATCGCATCGAGATGCTCATGATCCTCATAATGGTATCAACCATGGACCTCCATCTCTACCTCCACCGCCCATGTCACCTCATTCTCCACCTCCACCTCCACCACACATGCCCTTCATTCCGTTTCCCTTTGCACCTCCTTCCCATTCATCTCATCAACCACCTCACATGTTCCCCCACTCTCTTCCACCACCACCACCTCCACCACCTCCTTCCTACCAGTCGTCCCCTAACAGTTTCCCACCTCCACCTCCACCCAACTTCTCACCCTTCCCATCATCTAATCAAATTAGTCTCTATCCCATGAGTAACTCATTCAATTCAACCTTCTCAGACTCCTACATGCAACCCAGTCATCGATTGGGTGTTATCTATGATGATTAGTAATCAATCAGGATTAACGATAATTATAACATTAATCGAGCAAAATCTCAGTAAAAATTGTATCATCTAATTTATTTACTTTTTTAGAATAATTAATAAATCATATTTATAACCAGTTACAATCTCAAATTTATTTTTTTCGTTCTCTCAGAATTTCAAGATCAATTGATGTTCATAATCGAAGAGCTGATCATTAACTAAACATAATTGTCTATTATTGTATTATCCATAATTGTTTGTTTTAAGTGGAGACTTACAAAATCTACGAAAAAAACGATTGATTTTTTTTGAGAAAAGTTTGACAAAATTGTCTGAACGAAGTTGAATTAACTTGAAATCAAATTAAATTGATTGATCAAAGCTCAAAATCTGATGGAAAGCCAATTCTGTGTCTCCATCTAACGATATGAAAAAAACTGATTGGACTCGAATGTGATGATTAACGAAATCGTTTCATGAATTCACATTGAATCAAATATTTGTTGAACTTTTTACCGTTAAAAAAGTTCGAGTTCATTTCGCTCCTTCATTGAAACTCTGATAGTTTATTATTTTTGCTCTACAAAGTTGAAAATCTTTCTGGTAAAGTGATTTCTCTGAGTCTCCTATTCATTTGATTGATTATTTGGAACGTGGTGCCAAAAACTAGCGGTATCATTTACTATGAATTCACAATCATGGTTCACACTCATTAATTGCAATTGATTTGTTGATTGTGATATCTTTTTGTTTGACGTTAGTTGATGATCAGGTGAGTTATTGGATAAGCGACTAAGCTTTGACTGCATTGGAGTAGATTTAAATCAGTTTATAAATTAATTGACACAAATTGGATTGTTTATCAACCAATAATTTAATTATCATTAGGAATAAATTTGTGATTATGTTTAATTAGATTTGAAAAAACGAGATATAAACAGAAAGAGATATTTTCTATTCATGGTTATTGATTGTTGTGATTAATTGTTTGACTTTATGTTTTCTCTACAAATTGATTGTTTCAATTTCCAGTGTAACTTGAAAAGATTCGTGAAAGAACACTATTGGATCGAGCACCAAGAGGTTCAGTTCCTTCAGGGGGTAAAATCTCTGAACATTTGGAACTCGAGTAGGGATAAGATTGACACAGAATTTCAGGTAAACGAGAAGATGAGAGTCGAATAATTTTACGGCTCAAGTCGAGAGCGGAATCACCACATCTATTGGAAATCACTTGGCTCGAACACTCTTGGAATCTGTTGTATCCACAACAGGCCATCGCCACTCGATTGTCCCAAGTGGTCTGAGAGACCTCTTCAAGTGATCGTTGTAAATCTTTGGTACATTGTTTGGACGTAGCTCGAGCCTCACTCAGGCACTTGGCGTGTTTCCGATAGTCAGCACGAATCTCAGTTCCAGGAGTACAAAATTCATCGGCCAAAGTTTTACCTCCTTCAGCCAAGAAATCGACCATTTCTCTTTGGAGTGAGGTCACACATCGACGGGTATAATTTTGCCGACACGATTGAGCTTCTCTGATGTAACCACACTGTCGGTCAATTTCAGCCTCAGTCCCTTGTAATCCTAAACAATTAACAACAATTAATCAATCACAGTCATTTCTAAGTTCGTAACTTTATCAAATAATCAAAGACTTTGAAAAATTGGCTAAACTTGAAGGTTAACTAACTGATTTTGATTCAGTTTAAATTGTGCTATAATTTGAGGTTGATCTGATTATTGAATTCTCAATCAAATAATCAATTAATTTAACATTTTTCCTGGAAGAAAATTTTTCAAATATACTTTTCGTTTCTCATTATATTGATACAATTGCTCAATAAGCTTATTTTAATTAACTAACCAGTAAATCAAACCAGTTTAACTTTTTCTTAATCATTTACTTTCCATTTTTTTTTTGATTAATTAAATCATTTTAATGTTGTGGTGATTTAAAATTGGTACAACGATAAACTGTAACCTTGAAACTATATTTTGCTAATTGTTTATCAACAAATCTGATCGGATTGTGGTCAGTTGATTATTTTGGTAAATTTTACCCTTTGCAATTAGTTAATTGTTACACTTACCTTGTGGATTTTGAGTGAACACAAGTAACGTTGCTGTACAAAGGTCAAGCTCTCGCATATGACATGAAGCTGCTTGACCATTGATTAACTGTGAACCTGAATGACCAATCAAGATAACAAAACAAAAATTAACACCAAATTTATTAAATTAATCACTTTGAACATCACAATTTGATTGCTACCAATCCAGTGGCACTTTTATCAAGTATTATCAGTTAAATTCATGAAAACAATCAACTTACCTAAAGTAACAATTAAAAAGGTAACAGAAATTAATTGTTGATACATAATTAACTTTAATTGTGAAGATGATGAGGTGAAATTAACTTTATGAGACAATTTAAATTGTGGAGATTGGATTAGTTAAACTTAAATTGACCCAAACCTTGAGACGGATTTTAAATTGTTAACTTTTCAAAGGCACCAAGTGAAAGTGATTAAATTAAATTTTGTTTAATTAGTTAAGATTTAACTTTTCTCTCTCTCTCTCTCTCTCTCTCTTCTTAATCATCCTCATCATCCTCATCATCATGAATTCAATCATTGCCTAGGGTAAATTTCAATTTTGACGTCAACAAGGAACAGGTATTAATAAGGAGGATCTTAATTGTCTCAATTGATTTCTCACTGTTAACTTAATTACTTTTGCTTCTCATCATTGAAATTGTGTACAATTCATGATACTAATCATCTTCATCCAGAAAAAAAAACCAGAGTTCATCAAAAAGTTAATTTAATATTCAAAAGTATAATTGTAAATGATTAACATGCAATTAAGAAAAAAAAAATTAACTCGTTTCTCATTTGTTGCAAGATTTGATCTCAATTAAGTTTCAATGAACGGAAAAAGTTAATTGTTTCAATGATGAACCAATGGTTGATTGTCCAATGATATGATTACATTAGACCATCTCAATGATTAACTAATTAATAGGAAATCCCTAAAAACTAAATTAAGGTAATTTACAGAGGCTTAAGGGTCTTCCAATTGGAATAACAAACCTTGATCAACTTGTTAATTTAGTTTTTCTTTCAGTTTATTAATAGTTTTCAACTGATGGTGGAAATTTTGATTAAATTGATGGACAATTTAGCCGAAGGTAATTCATTTATCAGTGTAGATAATCATCATTATTAAATATCATGGAAATTCCCGATCAACAATTTAACTGAGAAAATTAAATTAACCTGTTAGTGGACATAATCAAAAGGTAAACAACATTATGATCACCAATGGTTCCAGGTAACAATTAACTGTAACCAGAGAAATTTAAAGTAATTTAGATTTGATTAACTCTGATATTGGGACAATCAACGTGATTGATTAAACGTAGGTGACAATCAGAATTAAAATATGATTCAAATTGTTTACAATTCAATTGTTTAGCATTCTCTTGATTTCCTGATTCAAGTTACAATTAAAACTTTTCATTTTTATCAATATCTTGATCCTTAAGGTACAATTGAAACAATTAAATTGTTGACTAACAAGTATAACTGAAGGTGAACGTTAATTTATCCAACTAGAAATTAATTGATTGTCAAGTTTGTTTTTTTTTCATCTTCATTGCTAGTTAATCAAAAAAGAGATTAATATCTTTGCAGAAAAATAATTAGCTAAACAATTTAGAAAAAATTTTTACATTTAACATTTAACATTGTATTTTATATTGTTGTTGTTAATTCACTTGATAATCATCATCAGCGTCAGATTTAAATATTGATTATGTCAAAGTTTTGTTTTTCAAGATTTATAGACAATTGTTGTTGGGTTTAGAACAATTAAAGAAATTAAATTAATGAGTATAAAGCCTAATTGTTGCATCAGCACCACTAGTAAAAATCCAAGGCTGTTTAGGATGGAAGCAGCAATCTAATACTCCAACGCCATCGACCAATTTATGTCCCTTGAGTACTTTGACTGGAACAATTAATGCACTCTCGTTGAGATCACTGTTGATGAGTAAAAAAAGAAATTTTAATTTAGTTGATGTTCTGATTAATGATTAACGAAATAAAGTACTTACTCGAAAACTCTTCCATGAGATATGATCGTAGATGCATCGTCAGAGGCTGAAGCAAATAACGGATATCGAGGGTGGTAAGCGACCTGACGAACTGATTTCTTGTGGTATCTCATCGTTTTATAAGGTTTATCAGACAATTCCAGATCGAACCAACTTAGACGAACATCGAAACAGCCAATAATTAAATTATCCCCTGAGAAAATAAGTTGATAACAAATTTTTTGAGTTAATTTTGAGTAATTTGAGATAAATGAATTAGTAAATTACCTTGAGGGTGAATTGCTATACTTGAAATTAGATTACTATTAGCGTAAAGTTTTTTCGTTAACATTTGTTTGATTAAATTGTAAACTTTGACGTGTTTCTGTGTTGCCACAAAGAATAAGGGTTTATTTGGATGCCAAGCGACACATCGAACGATTCCTTTCGACTTCGAGAATGGAACCTAAAGAAGATATCATGAAGAAAACACGAAGAATTAGTCAAGTAATCAAAAGGAAATAAAATATTAAAGAGTAAATTACCTGTGATTTGAGTTTTGACAGTTGATGAACAACGACCGCTTTATTTGCACCTTGTGGAGCGACACTGGCAAAGTAATCACCCTTGTGATGCCATGAAACTTGAGTGACCTCAAATGCGTGTTTAATTATGAAACGAATTCCTTTGTTCCATAAAATTTCATCACTTTCTTGAGTAACAACTGTCCATTCAATGTAACTTGACCTCTTTGTACCTCCCATGTTAGCTGATTCCTCTTTTTCCTTATCAACAAGCTCTTGAATAAACTTTTCCGTTTCACTGGAAATTGTTTTATTACCAATTTCAGGGGAAACAATGTAAACATCAAACTTTGAACAGGCAACAATTAACGATCGCGATTTAAGTGGACACCATTTAACACAATCAATTGGAGAATCAAAATCAATTTTCTTGAAACAACGACCAGTTGACACTTCCCATATACGAATACTACAATCATCACTTCCCGAAACCATGAATTGACCCTCAGGCTCAACGTCGATACTTCGAATCACATCAGTATGACCAGTATAGATAAGTGATAAAATACACGGGAATGGATAAAGATCCTTTGGTGATGGTAATTTTGGAATAAGATCTTCAGGGTTAACATTTACACGATGTCTGACCATTCGAGGGCAGAGATAAAGATCTTGACACCGATCAAAACGTTCCTTGATAAAGTTTTTATACCTTGGAACATGTCTGAGTCGTTCAAATCTCTCAGGGATAAATTTAATTTTTCTCTCTTCCGGTTCGGATTCGGTCCATTTTTTCAGCTCCTCTTCATCAAACAAATATTCTGGCGGTGGATTGTATGACTCTTCATGTCCTGGTGGTAACAATTTAGGTGCAGGTATGTGTCGTCTGTGTCTCTTATGATTTGGATCACCTTCTTTCGACCATAAATCGTAATGGAAAGAAAATCTATTCTTGTCTTTCTTTTGCCGCTGTTTAAGCAATCCAAGTCTTTTGGCATTCTTATATTTACTAATGTATTTACTGATCAATCGTTTCTCACTGATTGATGCTCTAAATTGGGCTTTTCTTAGATTGTATTCCACAACTGGATGAAGCATTGTTTCATGAGAGAAAGTGTCAATATGATTGGGATATGGATTGTAATTGGGATCAGGGAAATCGCCTCTTCTGATTCTTTGGATAAGATCAATATCCGCATCGGTTAAAATGATTTTTTTGCCTGTACTTTTATCATCTACAGTTCTCCAATAGTAAGGATCTTCCATCTTATTGATAAAATCTTCAATTTCACCTCCTTCTTCTCCTTGAGGTTTCATAATTTTCTTTCCATCCCAATCGTAACCAATATGATCATATTCATTATACCATTCGATTGGTATATTACCAACAGTGTTTCTTAAATCTTCTTCATCGGAAGAATCAACCTCATACTTGTCCACCGAAAGATTAACCTTTCTAACCTTCCTCTTTTTCGCCATGTTACTGGGAAATTTTCTACATTTAAAAGATTAACAAATCAAAAAATAGAAACAATCAGTAAGTCAAAATATCAAAACATATAAACGAGTTCAAAAGAGAGAAACAAAAAAAACACTTACATCTGATCGACAGCATCCATGGTAATCCTCTGATCTTAGTGAGCTAACTGAACAACAATTCTAATTAAACAAAACAATCGAAAACTATCAAAATTAGTCAAACAAAACCAAACAATTAACTCCACGTGTGTACAAACCCAAATGCTTTTCCAAACATTTACATTGATCCACATGTCGACTTTGGGTCCACCTGTTGGACTTTAGAGTTACTAATACGTGAAGCGCGTGGAAATGAAAGTTAATTGTTAGAAATAATCAATCGATTTTTCTACTAATTAGCGTTAATTAAGCTGCTGTAATTGTATTTTGTGCTGAATTGATTGCAAGGAATCTTAATTGTGAAATTGAAAAGTTGATGAGATTTGATTGTGATCAGTTTTCCGCGAATTAAACTTTTTGTTTTGAAATAAAATCTTTGAGAATGAAGATTAATTAGATTAATTAAAATCAAGATAAATTTGTCTTCAAGTTTTGCTAATAATTTAATCTAATAATAGGTTGTATTACAATACCAAAATTAAACTCGTATCATTTAATTCAATCTAGAAACAGATAAAAGGATAAAGTTACCGAGGAAATCAAATCAATACTTTTAATCATTCACATTTTTTGCAAATCAATTGGTTGGGAATCATATTGATCCGATTAAGTCATTAAATTGTTTTCTAAATTTTTCCTCAAATAGAGATCGAAATGTCCAATTAGCGGTAAATCTAAGTTCAGAATTCATCGAATTCCGAACTTGTCCTGACGAGTTTTCTTTTTTATTCCATTCAAACGAACACAATTACTATCATTCTAATCATCGAAATTTAAAAAGCTAAATTGTAGTTGATCGAACAGGGCGAGAAACGAAATGATAAGAACTTAGAACAGCTTATAGTTCAATTTACGATAAAGTGACTGCAATTTTCGTTGGAAATTGACGGAAGGTGTGAGAGGACAATTAGTTGGGACGAAAATGGTTCAGGTGAGTTGACAAGTTTTTAAATTTCCCTTTTATAGCTAATTGATTTCGGATTAGATTCAAGTATTTGAGGCTTCAGCTTGGGTGTTTCTCTTCATTGAAACAAATTCTGTGATTGTGTCAATTTGATTACGTTTAAATTGACGTTGGGATGTTTTGGGAGGTGATGATTGTTGTATTCGGATATGGCAAGTGTCAACTGGTCGTTGTTTCAAGATTTTGATTCTTCAATTGATTGTGTTAAATGGTGTCCACTTAAATCGCGATCGTTAATTGTTGCCTGTTCAAAGTTTGATGTTTACATTGTTTCCCCTGAAATTGGTAATAAAACAATTTCCAGTGAAACGGAAAAGTTTATTCAAGAGCTTGTTGATAAGGAAAAAGAGGAATCAGCTAACATGGGAGGTACAAAGAGGTCAAGTTACATTGAATGGACAGTTGTTACTCAAGAAAGTGATGAAATTTTATGGAACAAAGGAATTCGTTTCATAATTAAACACGCATTTGAGTTCATTCAAAGTTACATAATTTTTGTTTTGTTTTTATCAATTGATGTTGCGCTCACTTTTGACTTTTCAATTGATTTGAAAGCCAATCAAGACCTTCGTAAAGGCCATCGCCACTTGTCGCACAAGTTGCTTGAATGTACCAGTTACGACTACGAAGGGAATGAAGGCCAAGTTTATCGGTGATCTCAGCAGCATTCATTGCATTGGGGAGATCCTAGATGTGCAAAGTGATGAAAAAAGGAGGTATAGATTTAGAGGGAGGAAGTAATAGAAAGAGAGAAAAGAAAGTAAGAAAGAAAGAGAAAGAGAGAGAGAGAGAGAGAGAGAGAGAGAGAGAGAGAGAGAGAGAGAGAGAGAGAGAGAGAATGAGTGAGAAAGAAAGGTGGAAAGACAGAGAGATAAATAAAAGGCAAAGAGAAAAAGAAAGAGAAAATAGAAAGACATGAGAAAAGACCAACAAACCATATCTTTAAATCATAATAGGGGTGGATGATAAAAAGAAATGACTAAAAAAGTGATGCCAAAGTCAAGGCACAATTGTATTATCAGAGCAACTTCTTTTCTCTTTAATAAGAGAAAGACCTTCCGGTAATCAATTATTTCTCTCAACCGTTACAACAATACATACCTGTTTGTTGGCGAATATAAGGAGAACAGCATCTCTGAGCTCATCTTCAGCCAGCATACGGTTCAATTCTTCTCGAGCTTCACCAATTCTTTCCCTATCATTGGAATCAACCACGAATATAAGGCCTTGTGTGTTTTGAAAATAATGCCTCCAAAGTGGTCTAATCTTGTCTTGTCCACCAACATCCCAAACAGTGAAGCTAATATTTTTATACTCAACAGTTTCAACATTGAATCCTGTAAGGGAAAACCAAGAAAAAATAAAGAATGAAAGATAGGATTAAATTAAAGAAGAAGGAGGAGGAAAAGAGAGAGAGAGAGAAAGAGAAAGAGAGGGTTAACCTTAATACAAATTCATCAAAAGGCAAAGATTGAAGGGTAAGTGTCATGAGGAAAAGGAAACAAAGGGTAGAGAAAGAGACAGAGAGGGAGAGAGAGAGAGAGAAACAAAAAAGAATAAAAGAGAAGCAGCAATCAAAGAAAAAAAAAGAGAGAAAAACAGACAGACAGAGAGAATATTAACTCACCTATTGTAGGGATGGTTGTGACAATTTCTCCAAGTTTAAGCTTGTAAAGGATGGTGGTTTTACCAGCGGCATCCAGACCCACCATTAATATTCTCATCTCTTTCTTACCAAAGAGACCCTTAAATAAATTGGCAAACATATTCCCCATCTTGATAGATTATTTTACTTTTGATAGAGATAAACAAGAAATAAAACCAATCTGACAATTAGACAATTTAAATTAAAATTTTAAATTACAAAAGATGTTGGGAAAAATTGACAAGATGGACAAGAATTCATTTGCTGACTCTACAGGAACATCAGTCTCTCCATCTCTCGAATCAATGGAAAATTCTTTGAGCGCCAGATTTGAATTTGCAGTCGAATTTTAATTCAATGAAAAGTTTTGGAAAAAATCACATCTCAATTCCGAATTCAATTGCTCGTTTTTTTGGGTTTACATTGATGAGGAACAATTTTTTGATACCAATGTGGCAAATCGATTTTAAAGATAATTTAGTTTCGTTTCGAAAGCTCGTCAATTAGAAACTATGATAGAATCGTACTTAATGAAAAAGTTATATTAAGCAGTTCGCTAAATCAGTGACTCGGTTATATTCAATTCTTGGGGAAATCAAATTATTAGCAGGGAGAATCTGAAGGAAAAATTATTCGCTCATTTGGATTACGATGTGTAAAAGTTTATTCAGATTCATTAAATGATCTGGACTCATTTTGTATCCAATTAAAGACTATGAGTAAATTTTTGGCGGTAAAAGACAATCGAAAATCATTTCAAAAATTGAACTGTTTTCAATTTAATGAGTTTTGAAATTTAAAAAACTGAATCAACTTGAAAATGAACTTTTTTTTATAAAAAGTTGATTTAATTGAAACTTTATGGATACAAGAATGTTCAAAATGATTTGGTTATTGATTTGGGTGGATATAAATGAAGAAAGTTCAATTAAACTTGGATAGATTGTTTTTGTTTTTGATAAGTATTTGTTGCTCTGACTTTATCTGGATATTTGATTATAAACAAAGAATCGATAATCAATTGTTTCTTCTGACTGACAAGTTGGAATATCGAGTTTTCTATACAATTTCCTTTTAATTATTTTATAACTCGTCGCTGACTTTAGGTTTTGGAAGGTGCGATCGATCAGCGGCCAAAATCAAATGATGGTAAAAGTTTACTGCTTTAACGTAATTTTCAACTGAGATCCGTTCATCGTTACCATGGAAAAGATGAATCTCTTCACTTGGTATAAATAAAGGTGAGAAACGATAAATGTTTGGTGTTAATCCAGGATAATATCTGGCATCAGTGCCTGCGGTCATTAGGCCAGGAACGGCAACTGCATCGGGGAAAACTTGTAAGATACTTTGTTTAATTGATGAATATCCGAAAACAGTGTCACCATGGGGACTGGGAGGTGTTGGTTCCGCTCCAAAAGTGACCTGAACTTGAACTCGTTCATCGTTAATCAATTGCTCGTCGTATTTAATTACTTCCTCAATGGTTTGTGATGGATGAATACGGTGATTAATCAAGGCTGATGCTTCACTTGCAATAATGTTATCTTTTACTCCACCTCGAACCACAGTAACTGCACTCGTTGTCCGAACCAAAGCATTACTTAAAGGCGACGAACTCATCATGTAGGAAACTAATGATCCAAATAACCAAAGATTACCAAAGATCACTTTATATGGAAGCGAAGCCTAAACGAATAATGAAATTAAAATTAAATTTGAGTTCTGAACAATTTTCTAAACGTAAACAACTTACATAAGGTGCTAATGATTCAAAGAAATTTTTCTCGATTCCATAACCGAACATGCTTTTATGTGCTCTGGAGTTAAATCTATCACAATGTATTAGACCAAAGTTTTGAGAAGAATCAAAATTTGTTCGCAATTAAATTGTATTTTCATTCTTACTTTGAAAGAGCTTTGGACAGAATTACAATAGACGATTCGTAGGGGGGAGCAGATGCATGACCAGGACTACTAACGACCTTCAATTCAACGGTGACATAGCCTTTCTCAGCGACACCAATACTGAAGGAAAATAGATGGACAAAAATAATAATTCATTTCTTGTAATCATTCAAAGGACAATATCAATTAATTACATGGCAACTTTTTCCTTAGGTACACCAGCGATTGCGTTTTTTAAGATAAAAGTACCTTCATCCAGTAAGAACTCAAGTTGAACACCTTTGGCCATTAGATGTTTATTAATAGCAACGGCACCGTCGAGACCCATGACCTCTTCATCGTGACCAAAGGCTAAAAGTATCGTTCTCTTAGGCTTGAAACCTCGAGAAAGTTCAAATTCAACAGCCTCTACGATTCCCTGAAAATGATCATTGGAAAAGAAAAAGTTGTCAGTAAACTTTTGATTGATTCGAGATAAATTAATTGCTAACCATAAGTGCGTCTTTAACATCAACTGCTCCTCGACCGTAAATGTAACCATCTTTAATGGTACCACCGAATGGATCAACTGACCATTTCGATTCCTCAACCGGAACAACATCCATGTGAGCACATAACATGTATGGTTTAAGTGTTGAATCACTTCCTTTAATTTCATAAAGAAGACTGTAATTACCAATTATCTCTAATTTAACCAATGGTGACGAGTGAATAGTTGGAAAAGCTGAACGAGAGAGAGAGAGAGAGAAAAGTTATCATGTAATATTTTTTATATTAATATAAACAAGAGATTAACATTTGATAAGATTAAGTATCATCATTGAACAAAATAACCAAAGAAAAAACTAATCTAACGATTAAGAGAATTTGTTGTCATGGGTTTTTTTCCGTTGAGATTGATTAAAATTTCAATGGAAAAGATAAAACTTGAAACGGATATGTAATGTTCATATTAAAATATGACCTTAAATCGTAAAATTGAATGGAGAATATGGTGAAAAGAAAAGAGAAAGCAGGAAGAAATTAAAATAGTAATTAGTAAATAAAGTTAATTGTCACGAATAGAAAATTGAGAAGTAAAAAGTAAACAAAAGAAGAAGGAAAAAGAAATGATTAATATTTTACTTACATTGTTTAAGAAAATCTTTGAATCTTATCAACTCATCGGTGTCGTAATTGTGAGCTGACCGGGAAATTGTTTTAATTTTGAGAGCTTGAGTAAATCTTTCAATGATTCCATCGTTAATTGTTATCGATTTATGATTTAAATTGTCTTCACATGGCTCCGGACTTTTGGGCTCAGGGTAAAGGATAATAGCTCGAAGAAAACAAATAACAAAAAGACCAAAAAACAGAGAAAAAATTAACCTGATAACCGAGTAATTACCACTATCGGGATGCATGTTGACCCAATTAGAATCAAATCGTCGTAACAATTAAACTTAAACAATTACGATGGGAAAATAATTAGATACCGAACCAACTGACTCACAAGTATTTTCAACTCACTCGGCTTCAAGTCGACTCATCGACTGAGTCGAAATCGTAACTCTATCGACTCACTTTTCAATCAACTTAAGAAATTGGCTGAATTGAAACAGGAAAAAGTTTGGTGAATTTCCACCTTCCCCTGAGGCTAATTGAAACTTTTTATATTCAAGACCAGAAAAATGCTGATCGATTAGCTTGAGTGTCTAAAAATAATAAAATTAAATCAAGAAAAACAAAACGAAATCAAAACGAAAACGAAAAAAGATTACCCCAGATGTCGCCACTTATTCGGTTGATTGTTTACATTTTATTTTCCAAAAAAAGAAAAGCGCCATTTTTGAAATTCTTAATCCTTGAAGAATTTAAAATTTAATCAACAATCAAATTGGAATTAAAATTATTTAGACGAAAGAAATTGGAAATTATAAAATCCAATTAGACCGTTTTCGAATTTAATTTCTTATATTAGTGATATTCTTTATGATCATTGTAACTTCAATGGTTGTGAATAAATTTGTTACGACTAATCCGATTGTATTAATAGTTGATTTGTTTCAATGAAATTAGTAAATTGTGACAAGATAAAATTGTGAATAATTAACAATTCATATTTATAGTAATATTTATATTATATTTATATAAATCAATTGTCCCTTTTGTGATTGATAAATCAATAATCTCAATGGAAAAGGAAAATAATTTTTGTTTTTCTCTGAGACATTGACAAAGTCTCTACAAAATTGTCATGGTGAGGTAATTGTAATCATTTTTTTGTTATATATTTCAAATAATTAAGGATAATTAAATGTTCAAGGGTTGGAATAGGGATACAATTAACTCCCAGAGCGGAAAAAAAGTTAACATAGTAAATGAGGTGGGAATGGATTTAGGGTTGAGGGTAACATGATTGGGACAGAATAAGATTTTAATTATAATTGTTAATTTTTTTTTGAATTTCGATTGAAAAGTTTTCCAAAGTTAATTGTAAATGATTTGATAATGATGATTATGTGTTCAATGTGTGTATTCATTGGTGATGATTGTAGTGTTTAATTGTTAACATAAATGTAAAATGATTAAGCCCATGTTTATGTGTGTTGATGATTTGATTTGATTGCTTGAGGGTTTCAATTGATTTACTTGATTAACCATTAAAACTTTTAACCATTTGAGTTTTTTTAACTGCATTTTCAATTGTCAACGTTAAACACAATTAGTTTTATTGATTTAAATTATTTTCATTTGATTTTATGTCAAATTGTTGTTGTTTATCTCGTTGATTGTTCATGTTGATGCTTTTAATTGATTAAATTGTTAGGGATGGGGCTTCAGGTGATGGGTTTTAATCATATTCCAATTGATTGATTATTCATCTAATTGTGTTTATGAAACCACGAAAAAAATTATTAACAAATTGTGAAGAAAAAAAAAATTATGTATAATTAATGATGTCCAACAGTTAATTAACTGTTAATTGCGATGTGATAAAAACTTTTGTATCTGAACAAGAGGCACAATTAGTTGATTGTTGATGGTGAATTAGGTTTTGCATATGAAAGATGAACAGGAACTGAACAAATTGCAACAAATACAATTAGTTAATTTTTGTAAAGAATTTGATAAAATAGATAATTAAAGATAATCTGTTGATTGGGATAATTTTCATCTTGATTGGATTGTCATGTTTACAATTAACTTTGATTCTCCCTGGTCAAAGTTTCCATCAGCTTTTTAATTAACTGATTGATTATAATTGGGATTGAAAAAAAGAGGTGAAGGGAAGATGATTAAATTTGATTGTTTCGTTGTTTCTTGATTAGTATTTGAAGAGAGAGAGAGAGAGAGAGAAAGGAAATCAATCAAATTAATCAACAATCGGACAATTTTCTGATAAATTTGTGCTTTAAATCAGTCAATTGATTGTTGCGAGAAAATCAATTGCAACAATTATTAATTTAATTCATTGTTAAAACTTCATTTGGCACTAATTGTCCTAATTCATTTTCTTACGACTTTTTTAATTTATCCTTTGCTTTTTTTATTTGGTAATTAATTTACTGTCAATTAGCAAGAGGAAAAAGTTAATTGTTTGGAATAAATTTCTCTCCCTGATTTGATTAAGAAATAATTTGCCGGGTTTCCGCTAAGGCAGCAATTAACTCTGATCCATTTTCACATAGAGATGAATTACCGGTAATTGGACGATTAAAATCAGTTAATTTCTGAATTAATTGGGAGCTAAAATTGTTGACTAAATTGTGATCAGTTGAAGTTGATGTAACCGGATTAACTTCTGATCCATGATATTGTTGATGATGTTGATGCTGTGATTGAATATTGTGAGTTTGATGTAAATTGTGATGCTGATTAATTGCCTTAATTATGGTTTGTTGCTGTTGATGGTGAAGATGTTGATGATGTGAGGATGGGATGATTACCTGACGTTGATTATAATCATCTTGTCGTCCACCAGCTGATCCATCGGTCACCAAAGGTCCAGTGTCATAATCTTGATCACCATTAATAGTTAAATAATTGTCACCATAACCAGTTGATTCATTTGGATCTCGATACATTTGATCAATTGAAGGTTTAAGCTCCGATTTATATGAATTATAAATACAATTTTGTTGCTGCTGTTGATGATGTTGGTGTTGGTGTTGTTGCTGTTGATGGTGCTGATGTTGCTGGTCATATGATGTCCAGTGATTATCATCAGTCCCATCAATCATTTCCATATGATAATCGTCAAATCTTGTATCTTTTGAATAGAGATTTGATTCAAATTGTTGCTGGTGATCGTTGTTATTACTTGATGATGAATTGATTCCCGATGATTCAACATGATTGACAATCACTCGATTCTTATAAGATGGACAAACGGGATTAACGTTCCTGAGAAATGATGAATCATCACTGAAACGTGACATCAATTGACTAACGGGATTTTCGTTTGGTTGATTAGTGTAAACACCATCATCGACATTGGTACTTGGTGTTGGTGTTGTTTCATTTGTTGTCGTCGTTGTCGTTGAATTATTGTTAATCGAAGTGTCCAAATCGTTTTCTTGTTTAATTTGAGTTATTAAAGGTTGAGGTGAGTGTTGATTAGTACCATTGGTTTGATCGTTAACGGGATTACTTGTTGATGAATCGGATGTTGTTATAGTTGTTGTCGTAATTGATGATGATGATGATGAAGATGAAGATGATGTTGATTGTTGTGTTTCCGATAACTGACCAGCCATTGGGTAAACTGATTGTTCAACAGGTAATACTGTTTTTAATCCTCCTTGGATTAACCTGTAAAGGTGACCTGTTCCCTGGGGCTGTTGGGTTTGATGGTGTCGATTACCTGAGACTTGACCTTGAATGACACTACGTTGATAATAAGCTGGATTTAATGATGAATGATTACTACCATTAATTAGATCAATTTTATCGCTATTTTCAACTGGTGACATTTCCGGTGTTGGTAATGATCGAGCTGGATCAAGTTGACCATTACCTGACTGACCATTGGTACTTGTACCACTTCCTGAACTTTCAAGATCAGAAAGTGGACTTTCCTTTGTTGACCCATCGATGGACAGATAAGTTTGACTCTGTTGTTGTTGACCAAGGACCGATTGTGATGAATGACTATGTTGTTGTTGTTGACCTCCTACTCCTTGACCATTGTGATTAATTAACAGAGATCCATTGTTATTACTGTTTAAATTGACAACATTACCGGTAGTTGTTATTGTATTTATACCATTGGTCAAGTTACTTGATCCATGGGTCGAATTGACCGTTACCATGTTAACCATGTTTCCAGAACGATATTGATCCATTAACGATCCACCCGAAAGTGGACCTGAACTGAATGGACTTCCGTGCGGGGATGAATCAGGTGTTTGAACACCACAATAATCTAAGGGTGGGGAAAGTGATGAATGGTCCATAATTTCAAGGTTTGAGTGCGATGGACGATGTTGAAGGTGTTGAGTTAAATGTTGTAAGTGTTGTTGTTGTTGTTGTTGTTGGTGATGGTGTTGTTGGTGTTGTTGTTGATGATGATGATGATGGTGAACAGAGTGAAGTGTTTGACCATGAAGATGATGAGGAATCCCTTGTTGCTGTTGTTGATGTTGATGATGATGAAGATGTGAAAGATGATGATGACCGTTAATGTGATCATTTAATCCTCCACCAATCGGACTGTACAATCTCATGCCACCCTGATCATCACCAGAGGATAAAGTGATACAATTTCCCGTTGACGGCGATCGACCTCCAACCAAAGAAGATGGATGATTACTATTGCTATTAGAACTATTTGGACTGTGGTTACCCCCATTGCCCACATTACTACCACTACCGATTGCACCAGTTGAACTTCCGCCTCGAGCATTTCGTTTACCATTTTTCCGACGTCGAGGTCTATACTTATAATCGGGATGATCTTGCATATGTTGAACTCGAAGTCTTTCCGCTTCCTGGACAAAAGGACGACGCTCTTGTACAGTTAACTCTCTCCAACGTTTACCTATGAAGATCAAACCAAAGAAGCAAAGAAAAAAAAATGATCGAGAAAAAAAAATCGTTAGTCCAAAAATGAATATTCAAGAAACGAAAAATGAAAATCAAGATTGAGGCCAAAAATTTACCCTGAACGGATTAACCCGCAGGTAAACCAGTCTCTTAATTGTGTCTACAATTGAATACAAACAAGATGATAATGATAATAACAATAATTATGTTGATAGTGACTTAGAGTAATATAAATGATGATAGAGAGCTCGATATTACCCTTGTCCACTTACTGGTCATCATCTCACTTGAATATCTATTTTAATAGACTCATTAGTATGTAAGGAAGATGAAGGTAAGAGGAAAAAGAAAGACTTTCATGATGATAAGATGATAAAGGAAGATGAAAAATGGCTACTGGCTTAAATTATTGGGTTGTTAATGTTTATGTGTAAACGGTTATTTACTGACCATGTTGGTGGTCAAGATCATATGTTGACCAGTTTGATTAGTTAAATGATATTACAATTGATTCAGATTAGTCAATACCGTTAATATAAAAGTTTTATTATCCTTTTTTTGTTGTTTTAAAAACAATCAACATTTTGATTATCATGTTTAATAATAAATTTAATGCTAATTGTTGATTACAATTATCAATCTTGATGATCATCTCATGATTATGTAAATTTTCATGTAAATTAGGATAAAATTGTATATAAATCCAGTAAATCCAGTTAATTTTACACAGAAATGATTAAGGATTAATGTTGACAACCTGATTTGTGTTGGTTTAGGATTCTCCAGCAATTAATAAATCAATATGGTTACACAATTAGATTTAATTGTTTTAACATTATTTTTAACTCTACTCTAAATTAACCTCACTGTCGGAGTCCAATTTTATTAATTGTTTAAAATTTAAACTGTAACCTGTAAACAACAACAACAACAATTTAAATTGTGATTTATACACAATATATAAAAACTATTGATTTAATCAATTTAACCAAATGCAACTAGCAACAATTAACCCTTAACTAATTTGATTAACCAAGTCTTGGTCTTTTTTTTGTCATACATAAAACAAAATCATTTCCTTAATCACTAACAATTAACTGATCACTATGTGTGTATTTTTATATTAATTTAATCACAATCAGTTTGTTGAATGTTTCATTTTTGATACCTTGTGATTTGGTATTGATCATTGATTGGAAATCTCAACAATTTAAAACTAAATCAAAATGAATATTAATACAACACCTCAACAATCAAGGCTATCATGATATTAATCACTAATCTTATTATTCAATTGAAATTAAAATCAATCAATTTTTTTACAATTCTCATTCTGATTAATAATAAAAACGTAAAATTTGATGAATTAACAGTCACACACCGAAAACGAGAGTAACAGTAAATTAAATTAAATTTGATTTGCTGAATAATCACAATTAAGAGAAGCAAAAAAAAAAGAGCAAAAATTGCAAACAAACAGAAAAAAAGAGAATTAAAATCAAATGAAATGAGAAAAAGTGAAAGAAAAACTAAATTAAACTCGATAATAAGTAATAAGAATTGATCAGAACATTTGAACATAAAAAGTTTCGAGCGGACATTTGACGAAATCCAAATAGGAAATCATGTTTGACATCATCATCACCATTTCCTTTCAATTGCGATAATATTATCAATGATTACGAGTCAATATCATGCTGATGCACAAATCAAGGTCATTATTATGTGTATTGTCATGATATTATTACACATTTATTCATATTATTACCTGTAGCTCCTGCTAAACCCACCACCACCCTCTCATCATCATCATCATATCTGATTCCCTTTGATGACATTGGCAAAATACTTTGATTTTTTTTTCTCTTGTATCAACAAAAAAAAGCAGAAAAAATTAATCAGATAAATGCCAAGGACTTTCCAATCTGATACCTTGCATGTTGTTTTCATGAGACTTTTGTTATTTCAATTCATCTTCAATTTTCATCTTCATCATCATTATCATCATCTCTCTTTACCTTTACATTACTTTTTTTCCACCTTTTATCCTAATATTTACTCATGAATCTCAAATACTCAGGTAAACGTATTGATACCTGGAAACCCATCATGAAAATCTATCATTTCATCATCATCATCATCATGTTTACCTGATTGAAATTATTTCTTTTCTCTCGTTTTTTTTTCCTCACTCAATATCCATTCTGATGAAACCTTAACAATTTTAATCTACTTCTTTCGGACAATGGTCAATTCATTTGATAACAATTAATAACAATCAAACGGAACAGATTATTATTATTATTGTCAACTTAATCTGTGAATGACTTTTTTTTTTCTTACCATTCTCAATATCAACAACTATAATTATCCAATATCCACAAAGTTAATGTTATAAATAAATGCAAACAATTTACTTGAATTGGTTGTAACATTGAATCAATTGTGAATTAATTGTCGATCACAATTAACATGTAATATAAGCTCATTTAATTGCTCCACTGGCCAGTAAAACCTTTTTTTAAAATTAGCTTTACAATCAACAAGATAATCAAGTTAGATGAAATTAAAATTGTAATTCAATATAATCAATAGAGGGCAGCAATTTAATAACAATCAACAGCTAATTATAATCAAGGACTAAATAATAATAATAATAATATAATCAAAATAATATATATAAATCACTGAATACACAATCAAATCCAAGGAAACCAAACAACTAGAATCATTTAATGAATAAGAATCGGAAACTAAATTAACAATTAAGAAAGTATTACAATTATCATATAACATTTAAGGAATCAAGTGAATAAAAATACACAATCAATTAATTCAATCCACTGATTATTATTATGAATTAAATATAATATACTTGAAGGTTAAATTAAATGAGTAAATCAAATAGTCGAAACAAATAGAGAAAGAAAATTAATTTATGATTACAATTAACTCGTTAATATAAAAAAAAGTTGCATTATCATCAAATTAAACATTGATCATGATTTAGAATCTGATTGTAAACAATAAACAAACAGGTAACAAATTAAACGAAACCAAAAGTTGATTAAAAGTTAATCAATGTTGATGGATTAACCTTTAAGATGAGAAGATGATTTAAATTGTTACAAAACGTAATTAAATTAAAAAAATTGATCAGAAAACCCAACCCATAATCAAGGTAATGATGGTGAAATAAATTCCTTCCCAATAATCATCAGGTATTATTATTTAATATAATTGACAGATTGACTTAGAAAATTTTTTTCCAGGTAACCAATTGATGACCACTAGTGGCAATATCATCATCATCATCATCATCATCATCATCGGCATCTTAAAGGGTCTCACTCTGATCATCATTATCATCATCATCTTCATCCTTGAACCTGATCAACCAGGTAAGCACAAAATACACACTTTATTAAATTAGTAGCAATTAACTTTGATTGAAAAGCATAAGACAAGATCATTTAATGGACTCGCATAGGTAACCAAAATTAATTTGATTCACCTGTAAAAGTATCGTTATTTTATTTTCCTATCAATTCCAATGGGATCAGAATCATTATCTTCATGATGATAATCTCAATGAACTACCCGTTCATCACTATATATTTATCCTCATCTTCATCTTCATCCTCATCATCTTCAATCTTCCAGGTATAAAGTAAACTCATGTAATCACAACTTTTCCTGATCGATGCCAAAGTGTATTAGTTACACTCATCATCGTTTATTTTTTATCCTCTCTCTCTCTCTCTCTCTCTCTCTCATCAGTGAATGAGAGAGAAGAAAAAATTCTCATCATCTGTTTAATCTGTTAACGATTAACTATTACCTTTCCCTAAACAATTTACCTGGAAAACTTTGATAGAGAAAAACAACTCACTAATCTTAAGCTTTAGAATTTTTTTCTTGTCAAGTTGTGATTATCATTCATTGCACAGAAAAAGTTCATCATCATGATGCTCCTCAACTGTTACCATGAGTCTTCAAGAATTTTCTAAAATTTTCAAATTCTCTCTTTGCTTCTTAATATCACATTATACTAATAATATATTTCCAATGATATTACTTTCTGAGAGAAACTTTTTTTCCTCTTTTTCATCATTCTGATATTAATTTATTCCAATGGTGGAAAATTTTTACATGCAAATGAAATGATTATCTGAATATTAAAACAAATGGAAAATGTTACCTTAATCATGAGAGACATTTAAAATTAACATTGAAAGTTTCTCAGAATTATTTACAGTTACCCTGATTCACCTGAGTAGATTTTGTCATTTTGACTGATTACAAATTTGATGAAAAAAAAAGGATGAAGATGATAATTCATCTTGAAAAATCCATGAATATCTCAATGTGATCATCATGATCCATTTCATGATGATAGAAATTTAAATTTAATCTAATCATATAAAAAATGAATCTTGTCTAATTAAATTGTTATTAATGATAATATTATGATAATAATAATATAATAAGTTGATTAAATCATTGATTGAGTTAATTAGCTTGAAATTCATATGAAATTAGATCACATTTTGATGGTAATGATATTGATTATTAAGTGATAATGATTGACCGGCCAATTGATGACAATCATTTTTGATATTGTCATGACCACGCCTCATCATCTTAATCCTCATCCTCATCCGTATCATCATCATCATTTTCATCATAAGATTTATCTTCCCATTTTTTTTTCATGTCTTGATTTTCATCCAAAACTTTTTCCGACTCATTTGGTGTTTACCTTTTGAACGGATCCTTGATTACGATGAGCTGATGGTGGATCAACACAAACGACAGAGGATGAAGACAGGTCATCAAGATGATGAGGATAAAAATGAGAGAGAGAGATATTTACCTCTCGTTACGCTTTGGCAGATGATGATGATGATGATGATGACGAGATTGATGATGAGGATTAAAAGTAAGTGATAAAAGTGATCAACACAATTTGGAGACATCGTTTTTATCCAATCA